GATCTTAGAAATCAATGGATTTCTAAGATAAGAGATAAAACAGCTCCTGTGAAAGAAGCCTTAGGTGCCCTTCACAGATTCATAAGGTGAGGTAAGCCGTTTTCAGTGCCCCAGCCACTATGAACTGTGAGGACACCTTAGACTGAGCCTAAGATGAGAAAAAAAAAGGGAGTCCCTGAACCTGGCTCATCCCAGGTTTGAGGTGCCAAGGTTCTCCCCCAAGAGGATCCTGGAACCACTGGACAAACAAGCATGTTGGTCCAAAAGCCAATCACCTCTAGGAAGAAGCCCCCTGACCCCAGCTCAAAAGGATAAAAAAAATGGTACCAATCTGCTTCAGGACCGGCTCTCCTTGTCCTAGGATTCAGTGTATCCTTGAAGAGGCTCGCCTGAAGATCCTTAAAAAAAAAGGGAACCTAAGCAGCCTAACGCTGACACCTAGATACAGCAATTGCTGCTCCTAGGGCCAGTCGCCTCCTCCAGGAAGCTCCTTATCCCAGATACAGAAATGTCCGAGCCATAAACCCAGAGTTATAATGCTCCGAGAGTAAGGTACTTCCTGTATGTATATTATGTATGCTGTATTATATATTATGTATGTATATTATGTATGTGCTCCATTTATATATATTATTTATTCAGCCTAGCTAGCAGCGTGTGGCAATGTAATTACCATGTCCCACATGCTTAATTAATGTGCCTGGCGACGTATGGAAGCTGTTAATGTATCATTTGCCATACGTTGTCTATAGAGCAGTTGACCAGCGGACAGGTTGAGCAGCACTACTCCCCTTGTGTACATATCTCTTATCCAGTAAATCGAACCAACAAAACTATACAGGTGTTTGTGTTCGCTCCTGTATATTGAACTTATTACCCAGAACACGAACACCTGTATAGTTTTGTAGGTTCGATTTACTGGATAAGAGATATGTACACAAGGGGAGTAGCGCTCTTCAACCTGTCTGCTTGTCAACTGCTCTATAGATGACGTATGGCAAGTGATACATTAACAGCTTCCATACGTCGCCAGGCACATTAATTAAGCATGTGGGACATGGTAATTACATTGCCACACGCTGCTAGCTAGGCTGAATAAATAATATATATAAATGGAGCACATACATAATATATAATACAGCATACATAATATACATACACTTGCCAGAAGAGACTTCTGACCCCCACTCTAAAGGGGTAGGGGAAAGGGGTTCAGATGCAGTTGATTCCAGTTGATAGATGAAATGCCCTTCATGTTGGGGTCAGCTGCAGTTGATAGATGAAACTATGGTGGGGTCAGCTGCAGTTAATAGATGACTCTCTTTATGGTTGGCTCTGATGAAATAAAACCTAACCTAGGATGTGGAAGAAACGAAAGAAAGAAATCCAGTGCAGATTAAGTAGTACAAATCCTTCCTTCACTTGTATAAAACTTCAGTCTAGTCTACGGTCCTCCCTCACTCTTTATCTGCTTCAGTACAGTAAATCTTACATTCTAGTCATGTTTCCCTCACTTACACATTACTTCAGCACAGTTTTAATTCACATCACCAGCCTCTTCACTGTAATACTCATCAATCATATTTCCAGCAGTCTCCCCTATCCATTAACTTGGTACAATACAACCATTCCTTTCAATGAACTTTAGTTGTCTGAAGTCATACAACTGGCTATCCATCACTCTGTACTGTACCAGGGAGCTATCTTTCATCATAATGATCCATGGAAAAGCAAGAATTTTAATCCCTAAATAACATTATGCATACAGTACAGCATGCCCTTAAAATTCATGGGGCTTGGGTCTCAAAATGGCCACAAATTGCCAAATAAGTGAAAATCATTTGCTGATGGGTTAGGAGGTGGGGGTAAATTTTACTTGTGTGCAAAGAAATGTATATTCCCTTCATGTGTTTGCCCGTATGACAATTACAGTAAACCCTCAAAGATCAAGACTAAAAAGGGGGACCAGCTGTCCGAATCTTCCAGCAAATGTACTAAATGTATAAGAACGATAAAGCCAATTCCAAAAAAGTTACATCAACACCCACAGTAATAATGTGGCAGCCGCAACTGACAAACACAACATGTGATGAGAGAACAATAAGAAATAAACAAAGACAGCCTCATTAAAAAAAACCTAGGGAGGAGAGACTGTGAGACATGTGGTGGACTTTGTATAAGAGTTGCACATCACAAGTGTAGCTTTAAGTAATACTTGTAACCCAGTGAGAACAAAACCCCAAGTACATGGGAGTAACTCTACTAACACACGAGGATCACGCTCACAGCCTTCAAGGAGGACAATATTAGAAACTGAGCCAATTAGTGTTGGTGCAAGAATGACACAAGTCTAGTTAATAGGACTGGACTATTGTGTGCACAGGTGGACACACAACAGCCAGACATCACTGGGATCAGAGTCCTGGGGTTAAGAAGATGTGTTCCACGGTGAATTTTGTTTACCAAGGTATCACCCACCATTCAGAAAGGACTGGGCTCCAAGAGGTGGTGGTGTAGTACTGAATGACAGGAACACCAGACAGTAACCAGAAATGATGAGCTAAATGAAATTAGATCATCCAAATCTACTCAGTGTAAACTAATAGCATAAAGCAAAAGGAAGCTGACAGTAGTTGTGTTATATAGGGCTGACTCAGCCTCACAAGGGGATGTGCCAGACTCCATAGTCATCCAGAACACAAGCTCTCATTATGAGACAGTAGACTGGGTGACTCTTACCACACAAGCTGAGAGAGAAGAATTCCTTGACCTCCTTCAAGACTCATTCCTCACAAAACACACGATGGAACCCGCCACAGAAAAAACATTCTGAATACTCTCTTAACAACTGAGGAGGCAATGGTGGCCAATGTCCATGTCGGAGTAAAACTAACTCTGGCACACACCCACTACATATACCTGACCCTTGCTTTATGTCAACTCACTATATCCACAATACCTGAGAACTATTGAGAAAATTTTGAGGGACACCATCATCTAATACCTGACAGGGTTGTTATGATTTAAATCAAATGATTTAAATCGATTTAAATCAAAGTAAAAAAATCATGATTTAAATCAAAATGATTTTTTACTAATAACTGTTTTCTCTTTTTATTCTACATGATTGAAAAGTATATGCAATGCAGCAGGCTAATAACATTATTTGGATTTACATAATTATGTACTGTACTATAGTCTGTTCTCTCCAGTTTTGCGAAACCTTGATCATATTCACCCTTCCGAACAGTGGAGCACGAAGAGTTTATCAAGATGATTAAAATGCTAAGACCAGGATATGTTCCACCTAATAGACATCAAACTGGAGGGTCTCTTTTGGATCAAGCCTACGATTCAGTGATTAAGAATTATTCAGAGGAACTTAGTGGGAAAACAGTTTGCATGGCCATGGATGGATGGAGTAATGTCCATAATGAGCCTATAGTATGTATAACTTTAACAGTGGACAACCGTATTTATCTTGTTGACTCTATACACAGAATCAAGACACACAGCTGAATATCTGTTGAAATTAGCTGAATGTGCTACAAAAAAGTGTGAAGACAAATTTGGATGCACAGTAAGAAGCTGTGTAACAGATAATGCTGCTAATATGGCAAAAATGAGAAGTGAATTCAGACAAGATAAATCCATTATAACATATGGTTGCTCTGCACACCTGTTAAATTTGCTTTCACAAGACCTGCAAATCAAGAACATTAAGGAGCACATTACTGAAATCATTAAGTACTTCAGAAATCATCACATCCCAGGATCTTTGTATAGAAGAGCAGGAGGAACAATGCTAGTAATGCCATCAGACACACAATGGAACACAGTGACAGATTCTATTGAATCTTATTTAAAGAACTGGGAGACCCTTGTCAAAGTGTGCAAAGAAAATAGTGAAGACATTGATAAGAAAATTGAAAGGAAAGTTAATGATAAGGCATTAAAAAGAACTGCAGAAGACTATTTAGAGAGACTTAAGCCTATTGCTGTGGCATTGGACTGTGTCCAGAGAGAACATACCCTATTAAGTGATGCTGTAGAAATCTGGGTAAAACTGAAAACTGATATTAAGGAGTATTTAACAGATAAGAAGGATATGGATAATTTTGAAAAAAGAATCGAAGTAGCATTGACACCTGCCCATTTTCTAGCTAATGTGATAGATCCAAGTTATCAGGGCAGACATCTGACTCCTGAGCAGCGAGACATTGCAGAACAGTATGTGTGCGAGTCTCTTCCACATTTCCTTTCAACATTAATGTCCTTCCATGGAAAAAGTGCACCATTTAAAGAGGTCTATTTTGGTAAAGATGTTGTAAAATCTCTCTCGCCCCTTGCTTGGTGGCAGTATTTTGCCAATGATATGACAGAAAATGTAAAGGATGTTCCTAGGCAATTATTTACAGCTGTTGCATCACCAGCAGGGGTTGAGAGAATTTTTTTCACATATGGATTTGTACACTCAAAGGTAAGAAATCGCCTAGGACAGGAAAAGGCATCTAAGCTTGTCACAGTACATAAGCATTTCAATGTTCAACTAAGCTAATTTAAATGTTTTGAACTGTTTTTGTTGTTTACAGAATGAGAATATTGTGTTGACTTGAAGTTATTACCGGTAATTCTTAATACACTATAATCCTACAAATGTAAGAAAATAAACTTGTTACCAGTATTTTTTTTTACAAAATGAGATTATTATTCTGTTGACTTGAAGAAGTTAAGTTATTAATTTTTGAAACACTGTAATCCTATAAGAGCATTTATGTTAAATTTCATTATTACGTTTGGATTTGTGCACTCAAATGTAAGATATGTTACCAGTTTTCTTTATTTTACAAAAAGAATATTATTGTGTTAAATTCCATTGTTACATCTACTGCATAAATATCTTAATGCCAATTTTCTGTTTATTATCCTGAATAAGCTTTGGTTTAAAAATACTGTTTTTATGGTTTAAAAATACTATTTTAATGCAATTAGTAAAAAAAAATCGATATAAATAAAAAAAATCTGATTTAAATCAAATAAATCGATTTTTTTTTAAATCATGATTTATTCCAACCCTGATACCTGACCAAGCAGTCTGATCAGTGCATCACAACATGAGACCATATTCACAGTTGTCATGCCTAACCATTGGGATCTTTAAGTTTGTGTAAGGAGAGATTATTCAAGAAAGTGCTTCGGGAACTACGATGGGTCAGAATCCAATCCTCCGGGCAGAGCCACCAACATTTCCAAATCGGCTGTTGCCACATCCCAGATATTAAGTACCCCCAAAATATTACCCTTAAACAAACAAACAAACACAAACAATCACACACACAATTATGTGTTTGTCAGGTTTGTTTTGAAGGCTGAATTTTAGCCATTTGTTGGCCACACTAGGTTGGCCAATGGTTGATACGTACACCACAAGTGAGCTGTCACAACACGACGTGGTATATATGGATAGCCATGAATGCTGCATGCCGCTGTCTTTTAAACAGCACAGTGCTCTAGTTAGCCTTATTCAAGAAAAGAGAAAAATTATTTTAGACAAAGCATCTGACACCTGGAGCTGTGATAAGAGAAAAGCTTCGTTTGACTGTTGATGCACGGCAACACACTCATGATCAGCCGGAATTATTTAACACTTGTAAATAACTGACAATCTTTCAATGTCGTTATGTATATGGAAAATAAGACTCGGTCACCAACAAACTCATTTCCAATCAGTTTTGAATGCTGTATACAGTACTCTATTTTATCTCAATATATCAAAATTTGGAGGGTATTTTTATATGCATTGCAACTGCCATACAATGGGTACCCCCTCCTGATGAATTATTCCAACAATCTCAATAGGAAACCCATCAACTGGGACTGCCTTTGGGTCTGTAGGCATCTCCGAATAACCACACATGACGGCGCTCCCAATCAGTCGGGTGGCGTAACGTCTGTGAATACGACTTAGGATATCATGGAGACTATCCTGCTTGACAAACTTACTCACTTTCCTTGAAATGATAACAGACTACATGGACCAAGACTTACCAGTCACTGGTGTAGATCTGTTGATTGTTGAAATGCGCCTCTGAACATAACCATAACAAAATACATCTTTTATATTATTTTAAAAAGCACAATGGTTTGGCAGAAATGACTTGCGAGGACTGCCTGATAGGCTGACCCATGATACTTGCATTACCAAAACTATTGTGCCAACTCATGTGACCCGAAACAGCTAGACCTCAATGTCACTAGCTACCTCAGCTCAAAGGAGGGGATAATGGCCTAGCAAGACTATGTTGGTCTTTGTGAAAACAAGTTTGACATTGCTCTAAATTGTTCTTATTTCATCACTAAAGTATTTACCAGTATAAAATCCACCAATTACTTAAAAAAACACAAACTTATTAATGGCGTCCTATCTTGGGCAACCCGTGTGCAAAACTAACTCCTTTTTTAATCCCTGGGTTCTCATGGATGTCCCTTCAAAATGATAGAATCAACCAGACAATGAAAACTCTGAATCTCAGAGTGCTCCCCTGGTTATATTAAGAATTACATTAATTGTAAGGGGGGATGATTATCCAGGTATAGGAAACATTCCAACTCGATTGTAGAGGGGGATGCACCCCCCCCCCCCACCAGTGGATGCGTTGTACAGTTGTGGTCTAATTTTGCTCCTCGTGGTAAAACCAATTCTCTGACCTAACTAACCCTGACTGTCAACTGATGTAGGTATGCTGTTTTATATAATTTTGGGACGAGCAAACTCTTGACAATAAGTGTGCATACATGGGTTTCTCTCGGGCACTTGACAAAGTCCCAAATTCACAGGTAGCCTCTAAAATCTAGCCACATTGTATCACAGGCAAAATTTTGAAGTGGATTAACAACTGGTTTGACGACTGGACTCAAAGGGTGGTCATAAATGGAGTACATTCAGAATGGAAAAAGGTCCTCAGTGGTGTAGCACAAGGCTCTATCCTTGGATCCACTGTGTTTGAGATCTACATAAACGACAAAGATGAAAATATATTTAGCCACATTGCCAAGTTTACAGACGACACTGTACAGTATTTGAGAAGGTAGCAAGTCAAGACGATGTTGCAACCATAAGCTGTTCAAATGGTCTTGAGACTGGCCAAAAAAATTTAACAATGCAAAATGCATGACTCTGTATGTAGGATAAAACAACACAAATCAACATTATTCTGTTAATAACACTTGGCATTGTAATAGGTCAGTCACTGAAGGCAGCACAAGTGGGGGCAGCACTGACCAAGATGAGGGAATTATAAAACAAACCCTCTAACACAAAGATAGATAAATGCTCCTTAATCTGTACAAATCTCACGTACTTCCCAGTCTGGATTACTGTACTGTACAGTAAAGCCTCCGATAACGACGGTTCGACCAACGACGATTCATGTGTAAGACCCTAGTTAATTTAGGACCCAATTCAATTGACGTCATTATTTTATTCGCATTTACGACAAAAATATAATAAAAATAAAATAATATTACATTTTCATATAAATAATAACTAAATCCCAACATGTTTTATAAAAATAAAAAAATACTGTAAAAAAGAAGAAGAAGAAGAGCACCTTGCACAAAGAAGCTGCTGGGCTATATGAGTGGTAATGCGCATCACCAGTAAACAAGAGTCGGAACTTGGCGGTCCCTTTGTTTCCACGCATCTGAACTGGAACAAGAGAAAAACTTCATCAGGTTTCTTGTGGCATTTTTGAGTCCCTATTCAACATGAGCAAGAGAGCAAGTGGTGGTGGTGCTGGCTCAAAAGCTAAAAGATAGTGTACAAGTACAAGCTTATCCGAGAAACTAGATGTGTTAAAACGATATGAAAAGGGGAGGGGTCTGTGGATATTATATGGAGCAAGCAATGAACATATTATTTTCTGACATGGATCCATTAACAGAACGAAGCATTGAAATTAACAGGGACGTGAAAAACACATATGACCTCAACATAAAGATGTGTAATGAGAATAAGAAAGCATCTGTGAAAGGTTCTTTCAACAGCTTTATTATTCAAAGGCCTAAACCAGCAACTTAAGCTACACCATCAAATTCAGCATCATAAGCAGCTTCAACAAAAACTTCAGTTTCAGCAACAGCTATGATATCTTTATGGAAAGCTTCGGCCATAGTTGAACCTGATTGATGAAATCATCTGAGAAAAACTTGCACAATATTCATTGGCTGTCCTTATGTTTTAGACTCTACCACCATTTGCAAATAGAATTTATGCTTTACATTAGTAAGTATTATTTAAAACATATATGAACAGTAGTAAGGTTATTTTTACTGTACATTAAATAACATTAATTAAAACATAAAAATTTTTTTACATTAATTTTATTATAACAACAACCAAGGTCTTATTTTCTTGTTTTAGGTGGATAATTGACATTATGGGTGTAAACACGACAACAACAATAGCGTCCCATCTCCTCTTGTGTGATCTTATTATACTGATTTATATTGTATAAGGTGCATTCATAAACATTATTTAAAGAATATAGTTTGCATTTTTCATTAATTGTATTGTTATGGGGAAAAGGAGGGTAAAAAGCCACACAAAAGTTATGAAAAGGTCACACTGGGGAATGCATCTCATTATTATTGCTTTATTTTAATGGTAATTAATGATTCATGATACGATGATTCACCTTACACTGCAATATTGGAGGACACATTACCGTCGTTATTCGAGGCTTTACGGTATACAGTACAGAAATGGAACCCTACCTCCTACCTAACATCCCTATAAATGGTGCACCACCAACACGATAGGACATGACTTTAAGCTTGCCAAGTGATCGTGCAGATTGAACATACGGAAATATTTCTTCACACAGAGGCAAGTTGGCCAATGGAAAAATTTACTAGTATCACAATCATACTGTCGTGAAGTGACCTCTGCTTCCTAGATGGCGTTGCATTTCACTTCTAGAGTAATCAGATGGTGCGCTGTCCACTTACCTATCTGTCAGATAACCTAATTGTATTGGGAGATTGTGTAATGAGTGCGAGTCACTTGGACCTGGAGGAGAATAGAAGAAGCAAGCAGCCTGTGTTTTCCTGCCCTTAATCCAAGTTTGTTTGCTGTTCTCTTTGTTATTTTAACCCACATTTTCCCTCTACCTCAACACCCTGCCCACTTTGACCAACTAATATTGTGGGTAATTTTATCGGTTAAAATTCTCAAAAAATATAAATTTCCAACAGAAATGTTTACTGTATAATAATGTTTGTTTTTCTCTCCCTATATAAGACTCAATATACAGTAATAAATAGGTGTTGGTAATTTCTAAATATTAACCCCCTGTGGACATTTACAATGAACCCTCAAAGATCAAGACTAAAAGGGGGGACCAGCTGTCCGAAAAAGTAGATTGTCCGAATCTTCCAGCAAATGTACTAAATGTATAAAAACGATATAAAAAACACCCAAATACAGTCCATAATATCCTAACCACTGGGGATAGTTATACAGACTTTCCCCTGTGAAAAAGCCATAATTTTCAGCAACATATTACTGTACTCACTTTCTACTCAAATGTACTTGACTAAAGGACTAAAAAAATTATCTCCTGTTCAAACTGTGAGATGTTTATACTCAACTTAATTGCTATCTTGCAAGGATTCCAGCAATGTAAGTTATAAGCCTAAAACCACCTTTACCCTAAAAATCCTATCACCTTCTAGCTGGGGTTTCATTAACATAACTCTTAAAAACTAGGGAATGCCTGTAGAACCTTCCTAATATTACAACCAGAACAATATTAAATAAATACGAGATATTCCTTTAGGTCTTACTTCACTTGCAGGTCCAGTAACATCAGGTTTAGTTAACTTTAGTTCCAGTTCACCAGAGGTCCAGCTCACTGCAGGTCCAGTTAACTGCAGGTCCAATTAACTTCAGGTCCGGCTCACTTTAGTCTACTTCATATCAGGTCCAGCTCAATTCAGGTCCACTTAAGGCAGTGATGGAGAAAGTACCTGAAAATATTACTTAAGATAAAGTACTGCACTGTTACTATATAAAAATTAAAAAATGTACAAAGCAGCTTTCTTCAAAATTACTTAAATAAAAGTTTATTTAACTGAATTGAAACAAAGTAAAAAAAAATAGTACAGCATGCCCTTCAAATTTGCGGACCTCGATTACTTGCGGATGATACCCTGGATGTACCCAAGCATGTCTAAGGGTAGTTTTAAAGTTGCTGGCATTTTTGCAGCCTGGACAGGGAGCTTTTCCTTCACCTGTATTGTATATACAAGTATGTGTGTGTAGACACACATTCATACAATACAGGTAAAAGAATTAATTGTGCTAAGGGCAAACACATACAGGGAATATACCTTTCCTTGTACACAAATAAAAATGCCACCCTCCCCCCCAGTCAGCAAATGTTATTCGAGGATTTGGCGATTCGCGACAATCTTGAGAACCTAACCCCATTTGAAAGGCATGCAGTTGTATTTACAATCCACATTGGGTTAATTTTCAGTTGAGTTTAAGCAATAACTAACGTTCATATTTCTTGTGGCACACCAGGACTGGAATATCAGTTCATCACAGGTGTTAGTGATTTTATGCTTTTACTATATAGTACACTAAAACACAGACAAAAAAAGTTACATCAACACCCACAGTAATAATGTGGCAGCCGCAACTGACAAACACAACATGTGATGAGAGAACAATAAGAAATAAACAAAGACAGCCTCATTAAAAAAAACCTAGGGAGGACAGACTGTGAGACATGTGGTGGACTTTGTATAAGAGTTGCACATCACAAGTGTAGCTTTAAGTAATACTTGTAACCCAGTGAGAACAAAACCCCAAGTACATGGGAGTAACTCTACTAACACACGAGGATCACGCTCACAGCCTTAAGGAGGACAATATTAGAAACTGAGCCAATTAGTGTTGGTGCAAGAATGACACAAGTCTAGTTAATAGGACTGGACTATTGTGTGCACAGGTGGACACACAGCCAGACATCACTGGGATCAGAGTCCTGGGGTTAAGAAGATGTGTTCCACGGTGAATTTTGTTTACCAAGGTATCACCCACCATTCAGAAAGGACTGGGCTCCAAGAGGTGGTGGTGTAGTACTGAATGACAGGAACACCAGACAGTAACCAGAAATGATGAGCTAAATTAAATTAGATCATCCAAATCTACTCAGTGTAAACTAATAGCATAAAGCAAAAGGAAGCTGACAGTAGGTGTGTTATATAGGGCTGACTCAGCCTCACAAGGGGATGTGCCAGACTCCATAGTCATCCAGAACACAAGCTCTCATTATGAGACAGTAGACTGGGTGACTCTTACCACACAAGCTGAGGGAGAAGAATGCCTTTACCTCCTTCAAGACTCCTGATGAATTATTCCAACAATCTCGATAGGAATCCCATCCACTGGGACTGCCTTTGGGTCTGTAGGCATCTCCGAATAACCACACATGACGGCGCTCCCAATCAGTCGGGTGGCGTAACGTCTGTGAATACGACCTAGGATATTATGGAGACTATCCTGCTTGACAAACTTACTCACTTTCCTTGAAATGATAACAGACTACATGGACCAAGACTTACCAGTCACTGGTGTAGATCTGTTGATTGTTGAAATGCGCCTCTGAACATAACCATAACAAAATACATCTTTTATATTATTTTAAAAAGCACAATGGTTTGGCAGAAATGACTTGCGAGGACTGCCTGATAGGCTGACCCATGATACTTGCATTACCAAAACTATTGTGCCAACTCATGTGACCCGAAACAGCTAGACCTCAATGTCACTAGCTACCTCAGCTCAAAGGAGGGGATAATGGCCTAGCAAGACTATGTTGGTCTTTGTGAAAACAAGTTTGACATTACTCTAAATTGTTCTTATTTCATCACTAAAGTAATTACCAGTATAAAATCCACCAATTACTTATAAAAAACACAAACTTATTAATGGCGTCCTATCTTGGGCAACCCGTGTGCAAAACTAACTCCTTTTTTAATCCCTGGGTTCTCATGGATGTCCCTTCAAAATGATAGAATCAACCAGACAATGAAAACTCTGAATCTCAGAGTGCTCCCCTGGTTATATTAAGAATTACATTAATTGTAAGGGGGGATGATTATCCAGGTATAGGAAACATTCCAACTCGATTGTAGAGGGGGATGCACCTCCCCCCCCTCACCAGTGGATGCGTTGTACAGTTGTGGTTTAATTTTGCTCCTCCTGGTAAAACGAATTCTCTGACCTAACTAACCCTGACTGTCAACTGATGTAGGTATGCTGTTTTATATAATTTTGGGACGAGCAAACTCTTGACAATAAGTGTGCGTACATGGGTTTCTCTCGGGCACTTGACAAAGTCCCAAATTCACAGGTAGCCTCTAAAATCCAGCCACATTGTATCACAGGCAAAATTTTGAAGTGGATTAACAACTGGTTTGAAGACTGGACACAAAGGGTGGTCATACATGGAGTATAATTCAGAATGGAAAAAGGTCCTCAGTGGTGTAGCACAAGGCTCTATCCTTGGATCCACTGTGTTTGAGATCTACATAAACGACAGAGATGAAAATATATTTAGCCACATTGCTAAGTTTACAGACGACACTGTACAGTATTTGAGAAGGTAGCAAGTCAAGACGACGTTGCAACCATAAGCTGTTCAAATGGTCTTGAGACTGGCCAAAAAAATTTAACAATGCAAAATGCATGACTGTATGTAGGATAAAACAACACAAATCAACATTATTCTGTTAATAACACTTGGCATTGTAATAGATCAGTCACTGAAGGCAGCACAAGTGGGGGCAGCACTGACCAAGATGAGGGAATTATAAAACAAACCCTCTAACACAAAGATAGATAAATGCTCCTTAATCTGTACAAATCTCACGTACTTCCCAGTCTGGATTACTGTACTGTACAGTAAAGCCTCCGATAATGACGGTTCGACCAACGACGATTCATGTGTAAGACCCTAGTTAATTTAGGACCCAATTCAATTGACGTCATTATTTTATTCGCATTTACGACGAAAATATAATAAAAATAAAATAATATTACATTTTCATATAAATAATAACTAAATCCCAACATGTTTTATAAAAATAAAAAATTACTGTAAAAAAGAAGAAGAAGAGCACCTTGCACAAAGAAGCTGCTGGGCTATATGAGTGGTAATGCGCATTACCAGTAAACAAGAGTCGGAACTTGGCGGTCCCTTTGTTTCCACGCATCTGAACTGGAACAAGAGAAAAACTTCATCAGGTTTCTTGTGGCATTTTTGAGTTCCTATTCAACATGAGCAAGAGAGCAAGTGGTGGTGGTGCTGGCTCAAAAGCTAAAAGATAGTGTACAAGCTTATCCGAGAAACTAGATGTGTTAAAACGATATGAAAAGGGGAGGGGTCTGTGGATATTATATGGAGCAAGCAATGACCATATTATTTTCTGACGTGGATCCATTAACAGAACGAAGCATTGAAATTAACAGGGACGTGAAAAACACATATGACCTCAACATAAAGATGTGTAATGAGAATAAGAAAGCGGCTGTGAAAGGTTCTTTCAACAGCTTTATTATTCAAAGGCCTAAACCAGCAACTTAAGCTACACCATCAAATTCAGCATCATAAGCAGCTTCAACAAAAACTTCAGTTTCAGCAACAGCTATGATATCTTTATGGAAGGCTTCAGCCATAGTTGAACCTGATTGATGAAATCATCTGAGTAAAAACTTGCACAATATTCATTGGCTGTCCTTATGTTTTAGACTCTACCACCATTTGCAAATAGAATTTATGCTTTACATTAGTAAGTATTATTTAAAACATATATGAACAGTAGTAAGTGTTGCTTTCATATTCTTATGTACTAGAGAAATGACGATGTTTTCACACTTACATACGATGGCATTCCCAATCTACTGTATTTAGTTTTTTCTTTACCATTAATGGTTAGCTACTTCTATTGTTCCATTTATTAACATTAAATAACATTACTTAATACATACATATTCATTTTTTTTAGATTAAGTTTACTACAGCAACAACCAGGGTCTTATTTCTTCAGTTTCTTATGTTGAAGTAGAACCATCGTCATTAGTCACTGGTGTTGTAAACGTGAACGAAAACAATGCCGTCTCTTGCGTGTTTCAATATTCTACGTATTATTAATGAATTGCATTGTTCATTTTGCATATACAAACATTAATTCAATCAAATACATATTCAGTAATAAACAATAGTGAATGTTTTGTACACATTTTTAAGATAAATTATGTGGTTTCCTCGAGGGCCCAAGTACAGTATTCATTGCCGTTCCACTATCACTCTTTGTTCTTTAACATCAAAGGTTATTTTTACTGTACATTAAATAACATTAATTAAAACATAAATATTCTTTTACATTAATTTTATTATAACAACAACCAAGGTCTTATTTTCTTGTTTTAGGTGGATAATTGACATTATGGGTGTAAACACGACAACAACAATAGCGTCCCATCTCCTCTTGTGTGATCTTATTATACTGATTTATATTGTATAAGGTGCATTCATAAACATTATTTAAAGAATAGTTTGCATTTTTCATTAATTGTATTGTTATGGGGAAAAGGAGGGTAAAAAGCCACACAAAAGTTATGAAAAGGTCACACTGGGGAATGCATCTCATTATTATTGCATTATTTTAATGGTAATTAATGATTCATGATACGATGATTCACCTTACACTGCAATATTGGAGGACACATTACCGTCGTTATTCGAGGCTTTACGGTATACAGTACAGAAATGGAACCCTACCTCCTACCTAACATCCCTATAAATGGTGCACCACCAACACGATAGGACATGACTTTAAGCTTGCCAAGTGATCGTGCAGATTGAACATACGGAAATATTTCTTCACACAGAGGCAAGTTGGCCAATGGAAAAATTTACTAGTATCACAATCATACTGTCGTGAAGTCCCCGACTTACGACCGACTCGACTTACGTCCACCCACATTTACGACCTGCCTCAGTCGTACCAAAATGTGGTCAAATTATGTATTTTTGAGTCCCAAAGTTAGTACACAAACAAAATTTTCATCTGTAATTCACTTTAAAATGGCTGGCAAGTTTAAAAGTGAGTGTTTTGTGGTGCTGAGAAGAAAAAAGACCCAAATTTTCGATTTTCTATGTGTTATTTAAGCATTTCCGACTTACGACCATTTCGACTTACGACTTGGATGTCGGTCCCTAACCCTGTCGTAAGTCGGGGAGTACCTGTACAGACATTTTGCCTAACAAGAACTGCGGAGATGCAGGATTATTATTCCTCCCCAGGGACAGTGTGCAGTACTAGAGGAGCTGCATGAAGGTCATTTGGTGTCCTCTTGAATAAACAAAGTCACACTCTTTCATATTTGTGGTGGACTGGACTGGACAAGACTCTACAAAATGCTGCAGCATCATGTTCAACCTGTCAGAAGTACCAAGACAAAGCTCCATCTACAGAATTGCATCCCTGGCCCCAGCACCCTTGGAGATGTCCTCACTGGGAATACTGTGGGCCCTTTGAAGGTTCTGTGTGGCTTTTGATAATTGACGCTCACAATAAGGGGTTCGACATTCATAAGACTACAACCACTTTAGCTGTGATGATGATACAAAAATATAGACAGACATTTGGTAACCATGGTATCCCAGAAACTGTGGTGACCAATTATTCTACCTGTTTCTCTTGCCCAGCCTTTGTCATGTCACTTCACTGCCTTGGTCACCTAAGAGGACAGTACTGTAATGGTATAGTGGAGCGGGCAGTAAGGACATTTAAGACGGGTTTGCAGGAGCAGGTTGTAGGAGCCCTGCAGAGATGCTGTTTGGAAGGCCAATGCAGACTCAAATGGATCTTATGAAATGTTCCAGATGGGAGAATGTAGATCAATATCAGCAGTCAGAAAGAGAAGTACTGTATGATCAACTTACGTTTATCTTGTCCCGGGCTACCAAACCTCTCGAGTTGCAGCATTACGGTGGTAATTATTTATAAATTCACAGCCTCAGAGTTTTCATAGAAACAGAATTTAAAAACACTAATTTCACTGTGTTTTATAGTGGACACTGTCGTACCTTGTGCAAATGTGTTAAAAAGTGGTTATTTCTAAATTAAACTTAACCTAACATTGATATGAAAAACAATTCACAGAAGCATTGTTAACAGACCTAACCTTACCTAACTTCCTAGCCGTGCAGATCAACCCTCTGGAGCTCCCAGGCATATTAAACAGTTACTACTATATGGTGAAATTTGATTTTTTATTTTTCTTGGACGTGAGCAGCAATCCAATACGTATCTTATAAACATACACTGGCGTCGATCGGAGATGATTGGCTGTGTACGGCCACATCACACCGAGAGACAAAGTAGTGCACACCTTGTCGTCTAATTATGTACCAAGCAAAGCAATTGGTCAATTTACGACAGCCATGTTTCAAATTTTCCATAAAAATATGTTTTTCCCTTGGTTCTTGTTGTGATTCGAATGATTCTGACCTTCCAAACCTGGCTACTACCCTAAATTGAAAAAGCAATTTCCTTAAAAAAAAAGGTTATCATACCAGAACTCAAATGATGAAAATATTGTAAGAACATAAAACATCAAAACAAATAAATCGTCGGCCTGAAGTCCTCCAGATTAGCCTAAAGGGTATTATTTTACATTCAGACATAGTGCCCCAAAAGTTATAAGCTACTGGAAACATTTAGATCTCACCTATACATGGCGAGGAAATGGATAATAGCGACACAATTTAATTTAATTGATTTTATATAGTTATCAGTCTTTGTGAGATGTTATCGGCGCATCACGCATGCACAATATTGATTGACGTCATCCAGTCGTGACCAATGATGTATCAATATCATCACGCAAATTTTTTTCGACCAATCAAATTTGATTTTTTTCAAAGGAAGCAGCCTGGGTAATTTCATTGACCAGTCTCACAATGGCCGTGGTGAAGGTTGATTGTCATTTGCGCTCCTACGATTATTTTAAGTTTATTGCTGAGTTTTTTCACGAGCGATCATTCCTAATCCTTATGTATCCCTGAACCTTCCAATTCTAACTTAGGGTACAGTGACCCCTCGCTTAACGAACACCTCGGTTAACGTAATTTCGATTAACGAACTGCCTTCCATAAGGATCTTCAATTCGGTTAACGAAAAAAAATTCGCTTAACGAACTTCTTACGAACCGACCTCAACATGTTTTCGCTTGCACTGACCGGGCAACCAGCTTTAGTATCAGTCCGCCAATACATTAATCGGTTCTAGGGCTTAAATTCCTTACTATTTTTGTAAATATCAAGAAGTTTATACTATTCAATAATTTTAAAGTTTAATATTCAATTTTTTAGTCATTTTAACAATTATTGAACAAAATTGAAGGTAAAGTGACTAGTTTAATGCGCGGCATCCAGCCTCTTAACACAGCAAACAGGCGTCAGTCTCTCTCTGTTTTCACTGGAGGTAACATCTTGCTTGAGACTCTCTTCAACTAAACGCTTTTTTTCTGTGTTTCCAAGCAAATTATTGGTCATTTTGAAATATATTTTATATTTTGACAATATATAATGCAGTGCAGCGTTGATTTAAAGAAAATAATCTTGAATTAAACCAGAGAGCTAAAATTTTATGGGTGAAATGGCACCATGGGGTGACTTCTCTTCCACCCCAATGCCTTCTCTTCTTCCTTCCCCTCCACCCCCATTCTAAATCCCATCATCATCATCATCATCCAGGAGCCTTCTACATACACACCTCAAAGTAAGTGAACTTTTTTACAATTTTTGTTGAATTTAGGAAATTTTCGGTGAGCTGGAACCAATTACCCAAAAACCCATTGCAACAATGGTTTCGGTTAACGAACGTTTCGGTTAACGAACAACCTTCTGGAACGGATTGAGTTCGTAGACCGAGGGGCCACTGTATTGTACTTATGTGACATGGCACGTCCCAAATTTTTAACGACTTTAACGTTTAGGTTAGTTTAAGCTAGGGGTTAGGTTAAGCCTACTGGGGGTCTGAAGGCGGAGCCCCGGCTAGGGGTTAGGTTAGGTTTTGTTAGGTCAGATGACTCGTTTTAGTACCCACTCCCCAAAAACCCCGATTTCCCAGGCTCTCCCCCATTATTGTTGGGGGAGGGGGCAAAAACTAGCAATTTCCGTAAAAAAATGAGTCAGATTCACTTAAAACACACCAAAATACACTGGAAAAGTGTATTGGTCTACCCCTAGAGACTTGTGTCCTAAAGCAAAAAATTACCGCCTTAAGGGTTAATATGTAGGACTAACCCGCCGGGCTGCTGCGGCCGTATCATCTCACGTCCATAAAATGCCTCAAATTTCACCATATCATAGTAAATTCTTTCTGTTTAATATACCGAGGAAGTTAGGTAAGGTTAGGTAGGTTTGGTTGGTTAGGTCTGTTCTTCATACCCACAAATGGTTTATTTTAAAAATTATCCATTTTTCAACACAAACTATAATAAAACTGAAAATTCGGCGTTTTTATAATTTTTTTTCAATCAATTAACGCCAAAAGTAACCTGGAGTTCGGGATTGTTTTTAATTTGCTGCCCCTAATGAAAACAAATAAAAAAAATGGCCGTCACACTTGTGCCAGGCGACTCAACACAATGTACTAAATTAACCAATAACGACACTTTGTATCGCCATAATAATCTAATAACAAGTACTCAGTTGTTATTGTTATATATCTGATATGACATTATTATTAATAAATGTCTCACCAACGCCTCACGATGTGGTTTCCTGGAGTGTCAAGTTGTCGTCTTGTTAACCCTTCCGCCATCTTGGTTCAGTGTCCCGCCCACTCCCAACCCCTGCAGCAAGTCACACAAATTAATTCTTTTTTACCACACAACCTAGATTATTTATAACTTATATTAAATTTATGAAATAAAAGATATATATATGAAAAAATATACTATTTTTATTTAATGCTATAGTTTTATGCTTGCAATATTAATGTTATTGTTTGACAGCGAAGTCATATTAGTTGGAACACCTTCAGCCATTACCAAGGAATACCCTAAGTGAACTATTAGCGAGAATATGTCAATCACTGTTAGTTTAAAGCGTGTCCTGGAGATGACGGTAAATCTCTAACATCGCGCCTGTAAATATATTATGACTTAAGGTATGAAACTATTACAAACAGATCGAAAATTATATATTTTCTATTGATAAAAACCAATCACATCTATGCTAACGTAAACAAACTCGCCTTGAGACCATTAAACATGAGTGGGTTTTTTTTATCAATATTGTCCTTATTATTCACATTGTATGAATTTTTCTTATTAAATAAAATATCTTAATATGAAAAATGGTAACTTGTGGTTATTTATCAAACATTGACCATGATAACCAACCAATCAGCGGCGACCTTGTGAGGTTGTTTACGTCTATCAGCTGATGAGAGGAGTGAAACGTGTTGCTGCCAGACTCCGCCCAGCTTTGTGAGTCACTTTCCTTATTAATATTCACTTATTTACCCCCTTTCCAGTCCCACTCACCACTCAGATATACACACACTCCAGACCGGAAAACATTGTCGGTGATTTCATTTCAAGGTGTTACTCACAAGTTACTTTTATGAGAGAAGTTTGTGAGTTTTGACATTTAAAGCCAAGGTTTATTTGTAAAGTGGGATGCATTGTTGTAAATAGTGTTAAATGGGTCATATCTCATTAAATAAGCATGTTTTATCTGCCTTGTGGCTCAGTTCAGGTTTATAGGATAAAAGTAAATGGGTAAATATTTCAAAGTTGCCATGCAGGGAAGTTACTATGGAAAATATTTTCACTCACTCTGTCAGTGAAAATAAGTTTTTATAGTGTATTTCATCATGTTTCATACGAATCTGACCTTCATCCTCCTCCCCAATTACCAACAATATTAGTTACACAAAGTGGGCAGGGGTTTGAAGTAGTGGGGAATTGTGGGGTAAAAACTGCAAAAATAAGACAAAATGCAAACTGCTAACTAGAGAAACCGGTACGACCTCCCAGTGTGTATAAAACGACTGACTGTCTGAATCACACCTTGGACACATAACTGAAGAAGAGAGAACATCACACTAGCCCTGAAGATGTCAACAGCTGCAGCTTCGTTCTCAGAAACCTTCACAGACAGACACCATCTTCCAACTCCCCATTTTAAATAACATAACTTGCACATTCTCACAAGTCTCCCATTGATTGGCTCACAAGTAACATGTGACATCTAAACTTCCGCTGATTGGCTGGGTAATAAGTAAATAATGGATTTCCTTACGAATTGCTCAAAAACTATAAAATTCCAACTGAAACGTTATAATTTTACTTCTTGGCAAAAACATATAAATTCCATGTACAGTATTTTAGGTAACATTATTAGTCCTGTTTTATCACTTAAACTTTCCACCTTCCATGAATGAGGTAAATGAATGGTAACTAATACTGTACTTGGCAAGAGTAATCTGGCCTTAGTACCAATTTGAGAATATTTACCCATAGAATGTAAAAGGTTTTATGTACAAAATCAGCTGAGGAAGATAGCCATGTAGAATAAAATACATACACTAGAAATTGTTTGTAGTAATTTAGATTTGATATATTACTGTAGTTTTATTTATTTTATGAAAGAAACAATGAAATGACAAACACCTGATCATAGAACGTAAACATGGCAGACAGGCACAAATTCATAGCTATATAGGAATCACTATTTCTTATACACTCTATAGATGAATTTGTGCCCCAAACTATTGTGATTTATGAAAAAGTTATTTATTCTTCATCTGGTGTTTCATCAATCACCTTACAACCATTTTTCCGCAAGTTAGCTGTGATTACCTGAAACCATTGTGTCTCAATTGCAATCAGATTAATTTTAAGCAAGTTTTACAGCTGGATGCCTTTATCACTTTTACACAATGGTGAACTGGGCATTACTGTATATGTTGGACTTTCAAGTACCCTCTTAGCGGGCAAGGCAGAGTTACTATGCCCAGTTTGTACAGTAGCATGAACAGAAGATAAACTATCATTTAATATTTGATGGTTTATTTCTGCTAAAATTAGACAAAACTCATTGATCAAATTATTAACTCACCTTAGGTACCGAAGACACAGGCAATAGCATAGGGAAAAATCTATAACTTTTCCCCAGTTTTTAGATCACCAAACATGTTGTTGGGACTCTGAGGAAAAAAGAGAATAATGGAGCCAAATTAGGGGAAAAAAGTTAAAAGAAAAAGAGATGTTTTATAAGATGAGGGAAGTTTCTGGGTTATATTCTAGTCCAGTACAGTATCTTAGAGTTCAGTTTTAATACAAGACCTAAAAGATTATACTGTGCTGAAGGTCTTATGTTTTTCATTTTCTCAGCACCACCTTAATACACTTATGGATGAGTAAGTGTCTAGTGTAACATTATTTGGATCACTTGAACATTACCTCCCCTAGCTTATTTAACCTTGTGATTAAATGCATTAACACTACCTGGGGGAAGGTTAGGCTAAGGTGGTTAATCTGTAGGGCGGGGGGTAGTCTTCATGTGGTCCTTTTTATTTATTACTGCTTTTATCCAGATCTTGGTTAGGAACTCTTTTTAATGGGGTTAAGTCGACCGGTGTCATACCCTCTGTTCTTTTGTTTTCCCTGGTTGATAATACATTATAAACTCATTGAATAAATATAACCTTACCGAGAAATATCTCCCAACTGTTCTGGAGTCATTCCGGGCCTTTAGTTGGGGTAATAAGGGTTAAAGTGAAGGGTAAATGTTTGTTTATGTCTTAACCATAACACACCTGATTTATTTAAAACCTTTACTGCTGTGGTTCCTTTATCCTCTGTAGGCAACTGAGTGTTAGCATGTGGATTTCTCTCCTTTATTGTAGTATCTGTGTTAATGTAGTTCTTGTGGTTTGTCTTAATCTTTAATAGTTATTAAACAAATTCAGTCCAAAAGAGTGTGTGTAGAAGCTTCAGTCATTGCTGCGCAAGTAAATGATCTTTGTTTTTCCATTACAGTGTGTGTAATGAATCATACAACTTCTGTAGTCAACAAGCCAGGGTACACAGAACCTCTGACATATGTGACTGGGACTAAATATCTGAAAATATTATGTCTTTTGAGTTAAAACCATAGCCCCTAAAGTGAGGTACTTGTAGGAGACATATGCCAATTAGGAAAAAAACGAGAGCCCTTGCCCACTGAACTAACACACGTTCTCCATAACCCAAGTTTCCATTGGTTACAAACTGCACTACACACCAGTCCCACTTTGTTCCAGTGTCCACATCTTTCATAGTAAAGTTCCTTTTATACATCAGCAGCTAAGTGTTTTATCTGACCATATTTGGACAATTATCACAGGACTAACTGTCATGAAATCCTTGCCCTGTGATATATGACCCACTCACTACTCTGGTGGATGAGTGTTAGCAAGACCAGCACTACTTGGCATCATGTCTTGACTTCGTGGCACTTAGTTCAGTACTGTGTTTTACCAAATGTATCTAAGATGCTGAGTTTCTAGGACTGGAAACTATATATTGAATTTCATCATTATCTTTGCAGTCTGAGTGTGGAGTTTTTATGGCTTATATCTCTAGTTATGGTCAGAGCCATTGTGCTCACACTGCTGGGTTGTTTACACCACCTTGCAGCATCCTTGACATGGCATCTGTGAGCCTGTAAAGTAATTTTGGGCTTTAAGTTGTTCCTTGTTAGGGGTGTAAGTTATGCATACTCGAGGAGCATATTGTCTCTGTCCCCTTTTCTGTACACAAATCACACTATCATTTATACTGTATTAGTAAAGGATTGATTCTGAATTCCCATTTCATAAACAAACAAAGATCAGATGAGTCAGATGCCTCCCCCCCTCACTCCTCCATTAGAGTGCTGAAGTGTGTTGGAACTGAGTAGGAATGTTCATGTTGTTTAGAATGTAAAATAACAACAAGAGTTTTAGAGCACGTGAGGCTTTTTAGGAGCTATGGCTGTGTCAGAATGGTAGTCTATCTTTTAGAATTTCTGAAATTTAGTCCCAGTCCCTGGTTGTCAAACTGTAGACTACTGACTATATTTTTTTATATCAAATGTTAATGCATTAATTTATTACTTTTAATTACATGACAAGAGCTTTTACTGTACTGTACTACCAAAGAGAGCTACTTATATACTGTATACTCAATTAGAGCTTTCAAAACCTCAGACCTCATGGGAATTAGTGAAAGTCAGGAAGTACTGTACTTCTTAAGACTGGCTGGGCTAGGGACCTTAGTGGCTCCCACACAATTGCAAACATGTCTACTTTTCTTCAACAAGCTTTTTGCCAAGTAGAAAACTTTATTATTAAGATTTTGTTGTTGTTGAATTTATCAAATTTATTTTTCTTATGTTTTTACAAGTCAACAAGTACCTGTGAAAAGTTTAGAAGGGTAACTATGTCAGGTACTGATTGATAGGGAAAGCCTTGTCATTTAATATGGTTTTACAGTATACAGTATAAGTAGCTCTCAACTTGGACAAACTACACATTATAACAGTCCATACAACACTATTCTGCTAAACTGTGTAAAAAAATATGATAAACACAAGTAACAGTCAAATTCTCTATGACAGAATGTTTTAAAATGGATCATAATCACTTGTTAGTGCTGAAAATTAAACACTGGAGAAATGCAGTCTGGATCACCTGAAGATTGTCCCCCCTCCCTCTAGCTTATTTCACCTGATGATTAAAACTAACGCTACCTGGGGTGTTAAATTAGGTTAACATTAGGGTGGTGTATCTCTAGGTGTAATAAGCTGGGACCACTCTTCAGGTGTTCTTGTAGTTCAAAGTTATACATAATTAACAATAAACAGCTGTTCAAACTAGGTGCAGAATTCTGTTTGATGGAGGAAATCACACAAGAGAGGGAAAGCTCAGTAGCCGGTCTGCTTCTCACGTTGGGTACACCAGCGGCCATTATCGGAGCTGTTCTGGCTGGGTGAGTACACAGAGACGGGGAAACACAATGTATTGAATGAACTCTCCTCATTTTGCTTCAAGGTGCTCTGATAAAGCCATGCCCACTTAACTCTCTCCTCACCTCATATTCTTATACAGTAACTCCTTGCAAGATGTGGTTACTGAGAGTTGTGGTAAGGAAAGGGTTTAAGCCTGAGTAGTGTTACCTAGTAATTACTGAATCTGGGAATACCCCTGTAATGAGAAAATGGTAAGACTGTGTTCTGTTTCGGCAGTCACATTTTCCCATAGACCCTCACCATAAAACCTGAAATATGGTTATATGTTCCCATGGAAAGAAATACATAGTACAGTATATACTTACTGCACAATGTCTTAAAATACCACAAAACATATATTTAATGTCAATTTTTGTGCAGACAATGGGTAGCTCAAGCTTCATCTTGGTTCCTGAGAATATGTCTTTGTTGTATGTAAATAACCTTTTGTTATTTGGTTGTCCCTGACTCAGATAATTATACTGTAGTTAATAAGACTATTTATCATTAACATCTTTAAAATATTTGTAGTTCGGAAAATTATGGTTAAGAAGACCATTTTTGTTAAACTCTTAAACTGTTGCCTCAGATTCCTTCTTGCCAAACTAAAGCCAGCAGCTCAGAAGAAACACATCACTGAAGAAACGACAAACTCAGGTAGGACTTTCTCACTGCATGTACTGGACTCGCTTATACAATGACTTTTCTTCCCACTCTTCAAGCCTTCCCTCATGATGATGCAGGATGGCCACTGTCAAGACCAACACAGATTCTTCCTTCATTTGCTGTCATTCACTCTGTCTAGCTCGCTGTAACAGATGTTTTCTGCTACGTTGTTCTTCCTGCTACAACTACTATACACTCCCAGTACAGTACAGTATTTACATCTGGTTTATCTCTGTTGCTTCACACAACCAGCATAACATCACACAGCAGCATGTCTGTCCATTTCCACAAAGTAGATTACATTCAGCTTCATATAATTCCATATAATTAATTTTAACCAGATCTAAAGATGAATTGTATTAAAAGAACTTTAACCGCATTGTATGTGAACATTAAAGTACCAGTAAGTCATATAAATTAGTTGTAGTAAACCTTAATATGAGCCCATTTAGATTTAAATTGAAATTTGTATATTTGTACAGTAATTTTCTTTAGTAAACTTGAGTAGAATGATCACAGGGAGGATAGATGATACACACTCACATACTGTACTGTGAGAAAATTGCAGCATAAAAGAAATAAATGACTTTGTACAGTACCCTGCATCACCAGATAATACCAGTCTGATTTTATAGATGGCAATGGGAAATAAATGACATAATTTCAGAGACAGCCATGGTACGTGTACGCAGATCTGCATCAGAAAATGAGTGTCCAATATGTATGGATCCAGCAAAATTTGCTGTGGAAACCAACTGCGGCCACATGTATTGTGGTGAGTTAAATAAACATAAGTCAACTATATGTATTTTAATTTATTAATTCTTGTTAAAAATTTATAATTTTACCAGTTCATTAAGAACACAAAGAATACTATTCTTACTTGGAATTTTGTTTTAACCTCTTGAATACTGGAAGTCACTTGTACTATTTTATTTGGTTAAAGCCATACTACAGTATTTTATATATTTGGCTAATGCCAGACAATTTTGTTCAGCATAGAGAGACCCCTCATACCCAAGAGGTTAAACACTCTGCATTGTCACTTAGAGATTGCTGTATATTCCATTATTTCTTTTAGTATCAAGGTGTGTTGATTCTATTTTGTTACCGCCTGAGACGCCCACCAGTAAACCACCACACACAGGTTCTATCTCATAAAGTCTGATTGTTGATGGACTATTGTGTTTACAGTACTAACCTTCTTATGGGATTAAAGACTTGAGTTTTTGAAGCACAGTAATAACATAAAAAATCATCAATGAAACTAAGAATGACTGTAATGTTAGAAGACTTAATTGTTGGCAGGCTGCTCTTAGGTGCCAGTTGCCAACCCATCACTGTATCATGCAAGTTTTGAAATATCGCTTACAATTTCACAATTTTCTTATATCCCATTTGAGTAGCTACTGAAAATTATCTTCTTCCAGCTAGTTGCATCATCCAGAACTGGAAGACTAATTTCAGCACATCACCCATGCCATGTCCCTTCTGTCGTCAGGAGGTGAGTTTTTTGTTTTATATAAATTATTTTTATTAAGAGGTTTAAATTGGGTTTATGCAAAATTACCTGGTACTTTCACCAGTATTATACAGGCAGTCCTCACTATATACACTCCCACTATACTGTATATACTTTTTCATACACAAAATCTATATATTATTGGACACTCACTATACACAATGTATTTTTGCTGACACATTCATTCCTGTCATCCAAATTTCAAAGATTTGCACCTAAGCTAGTTCAGGCCACACCACTCCAATACAACCAGCGCCTCTTCACCAAATAGGGTTTATTGCAGTGTGTTGGTTATTACAGATTCTTCCTGCCCTAACACTGGACAATTAAGGTCATAACAAATTAACTAAGAAGTAACAAAAAGCCTGTAACTGGAAGCAGTGAAAGATGGAGGAGCAGGAAAAACAGCAGAAATTATCTCACACTTCCTACAAATCTTAAGATTTACACAAAACTCCCAGAGGAAGAATGACCAAACACATACACACATAAAAACGAAAAATACACATTGCTCCTTGTTTCAGGTGACGCTACTACTGCCATGTTTTTCCGAGGATGAAACTAACACAGCAGAGTTATCTGAGGTGGAGGAGAGGGAGAGCGTTATGGTGGACGTGAGTCAGTACAACAGAATGTACTCTGAACACCCGAGATCTGTGAGTAAACTCTATACTAATAAACATGCCTGCAACCATATGGCCCCCCTGATTGGCAGCCAGAGAGGTTTTTTATACAAAAAGAGCTATTTTCATAACACAGCCGTTTGGTTCTTTGATCTCTTCTGACTTTTAGGTCACATGACCTGACCTCATTTAAAGTTTACCTTCCCCAACACTTATCTGGGGTGGAGATTCTGACCTGAAAGACTTGTGACAATGTGGTCTCGTGGCGGCACTGGTCACTGACATGCCGGTCGGTAATTTTGGTACCGACACAACCCATGGCACTTGTCATTCAGGTATAAAATTGCACTGCCACTAATTTCATACAGAGCTTCATTCTTCATTTCATGAGACTATTACTGTAGCGCTCCAAGAGTTGTGACGCAGATTCTTTAACCACGGTGACTTTCATCATGCCGTTTATAATCTTAGCTTGGACACCTTTTGGGAACTTAAAGCTCTTCTACCACTGGAACAGCTTACCATTACCATTCCAAGTCATGAGAGTTGCAAGTGGCAGATAAGATACCAAACTGGCTGTTAAAGAAACTGTACGACCACAAAGAAGACTTCATATGTACATCAACCTGCTGCATCCGTGGCTACATTAGGCTGCTCAACTGCAGTCTGTGAATCCCTCTGTTCCTTCCTTGCCACCCCCTTTGCTGCTATCCTGATTGCGGGCCTGATACTATACCAGTTTAGCATGTTAAGGGAATGTTGCATCTATCGTGTACAGTATCTTAATAAAGTGACATTTCAGATGATGTAATAAGACAGTTTTGCTTATATCTTTTAAATTTGTCTCATTCCATTTTTTGTTTCCATCTCAATCACTCCTCACTTGTTGACACCATCTTCTTCATTCATTATCAGGTGTTATTGTTCATTATCAGGAGTTATTGTTCATTATCAGGAGTTATTGTTCTTAATAACTTTCTCTCTGTATCACTCTCTTGTGTTATACTGTAGTTGGCATGTTGTTGTAAACCACAGTTTGTTCATGTGGTATTTTGGTCCACTTGTCATATTCTTGGACCACTTGTCGTAGTCTTGGTCCACTTGTCGTAGTCTTGGTCCACTTGTCGTATTCTTGGTCCACACTATAACCTAATTTAATAGGAAGTTATGTAATGTAGCTGAAAATTTTTATATAAAATAATATATTCTTTATATTACAGTTTTATGGCCAGCTTCAGGATCTGCCCACTATTTTACGTCACATCTGGGCAGAACTCTTCACTTGGCGAGGCGTTGAAATGCTATCGAGGTTCCGAGTCCTCTTCTGCATTATAACTGCCGTCCTGTACGCAATAACACCCATTGACCTTATCCCCGAGGCCTTCTTGGGTCTTCTTGGACTTATAGATGATGTTGTGGTCATTGCTTTCCTAATGATACAAGTGAGTGTTGTGTACCGCACCGTGGTGGCCAATAGGGACTGGTAGGTGTTGTATTATGCTGTGAAATACTCAAATGTAAAGCTTTAATATTCATGTTTAGGCATCAGAGCTTAGTAAGGGATTAAGGTCAACTCCAGAGTCCTATATATATATAGTATATATGGGTCTTTTAATTCGGGGAATTTTGTAATGACTACCTTTAATGGTAAGAGATTGAATATATGAAATATACTTTATTTTTAGAAATCTGAGATCGCCAATTTTCCACTCCCGACCCAACTGTGTCTGAAGTGACGTACTCTGACACCTGGTCAAAACTCACTTGTTTTCTGAGGGGGATTTAAAATTTTCAACTGAATTTTGAAAAAGTTATGTATTTCATGATATTTTGTAGGTGTGACAACATTTAAATCAAACTCGAAACTTGTGGCCTCACCTAGACACATAAAAGTAAAGAATTAAATAAATGAACATTAAACAACATTTATCTAGGCCACCACTTCTGTTTTGCTGTCGTGTGTTACAGCATCAGCCACTCAGGTGATGGCTGATATAAGATGTGGGGAGTTTTTTATTTTAAGTATAGAAAGATGGATGAAATATTAAAAAAAAAATTGGGGGACATCACATGAAGAACTTTCCCTCTGGAGTTTTCCTTTAAGATAATGAAGCTTTAAAGGTTTGCATGACATGAAATTCTGAAGATTATACAATTACTCTTCTGTGATGAGTAATATATGTAACATTCATTTCTTAAGTTTTAGGAACAAACTAAATGCATCAGTAATGACAAGTGTATAAGAAATCCCTGGATTCATTTACAATTAACATCAGATTGCATAAAAAATTTGACTGTTTGTGTGTGTGTGTGTGTGTTTTTGTTTGCAAGGTGACCAGATTCAGAACTCAACATGTACCGTTCAGATAGACAAAACTTGTGTAATATAGTTCAGTGTATTTGATATTATACTGAGCTGTAGCATGAACACTTATGCAGTCATTGAAGGTACATTAAGATTAATTTCACTAACACTGACAAGAAAGGATATTTTTAAAGTACTAAAATAAGATGAGGATTGACGGGCCAAAATGAGAATGCTGGTATTCCTGCGTGTCTGTGATATAACTTGAGTGATTTAAAACTTATACAGGTAATATATTTAATTTAGACTGAGCAAAGACTCATCCTTAGTTTGGACTTCCAAGATAAATCATATTAACAGTACTGTATAATATAGTCTTATTTAATTATTATATTTCTGATCCTCTTTGTAACACAAGGTACAGTAACAAGTAACCAGAACATGTACACATTCTCCCTTCCTTATGTGTCACTCTTTCATTCTCACTGTTGTAAAAGATGTGTTATGCAATGGTCCTCCCCTACCACAACAATGCCCCAAATCTGGTTTACCCTCATTGCTTCATGTCAGTCAGCTGTATGTAATAACCTGTTATGCAGTTGAATTTGTTATGCCCCATTTGTTTAAAGGAAGACATTATTAAGGTGTAATGACTTTAAGGTTCAAAACATCTCATCATTAGGTATGAATATAAAAAAATGATAACAATATATAGTTTTTCACTGCTTGCTTTTTGCTATGTAAAAGAAAAATGTATACAGAAAAGTAGATGAAAATTGAAATGTGTGGATAGTTGTTTTTTGAATTCCTCTATTTCTGAGGCATTGTTCTACATGCACAACGAATAGCAAACATATGCCAGTACTGTACTGTATATGTAGACAATTTGAAAACATTATTATTGGTACATAAAGGAGGAGAAAGTAAGAGTACAGCCTTGAGAAGAGCTATGTGAAAATAGTGAGTTGTGTTCAAAGGAATTCTAAAAGTTTGGAGAGGATGAGCAGCATTGATGATATATTGTAGTGTTTTGACTTATGTGATCACCATAAAGAATGAGTATTAGTTAATTTATCTTTATTGTTACAAAATTATAATTGCTTAGGAAAACTTACTATTTTTTATTTTGATCACCACTGTCGAGGCATAGATCATTAACTTCTGCTCTCTAAGATCATGTATAATCCTTAGAGCCTTTGTCATGTTAGTTGTTGTGAATTTTTGTTAAGAACTGAATCATTTGTTAGTTTAAGCCCAGCCTAGATTATACCATACAACCTCCTCCATCCCTACCTGGTCTAGAATAACAGATAAATGACCTGGAATCCCTCCCTTGTTCCTTGATGTGTTTCCTTATCTTTAAGAAACTGACGAATAAAACTGGCATCCCAAGTTTATGATTCAGGAGTTTGAGTCAAATGAACAAACTCCAGGGTTCATTTTAGTCACCTTACTGGCTTTCAAATCGACTATTGGATCAGTGTTGGAGACTGTCTCGTAAACCTGGGTTCAGTTTGGGAAGTGGACATTTATAAAGTACTTGTGTTACAATGATCTGATAGGACAGTGTTCCTGCCCCCACAATCCACATAGTCATCTGGACAAGACAAACTCTACCATGAGGTGTTCTGGTGGTGGAAGCTTACAGATCATTTATATCTTCCTTCCTCTTACTTAAAATAGGATTTATATTTGTGACTAATCAAATGTTCAGGACAAAAGTGAAGAAGAAGGAAAAGGGGAAGAGTTTACTCATATAGTGAATAGCTACATCTAAAGTGTGTAGGTGTTGTAGCTGAAAGTTCTGCTCCTCTAATGTCTGAACCTTCTTCTGATTGTAACCATCATTCAGCACTGTATTGAAGGGTTTGTGTCTTTATAAAGTATACTTTGAGTTCTTTAGCCAACATGACATCTTGATCTGTTCAGAAAACTTTGCTTTAAGAAATTCTTAATCCTTGATGGCAGAAATACAAGGCTCAAAGGATACATAGCAAAATTTGTCTTGGCGTAATAACAATAAGCTTACTGATTAAAATTAGTTATTCTGCTTTCCCCTTTAAATAAAGCCTCAGTGTGTTATGTACCATTATAAACCACCGGGTTCATTTAACAATAGATTGGTTGAGTACATAGGGTTTTTTTTTTATTTAAGAGTAATTTAACCAGAGTAGTCATCAGTATTGCCCCACATTTAATATCTGGTGTTGATGTCTAAAATCCTGCAGTGAGTACTTGATTACAGGTGACCCTGGGGCCCAGTACAAGGCAAAACTATGCATTTGGTCAGAGTAAGTTAGTTAAGGTTTTGGATGTGGGCTCAGGTAAGTCACTCCCCACCAGTACCTGCGGTAAGCTAGATGTTACGTCTCAGCAAGTAATAGCACTAAGTCTAACCCATTTCCTGCCATACAATTCCAGTTCCTTATATCTATGAAGCAATATGTAATATTTTCAAATAGGCTTAATGCACAAATCTTCATAGGTGCCTTGCAAAATATAGTTTTATAGGGTCCTTAAGCCAACAGTATCAGGTGCTCCTTGGAACTCAGCTAAGGCGGTCACCCAACCATGTGCTTAACTTCAGTGATCAGACTTTAAACTAATTTCTCTAAAGATTCTTTACAAATTAATCAAGGAAGACAAAAATCTTTACTAAATAAGGATAATGTTAATACCTTATCCCATAATCGTCCCCATAAGTGGTGTAACCAAGATGGATGTTAACAAGTTCTGTCCTATTGAGTCACAAGTTATTAATATATGTTTCTACATGACTATTCTTACCTAAAGCATTTTCAAATAAAGGAATAGTGATAATAGCCTGTAAACAAGAGAGGAGGGGTGAGAGAGAAAAGGGTAATTGGACAGCTGATAAGTTTGTGACCAACTTATGAAGGGTAAACATCACAAAGCAAGGCCCAGTTGTACATGAGAGTGAGTATGTACAGTAATGTTTTGTACCTTCTATTTATAATGATATTTGTAAACTTAATTTGGTTACCTCACTAATATTTTTATTTATGAATTGACGTATAATACTCAACACTGAAAAAAGCCTCATAAACAAATTGCTATTATCACCGGGACTAAGTGAAGTAGAATGCTCAAACATTTAAGAGTTCTGTTGTCTAATTTAGGCATCAGATACATATTGTCACAACTCAGTGCAGTTCACAAATTAGTTATAGTTATTTTAAGTTTAGAATTTGTATATCCACTACTTAAAATGCATTAAGGTAAATTATAATACTGTACTGTAATATAGTGCAGTGTACAGGAGTATTGAATGGGTGAGAGGTGTGAGCTATGGACTGGGTAAAGAGAGATACAGTCATATATTGTAGACAGGTGAGGAGGATGCTGATGGACTGGGTGGCAAAGATGATGACAGCTTACATTGAAGGAGGTAAATATATAGCATACATTATGGGAGAGAAGGTAGGAAAGAGTGATGGAATCAGAGATAACTAAAGAAATATGGTATAGTACTGTATAGTGGTAGGACCTGGTGGTGGCTCCCCTGTCTGGGTCACCACCTCAGAGGACCCCTCCATATAGAGGTGAGGGAGTGTGTAGGAGACAAGTTCTTATATATCTGAGGAAACTTGCCAGATACTAATTAGATTTCTCTCTATAGTCCAGATGCCATTAGATCACTTGCGAAAGCCTGGTTTATTGTTTATACGGTAATTAGCCAATTAACGATGATATTTGCCACCTGTTCTAAATACTCAGTGTGTATGTGTGTGTTACTAGCAATTCTTGCTTTAATTAATAAATGGTAAATCTGTAAAACAAATAGATGCAGAATATATCACAGACCCATTTTTTTAGGGATCAGTGGTTATTTTGCCAGAATGCCAATAGATGAATATTGACCTTGATATTTGCCAAATCCATTTGTAAAATCATAATAAAATCAGTAAAAAAAAATGTTTACAGCATCAAATATATTTATAAAAATGACACAGAAACATATACTGTAGCCTAAGGTTATTTTGTGAGACGGGGACCGAGAACGTTCGCTACAAAATTGCGACATAACAATACATGTACAGTAAAGTTACTAGTAATACAATATATAATAAGAGATTAGAGACTGGATGACCTAAAATATACCAAAGGTTAAAAGTTCCCCCCATCCACAGTAACCCAGATCATTGTAAATCAGGGACTGCCTAAACGTATACATCTGGCTATAAAAAGCTTGTTAGTTGTCATCACCCAACAAGCCCCATACTGTGGTGGCTCAGTAAACATCAACTATTTTTTCCTCTAAATTTCCTTAATGGATTTGGTGAATACTAGTAATGTGAACTGAAGAACAAGACTGATACTGTAATTAGGTCTTCTTAGTACAGGTGTGGGGGAGAGATGTTATTTTTATACACATGTTTGATGTTGTGTACAGAAATACTCTATTGGTTATTATTGTAATTATGGGATGAATGATTATCTAACTATATCCATCAGAAATATCTGCCAAATTACTGTACTACTAACAATATTTTCTCTCTTACAAACCTCTTGCCATACAGCACAGGTGAATTAGAACTGAGAGCAACCCAGATGCTTATTTGGTTTATATTATTCTATTGATCTGTGTTATATGATGTGTTTTATTATGGAATAACAGATATTAACAGTAATTCAACTACCCTGAGAACCTGTAGATAATACACTACAGTTCCATTGGTTATATGATAGGAATGTGACTTTTTCTGCTTTGTACATGACTAGCCACAGTTAGTTATTACCTTCAGCTTCATCCCTCGGAATGTATTGATGCATTATACAACCGGTTGAGCTGCCCATGACTGTTTATATTTTGCCTCCCTTTGTACTTTTGTAAACTTGTGCCTTATTATGTGTTATGTAAACTAAATAACCATGTTACTATGTTTATTTTAACTTATGTGACTTAATAAATTATTAGGCCCTATCCTTTGAACTTCACTTATGACCTGATTCTCTCTCTTTTTTTTTATCGTATACTGTGGTAAGAAATGTCAGTGGTGAAGAGGTAACTATATTCATTCAGTAAGTGTGTCAAGAGTTTGCTGGGAAGAAGGAAATTGGTTTCTAGTTAAAAAAAAAAAAGTCATTATCAAGTATGAATAACTAGCCATCGTTCAACATTTTTTTTAGGGATGGAGTAATGAAACATGAATGCTCATACTGTCATTCCCTTACTTTCCTCCTCCCCCCCCTCCCCCTTTGCTTATCTTACCCTAAACCAATTCCCTGTACTGCCAAATGCCCCCCCCCCTTTGCATTAGCACAAGCAATAGTTCCTGTGGGGAGATTAGAATACAGTACAGTTTATAGACCGGGTATTTGAACTCAATGTAAGGTTGCTTGTAACTTTTCCTCGAATAAGACGAACCAGCCAGACATCTCCAGGATACAGGTTAGCCAGTTCAAATAGAGTAGTGATGTATACATCAGTTGCCTCTTGTACAAACATAAGAGCCAGTGTCTAAATACTGCAAACAGAATACAGTAGTTGTTCTGTACTAAATTCTTAGACGCAACAAAGAATTAAGTTACCTGCACCATTACAGTATACAGTGCAGTATAGTCTCGATTTACGCGGTTGGTCATTTACGCGGCACCTGGCCAGATCGGCAATTATTAGTTACACGGTTCATTCCATCATTTACGCGGGAAGCGGCGCGGGCAGGGTGCAAACTAGGTCACCCAGTCGACAAAACATTACCGAGTTCTTCACCCGCCACCCACCACAGCCAGCCCAAGTCAGTGATAGTGAGGATATGGACTTGAGGGGTTTGACAAAGAGGCCCTGCTAGTCTCTGTGGTGGATAGTGATACAGGTGAGGGCCAATAATCTGCCCTCTGCCTCAGAACCAACCCCCCATCCCCGTGTGCCCAGCCATCTATTCTACTAACGTAAGTGTTAAAAAACCTAATATTATTGATATTTCTCTAGATATTAATTGTGTGTGCATACCATCATAAAATTAAAATGTTATTTTTACTACAACGTACGTATTGTGTTGGAAAAAGGGTAGTCTGGGGGGTCGGCTCAGTCTCTATTTCAATTAATCCCATATGTTCTGTTATTTCGTTTACGCGTTTCTCGTTTTACGCGGACCTCCATGGGTTTAATTGACCACGTAAACCGAGACTATACCGTATACCACAATTCCAGTATCATATATAAAACTGTAATCTAATAGCCTATTAAAATAGGATGAAATTATTCATATTAAATCTACAGGCATATTCATTCAGTGTGGAATTATTCACAACAGTTTGACAACATTCCCATGTAAATATGGAGGACTGATACACAAATTTTATTTTATAACTGAGAGTGGACTGGATGACTTGTGTGTTTATTCATCATTTCACCACTTATCTACTCACTAGCCATTCTGGTGGCTGGTCTGTTCTTACTTTGTACAATAGGAAACTGGAGTACCATTATAAAAACCTGACATGTTTGGTGTGGTCACACACTGACACTGATAACAGCCTCTGTCTTATGCTGGGGATTGAATCCAGAACATGTTAGTGAAAGATACATGCATTATGGGGGTAGGAATATTCATGCTAGAACTATTCCAAGATTAGTGTCCACATGAATATTGATTCTGGTTACATAATTAGCGACATTTTTATAATAAAATTAGAGCTTGGTTACAGGACACCAAACTGAATGAGATGCAAAAATTTTTGAGTGCCAACTTGATGGTGCCTTGGGCCTATATGCACTAGATTTCACTTGGCCAGTGAGTTTAGCTGTATCCTGGGTGGTTGCATCAGTTTCTGCCACATGACAGAATAAATTCACATCATCATACTGTACTTCCCCATTTTTTCTCATAGAACAGTCACCATGGGTCCTTAGAATGTTTCAGGTGAGAAAAAGGCTCATATCCTTGCCCTGTTAGGTGAAAAAGTTCCTCTGAATGAAACCCAGGATGCAATTTTCCAGCCAATCCTGTTCCACTTCAAAAATCGTCTCCTAGGAACCCAGAAAGACCTCCGAGGCCACTGATATGCTAATGAGATGAGAAATAATAAAGAACCTGACTGAGTCTCCAGCAGAATGAAGAAAGCCCACCACAACAGCCTTCAAGATGTGTCACAGCAAACAATTCATCACCAAATGCAAAAGTTATCTTGTCATTCTGCCTTAAAACACTCCTCACCAAGTGTAAGCAAGAATATTTAAGTGCTGGAGTGACCTGGGAACTCACCAGATCTCAACCCTATAGAAAAATACAGAATCAAATGATACACAAGCTGTCAACACAAGAACCTCACCTGCAGGAGGAGATAAAGCAGATCTGGACAATGGAGAGGGTCATTATTACTATACATTCAAACACTTGCTGAATCCACACTGACTAGACTTAACTGGTGTTACAGTAAGAGGGGAAAGTGACAAAATATTAAATAATAATACAAATGTTTTCAAGTGTTTTCTTGTAATATATCCCTATGTTTTTGTTTAAAGTCAAATGAAAATGTTACAGGGATCAACATTTCTTTTTGGAAATGTTGGGAATGTTTTTGTCAGCTACAAGTATTTCAAATCCACAGTGACTTCTGTGTTGTGCCCAAGTAAAAAATTAGCTTTCTTTTACTTTTATCCTCTTCGCCACTGATTGGCTCGTTAGCCGCTTGGTCATGTCTCTGTTACCACTGACATTACTGTATAGCAAAAAATACTCTTAGAAGTAACATAATTTTACCGTATACAGTATGTTATGACTTAACATCTAGAACCTTTTAAATATAAGAACTGTCTGCATTACCACAATGTCCCCACAGGCCTCAGTGCTTGATGTGGGTGGCCGGGGTGATAATGACAAATTCTGTAATCTTTATCTTTACTTTGGGGAAGAATCACTTCACAAGTGAGATGACATTATTTAAGTAAAACCTCTTAACAAACATAATTTAAATTAAAGTTGTATGACATAAAAACTAAAGGATTTAGTTTGTGAAATAAGCTAATATACTACAGTAGAGTACTTAGTAATTAGGGTAATAGATTGTTGCACCTCCTCCACTACATCTACAACAAAAATCTGACATTAACAGATAATAGGTACAAACCTGAAGCCTATGAGCACCTCCCATTAACAAGATGAATAAATGGCTGCTGGGGTATGAGCAGCTTTGTTGACTTCCGGTAGTGATGGATTTCCCGAAGGGCAACAGTTCTGGGCCGGAATCTCACATTCCTTTTAACGAGTAGTGGACTTTTGGGGGCCTAGAAAAGAATTTAACATTATTAGCGGCAACCCAGAATATGGACACATCATAAGCATGAGCACAAAATTAATTTTTTTGACAAAAGTTATTAAACACTCACTCTCTTTCTATAAAAGGTAGACTTCCTACACCTGCCACTTGCAACTTCTACTGCAACCATCTCCAGTTGGGTTGCTGCATTTCCTGGTGACCTAGACTGAATTGATGATGCTGCTGGTGTTTCAGTCTGGGCTGGTGACCCACCCAAGGGGGTTGTCAACATTTCAGCTAATTCATTATTTGCTGAGAACTCTTGGTTATTACATAGCAGATATTCCATCATGGTGCCTCATATACAGTAATGCTCTCTAGTACTTTACACACTATGTTGGTCAAGCTCACCGGCCTATACAGTAATTACTTGTGGAGTGACAATAACCCTGCTCGAATATAGGACTCACATAAGTCCTTTTCCAGTCACTGGGGATCTTTTGTTTATCCATGCATCTGCAGAATAAGATTTTAAGGGGCTCAGGAAGCTTGTTGCAACTCTATTAGCACTCTGGGATTCATGCTGTCAGGGCCCAGGCTCTTATGAACCTTTAGCTTTGACAGTTTGTTCCTAATACACTCCTCTGAGAACATAATGTGTGTCAGCGCTGCATCAAACTGTCTTTCCCCAAATGCAGGAAGATTGTTTGCATCCGCCTTGTGAATACTGAGGAAATGAAATTATTTAATGCCTCCGCCTTGTCCTGATCTGAGTCTGCGTAACTACCACCTTCAAGTCTCAGATCTGATACACCCATTTCTTTAATTTCGACTTTGCGTAATGGCAGAAAGTCTTTGGGTTTGACTTGGCCTCACATGCAATCCACATCTGAAACTGTTTTTCAGTGCGTCTACAATCTTGACTTTGCTTGAGGTCACTTGAAGATTTGCCCCCAGCTTATTTCAGATGAAGATTTGCATTACCTACAGTAGTAGGCCATGAGAGGAATATGCAGATTGCTTATAAATATTTATCAGCAATATCATCCATTCTTGTTAAATATTATTATAATTTTAATTTGTGTAGGAGAAACTGGTAGAGACATTAAGACTTAACATTGAAAAACACAAATATGCAATTCAATCATATACTGTACAGTACTGTACTGTAATAATGCTGTTTACAATTGGGTTGTACTCAACAGTAATGCAATATTGTATGTGGCTTGAAAGAAAATTAAAATGTTACCGGTATACAGTATTGTAATGTGATAATTTGAAGAAAAATAAGATTGTAGAATAACAATTGTACATGTATAACAATTGTATAGCCAACATCTGCCAATATGTATAGTCTATAATGGTAACACATGACCAATCTTACGTTTGTACATCCACAGATATGTACAGAATAGCACATTGCACCCGTCATGTGCCACAAACTCACAGACATTATATACTTTCTGCATTTCCTCTGTTTGCTTTTATTGGGAGGCAGTACATGGGATGTGGTCATAACTGACTGTGTTTACACTATACAGTAGTTTGTACTGCGGCTGAAATTTTTTTTGTACCGTATTGTGCCGTATACAGTAGAAGAGAAAGGAAACAAAAGCTGCTACATTTGGTGGCCTAGTATTAAGAAAAAAGGGCAAGCTATTATTTTGGTTGAGAAAATTAGAATAATAAGAGAGAGCTGAGAGGGGTGAAAGCCTGTTTGGCCCATTCAACACTCCCATTTGAAAGATAAAGAACAAACTACAAGTATGAACCACATGAGGACTGGTGTAGTTACTCAGCAATTTTCTACAACTTGTGCTGTAGTGATATAATGGAGGAGACGGAAAGGCTATTGAAACTGTGAATGGATGACAAATTTCAGCATCATAATCCCCTTAGCCTTTTAATAATTAAAGAAAAACCAAAGGCATACTATGAAGATCTTAAAACTACTCTGGGGTATGAAGGCAGTGCTATTGATTTTGACTCTATGAATTCAAGTTTGAGGTGGTTCACTGCTGGAAGACCTATACCGACTTGTGCTGATGAGGCAACCAATGAAATACCAATGTTACTGAATTACTGTGTATGTCAAAATTATTAAAGATTAGGGCACACTAGTCCTCAAGTATTCAATATTGACAAAACAGGTTTACCTGGGAAAAAGATGCCTTCACATACATACTTTGCCAAGGAGAAGAAAATGCCTGGTTTTATGACTGCTAAAGACTGCCTAACCATACTGCTAGGTGGTAATGCAACAGAGGATTTGAAGCTGAAGCCACTCTTACTTTACCAGTGAAAATTTCAAGAGCTCTTCAGAATGCTGTCATAAGTGCACTGTCTGTCATCTGGAATTCAATCAATAAAGGCTGTGTTAATGCATGCCCTTTAGAGGGTTGGTTTATGCACCATTTTCTGCCAGCAATTGAAAACTATTTACTGAAGGAGAAAGTGGCATTTAAGGCATTGCTAATCCTGGACAATGCACCAGGTAATTCTGCAGAGGGTTTTTCACTACTGTACATCCTAATGTTAAAGTGATGTTTCTCCCCTCAAACACCATTTCCTAACTCCAACCATTAGACCAGATTGTAATTGACACCTTCAAGGCTATTCCAACAACTGTAGGAAAGGATGCACCAACTCTCATGGAATTTTGATAGTGTCATAACATCCTTCATTGCTGTGAGGACCATTGATGCATGGGAGAGCGAAGTCAAGCAATGTACCATGAATACTTTTTGGAGGAAGCTCTACCCTCAGTTAGTCCATAACTTTGTGAGCTTCAAATAAAGACCAGAAGACATCACAGAGGAGGTTGTAGACGTGGGGAAACTTCTTAACTTGGAGATGGATGTTGATGATGTGAGTTGTTGGGGTCTTATGGCCAGCAGCTCTCACCACTGATGAGTTACCACTATACCAGGCAGTATAGGCAACTGTACAGTATATACAAACTAAACCCATTAATGTGAACTTTACTACTGAGAGGATCATCAGACTGACCCCCCACAACTGACCTGTTTCTTCACCATGACCTAAGTACATTTGACCTCCCTCCTGGTGTTTCCTGTACCTCATCTTTACTCACAACTGAAGTAATATCACTCTCTTGTGCTAATAAAACTTTATATATTGATGTGGGTTATATTTCCAGAGTTGACATTCATTTGAGTAAGAATCTTTCCCAAATGTTTCTTTATTTTTATACAACATATTGGTTTCTTAAATTAAATTCACGTCCATAATGAGTTTTGTGGATGATCTGATGAGTTCATGGATAAATTACCTAAATGACATTGTGATGAATTATAATGGTTATTTAGACAATTCTCTGGTGAATTAATAAACAATCCCCTGAAGTCAAGTTATATTATACAGGTTCACTATATAAATAACTACTATAACGAACTATACAAATGGTCACCTGTATAATTCATTCTATATATTACTGTACAGTGAAACCTCTATCTAGCGGACGATAAGGAGAGATGAGTCTGTTATATCAAGGGTCTGTTAGATAAGATGCCTCCCATTTAACGGATTATATAGACAAAAGTCCGTTACATGGAGGTCTCACTGTATTTGTTTTATTTACAGTTACATAAGAGGCTGTGGTACCTAACTAGTGGCCCGTTGTATATCTGGGAACTTTGTACAACTCGTAAGCAAATGTTTCTGCGTGATCCGGATCGCTGTAAACACCTAGGTAGTCTATTTCTAGTCTAAACGGGGCATTATCGATCTCCGGATATTCCAACAGAAACCACACGTTTGAGGGGGATCGGTGCTTGTCTGTCCTGCACGCGGCCTTTACTGTTGAGGAAAAACTTGGAGAAAGGAATCTGAAAAAGAAACGAAAATTACTTTAATATGATGTCGCTTCTATCTATTTATCTCTACCTATCTGTCTTAGTCTCAAAATAGAAATGCATCTATTTATTATTACTTATCTGGGGGGCTTCTGTGAGAGGTGGTGACCATGATCATGGGGCCTCCAATTGGTCCTAACATTTAATATATCTTTTGTCTTTTCTTGTCTACAGTATAAGCCGCCTCCCTCTACCATGTGATGTCAAAGATGTTGTTTCTCAGAATGTGTGTCACCTTCCCACATAGAAATCAACTTGAAATATTTACTCCTTGGTAGAGATTCAATGATGCCAACATTAACAATACTTCATACACAAAAGAAAACAGTGTCCACAATTTGTAAGAAGCCTCAATGGTTTAAATTCTTCCATGAATGTATAAAATATACATGTGTTTTAATACTTACCCTGGTGACCTGCCAGTGAGGTCCTCTCAGTGTACAGCACATAAGAATATATGTCATTCCAGGTTATGTCAAAATAGCCAGCAGTGGAGATGTTGATGAGGTAAGACCTGCCATCACCACGCACTCGCAGCTCCAGATGGTTGTAAAGAGACCAATCCAAATATATTTCCCTTTGAAAGGATTTCTGCAAAAACAATAATATAGTATATTAAAATAATTGTCAATTACAACTGTACATACAAGTTTTGAATTTTTTATCATATAAACCAGCCTTTTCCTCCAATGATACACAACGCCCAAACAAGCACTAATTGTGATTCTTAGAATTCAGCACCTGGTGTGAGTTACTCTACTACACATCCATGTTAGTCCACCTAAAGGTTGTTCCACCATCAACAAAACTCACCTGATAGAGAGTGTGCATGCAAGCAAGTGTGTGTGTGTGTGTGTGTGTGTGTGTGTGTGTGTGTGTGTGTGTGTGTGTGTGTGTGTGTGTGTGTGTGTGTGTGTGTGTGTGTGCGTGTGTGTGTGTGTGTGTGTGTGTGTGTGTGTGACCTGTGGTGTAATGGTCACCAAGCTCACCTCACAAAGCGAGTGGACCCGGGTTTGATCCCCGGGCAGGGTGAAACTATGGGCAAGTTTCTTTAAGCCATTTGCCTCTGTCTACCCAGCAGTAATTGGGAACCTGGATGTTGATCAGTTTGTAGATCATGTTCTGGGGTGATGGTTAGCCAGTGCAGTTGGCGAGTTGTCCGGTGTTCTTGGACTATTCCTTGACACTGGGTCATGCAGCTCGTTAACTCAAGGTGTGGTTATGTTAGTGATAGCTTCTACACCTTAACAAATTCACGCCTAGGTGGCCCTTGGGCCGGCCATCCTCGTTACACGAGGGGCAACCATTGTTATTATTATTAGTGTAAAAAATGTGAAAGTGGGTCCCATAGGGTAGTATGGGTAAGTACATTGTCCACTGAGCCTTCACCACTGAAGGAGGCAGTGTAGCCAGTACTGTACTCAACCACCCTCACTGTAAGGTTAGATAGCCAATCACAGGCAGGCAGACTGGAACTGAACCAGTGATCTTTGGGACTGGGGAGGACTGTCTCCACTTGTCTGCCACATCTCCATACACAATGTAAATGTGTGTCAAGTGAAATGAAGGGAGAGAGCATAGGTGAGAAGGGTTACATAAGGAGCATCCACAGCTGTACATGGAGAGAAGACCATCTATTGGATATTATTGGAAATCACTTCCTTGTTTTTAACAGAACACATGTAAAAATCGTGGTATTTTTTAAAACACTTACCCTTGGTCTTATTGTCTTCAGATTGCAGTATCCTGCTCTCTTTACTGTTCCATCTTTAGGCACCTGTCAAAGGAATGTAGAAATAATTACCATGTTATTTTACTTATTATAAAAGTGAGGAGAGACATTAAGAACTTATCCTCCACACAATGTATAGGGCATGTTTTAAGAGACAACTATAGAGGTGTGACAGGCAGGTAGAAGATGAATTGTCAGTTACTTTTGTAATAACATTAAGAAGCATTAAGATACTTGTACTGTATTGTCGTCTATCAATGAAAAGCAGACAAACTTAATTTCAGTGTAGTTAAAGAATGCCAGTTTTCTGGTCTCAGACAACTTGAGTCATTATGTTAGTACAGTATCTGGTACACCCACACCTTTAGAGGACCTCACACTCCTGCTGTATAGTCTTCCTCTCAAGCTTCCCATTTTAAAACTGTATTATAACTGGTTACTGGTGGCATAATGTACTGAATGACTCAGTAATGTGAGACTTGTGTGTACTGCTGAGAATGGAGTACAGTATGGCTGAAAGGTAAGACATGCCTACACTTTTAAATTTACAAGTACCATATAGGTTTAAGAAATTCCATATGGGTAAATTCAAAGGAAAAATAAAATATTTCATAAAAATTGCTCATTGCCACAAAATTCAGGCAAAAACCCTGCAGAGGGGTTTGGTACCTGGAAAATCCTGTGGTTGGTAAATCCGCAGTTGGTAAGATTAAAGGCTTATGGCAAATAGGGGGTTAGGTTAGGTTACATGGCTGCCGATAACACTCGTCAAAGCCGAACTAAGTTGCCCGTTCCTTCACAAAACAATACCTGCAACACTTCCCTCACCCGCACTTTCAACAAGTTGACCATAAATCCGCTTGACCTTTACACGAATTGCCTCAAAACTTAAAGGCACATTTTTCTGGGCCTGGCCTTTCTCATGTTTTCAAGAATATTGTCACATGGCACACAAGTTATTTTTGCACATTCCCACATGCCACAGGGACACTAGCACCTTACCATAGCCACACTTTTCTTAATCATACAAATTGAGAATTCTTTCACCCCCATTGGCAGGTCTCACTCACATCACATTCTCGTCACACACTACTGTAGTCTGTCGAGCAATTCAACTTTCTTCTCTAAGAGTCATTACCTTCCTTGTCCTCTTCATTTCTTACTCATCTTTATCACTAACACTCACTGCAAGCTTAAGGGTCATAGTTAAAGTTAAAATCAATGCTATTATAGTAGAAAATAAGTAATAAATATCTAGTGTACGGAACAGTAAAATATGTCTGCATGGTACGAGATCACAAAACTGAGAGAGCGTGGTAGAGGCTGGACACTGCATGGACGAATACATTGGAATATGGAGGGAAAATGACACTGCGCTAGAACGTGGTTACTCGAAATTTAATGCCACGGCTGGTGAAATGATATAGAGTAAAATCCGTGGCTACCCGAAAACCATGGTTGATGGGGCACTAACGTATAACCATTAGAGCTTCACCTGCACACCACATGACTAACCTGAGTGCTGATCTGTCCTGAGAATAAGCCATGGCCAGTGGGAGAGAGGGTGAGGGAGGCTGAACTGAACCCCTCCCCATGGTCTTGATCACTGGTTACTACCCATTGTTTTAGTGACTCCTCAGTATTCAAAATCCACATCTTATCCATGTCACCTTTAAGGAAGAGAGAACAGCATAGTTAATGTATGCTGCTGTTAATACTGACTGTAGAACCAACTATGTCGGAGAATGGAAATAAACCCGACACAACACGTCAGAAATAAAAAGTACTCCCCCTGTACCTTAGTGTTAACACAACCCAGCTAAATAATTGAGAACCCCCAGAATGGTTTATTATCCTTGGAACAACATGTAATATATATTTGAGCTAACAACAGACAGTTTAATTCAGCTCAGAGACCCCTCATACTCAAGGGGCTAAAAAATAATCATCAATCCATTTAGTCTACATATTAAAGATACTGAAAAGTCAAATTTAACTGGGATGGACAGACAGAATCAGTGCTACTTCCTCCTTAAAGTTTGGGTCGGAGGGAGAGAAGAATCTCTTAATTTAGTACAGGCAGTGAGACACCAGCCAGAGACCTACAGTACACTATTGGTTAAAGAAAACTATCATATTTTTTTAACTTCCTATCTTTAAATACATCAGCCTGGAAAATGTCCTTAAAGCAGTGATGATGACACATTTAGATGAAATTCAACCTTATAGGAACTTTTAAACACAACAAGATACCACACAAATCTCACTAGAGGCATCTTGACAGATTCTCTTTGATATACTTGATTCCCATAACCCAATTCCTTGTAGAGCAGGACCAATCTTGTTTAGAGGTAACAATATGTGGTGCTGAATATGATAAACAAGGATGATTATTTTACTCTTAAGAAGTGTATTTTATGTAACAAATTTCTATATAGATAAAGAACCTAATACAAGATATATATTTTTTTCATTTTTACAAGGTGGTTCTGACCTCAGCATTGGGTGGCTAAAATTCAACACAACAATGACTCTCATGATCTGTTACCCATTCACTTTAGCTGCTGTAACGAGATACTGTACATCATGTCATGGTGTTCCCCTTCTACCACAATGCCCAAGACTTTCATCTGGGTTACCCATCACTTCATATTACAGTACAGTACATCCAGATACAGTAAAATCCACTTTGGTACATCCACAATACAAAAGTACACAGGTCGAATTCACACACAGCCTTGTCTATGTAACTGGTAATTCTATTCAGTTCCATCCACAGAGTACTGGACCATGTACAGGTATAGCTATGTGGATCCTTCATACAAGCACTCTCCTGTAGTGTTGCAGTGCCCCAACAGGTGGTGATCCCCCAATCCTTAACATTAAGTAGTTATTGTGTAACCTCACCCTCTAAAACGAAGCTTGTCCACCTTAATGTTGTTCCACCATCAGCAATTAGTAGATAGACATTTATTCAGTCTAATTGTGATCCAAGTTCACATTGAATCAGCATGTGTATACAGTGCAGATAAACAATGTACAAAGACAATACAGGTACAACAGTGGTAAAGAATAAGTAGATTCAAGTTTTCAATCAAGACCCAAGAGCACAAAGGGTAGTGTACTGTGCAAGGAAGGAAAATAATCCTCCACACTGGTCAGGAATCAAACCTGTGTCCATTGAGATGAATATTATACTTGTGAGTTATGGAACTATTAAAACTACTGTATGTGGAATAGTACAGTTCTTTCTATGTCTATTGTAAAAAAAATATAGGAAATTGTGGAAGACAAGTGTAGCAACTGGAAAGAGACAGAACACAGTTGAAACAGCAAAAATACTTCATGTCACAGTATATCAACACAAGTACGGTAATCAAATTCAACGTTCAAACCACTAAAATGTTGGCTGAGAAATACTCATATCTTTAACAATACCAAACAACAGAGAAGAGACACTATGATGAGAAATCTGCCACTTATCTCATGACCGGTGTGACGAGAATCAAGATGAAGAAGAGTACAGTACCACATAGTCTGGATTTTACTATGAAATTAATGAACTGTAATCAGTGTCTTATAATAAATTACAAATCAAGTAAAAAGCTAAAGAGAAACCTCTATACCTGTACAAATATTTCTCCTAATCATGTGTAATAAAAAGTAAAATCACTTCTTCCCAGTTAAGATGTAGGTTTAGTACTGTCTTTTGCTCACACTAAGTCTTCAAGCAATATGACAGAGTTATCCAAATCAAGACCAACAGATTTTTCTTTTACTTGCTGTCATTCAATCTCTTCCAACTGCAGTAAGAGATATTGTCTGCTATGGTGTTTCCTTTCCAGAACATGGCCTCAAAGTTTCCATATACAGTACTTTACACTATATCAGCATCTATCCATATATAGTACTTTACACTATATCAGCATCTATCCATATACAGATAAGATGACAGGGAATTTGCAACAATGTAATAATTTCTTAAGGTTCCATCTCTAAATCATCTATCATCAAGGCGATAATTCTGAAAATGCCAGAAATCCTACCCATAAGCACCCTGTTGTACTCTAGCAAACTGTCGTCCAGTTCCAATTGCATGAATGACGTTTTCGTATTTGTTTGTGAGTAAACGGATGATTTGCCATCACTCCAGCCAGTCAGTACAGGGTTGGGTTTTGGGGAAAGGTCCTGGGCTGGTGGAGTTGAACTTTCTGAATCTGCAAGGGAGACATTAACCCAAACAGATGCAATCAAGATCCAGTCCAGTTTACATGAAGAAAAACATCACTGGAAAAATCAAATGTTACGTTACATGATGTATAGTCTCAAAACACATGATGGTGGATGTCATAATGTTAAAATTATTTGTATTTAAAGAGCATCATATTAAAGATGGTAGAACAACATCATTGGTGGGCAGTATTATGTATAGTGTACAGTATAGTGCTGATCATTCTATCATGCATTGGTCTCACTCTCCTCACAATTGCAGATGAGATAACCAAAGCTAACTTCTTTTTTTTCTATCTACTTTGTTAATTACTATACAGCCAAATGCCAGATCTTAAAAAGTCTTACTAACACACACAAAAAAAGAAAATAATAACATTATACATATGTCTACAAACTTGTAAAGACGAGAAGAAAATATCGACCCTGACACAATCCACACAGGTAAGCAAAAGTTAATACAAGTGTAATTTAAGCTGAGTCAATGATGAGTCAAGCTGGTAAAGACTAAACAGTAGATGGACCATAAAACAAGGCTGGTATGACCACTGATACAATGCCAACCACAGGCTTATCACACTCATGTAGACTCACTGATTCACTGACCAACAAGACAATAACAATATGGCACCTTTATTGGACTCTAATTTAGAACAATGACTTAAACCCAGAGTATAGTGTCATGGTCATCTTATTCAAGGGTTAAAACATTATACTCCAGGGTTAAGACATTATACTCCAGGGTTAAGACATTATACTCCAGGGTTAAGACATTATACTCCAGGGTTAAAACATTATACTCAAGGGTTAAAACATTATACTCAAGGGTTAAAACATTATACTCCAGGGTTAAAACATTATACTCCTAAATTGCTCCCTCTCCCACCCCCCCCCCCAAAAGGCCACAGTTACCAATTTATCCCTCAAACAGGTCGTAGTGATCTATTTTCAAGAGAATAAATACAAGACGTTAAATAATTCTAACTAACCTCCTCTAACTAAAATTGGATCATCTTCAAATTTTTCCCGCACTTCTTCCTTCCATAATGACAATTCACTTCTCAGCTGCTTCAGGCCATCCCGAATCAACTCCTTATGGCTGAGTTTTTTCTGTAAGTTGAAGGAAAATATTAAATGAATTCAAGACCAAATATTGTAGATGGCATTCATTATTACATTAAGGGGATCAGGTAAATATTAATCACCCAAACTTATTTTACCTGATGATTAAAAACACTAGCTCTTACCTGGGGTGTTAGGTTATACTCCAATGTTTAATTAAGATAGGTAAGGTTTGCAATAGGTTGTTAGGTTATACTCCAATGTTTAATTAAGATAGGTAAGGTTAGCAATAGGTTGTTTAATCACCAGATGAAATAAACTGGAATGCCTAATCTTCTTCATGTGATCCCCATTTCCTTATAAAGTTGAGTTATATACCTTACTACCATATCCTCCCTTAGGATCTTTTTCCCAGAAGAGACGATGAACTGCTGTTGTGGAAATGTTTCTTGATACAAATACTCTATCACACTTAGGTCTATGTGTGAGAAGTCCACAGTCTTTTAGGTACGTATTAACATCACTTAGATTCGAAGATACAGATACTAGAGTATTGTTAATGAATCGACATTTTCTTTTATAAGAACTTGAGTCATTGTGTTTATATATATAGCTGTAAGTCCTAGATATTTCTTTAGTTTTTAAGACACTCTGATTTGGAGTTCTTGGTGACCACAATAAAAGAAACTGTGTACATAAAACGCCACTTTGAGGTCCTCCTGGGACTCTCAACCCCCGTAAGTGGAACATCGTTGACTACTTCTTCATTTCTGTAAGGGGAAAAATTTACATAATTACAAAATGAGAAATGTCAATTATTGTATCATACTCTGAGCTACAAGATGTATAAGTCTTATAATAGCATAATAACCATCATTGATAACAGTGTTCAATTAAATGTACTGTACCATACTTAATGATACTGTACGTTATTTTGGCAATAGTCAGGAACACCAACTCGTGAGAAGGAACAAGTTTAGGGAAAATTTCTATTGACAAAACGTCTTTCGTACCTTTAGAATACACACAAAAAATGAAGGAATTGCAACTTGCTTATTTTTGTTTTCCCTTGTTTTTGTCAAGAGTAAATATGGTTCATGCATGTAAGGACACCATGTTTACAATTCTTCTGTTGTCATTAAGCTAAAATAACAAAATAAGTCTGTACCCTAACTAACCTAACCTAAAATAACACACTTCTAAACTAGGATTGGTAATTTAGATTAGGTTAGGTTAAGATTGGTTGATTTCTTATTTATGGTAGGCAGTGGATATTTTACCACGACCGGCCAAGTTCCTACTAATGCTATTTTATCGTGAGTGCGCTCTGATTGGCTAATAGTCCATTACCGGAGAACAGCGTGAGAACGATTTGTGACAGTAACTCTGGTGGCATTTGGCATTCATTTGGCCGTGAGTTAATCGTTGTGTAGCTATAAACATCCCTAACCAGAAGTTGTTGTTCAATTTTGGTCATTTTTTGCACAGACGTTCTTGTCATTATAAAAGAGGCATAATTTACTAGAGCCTCATCTAACCAATCAAAAAACCTGCCTGACCTTACCTAACTTCCTAGACGGGGGAAGGACCCCATCATTTTAAACACAGAGTAATTAGTCAATCAGAGCGCACTCACGGTAAAATAGTGTTAGTAGGAACTTAGCCAGTCACAGCAAAATATCCACTATGTTTATGAAAAATCATTGGACACTGAGATGTACTGTACTCGTGAGTATGAAATACTGTTCAGATCAAAACTGACAAAACTAATAATATGAAAATTGCATATCCCTGATACTTATTAGTGTATTATGAACAAAATTGAGAAATTATAATAATCTAAGCAAAAAAAATCTACTTGATACTTCTAACTCAGCAAGGCAAAATAAAATACAAAGGAACCTAAAGAAACCTAACTTGAAATCAAAGTAAAAAAATATGAAATAAAAATTTCCTACAAAAACACCGATACAATTTTTTTTATCCCCATTGGAATTAAAACAATACTAACCGGTCGATCTAACCTAACCTAACCTAACCTATTATTGCCACTGAAGAAAATCAACTCCAAACTAAAAAAATATCCAAGTGATAATGGCAAAAAAATCCTAAATACTGTAACTATTGGGATACAAAAATAGTAAGCAAAACACCAGTAAGTGTAAGGGCACGAGTGTGACATCAACACTTCCGCTGATCGACCCTAAGTGCGAGTGCATGAGTATCACAAGACCTACACTTTTGCTGACTGGCTGAGAGAGTAAACAAATAAATATACACACAAACTAATGTACTCTCATAATTGAAATAAAAAGAGTGAAAACTACGGTATAAATTTTGAATGGAATATGCTCTAGATCAATTTGTTTTTTTGCTCTATCTCCCTATATAAGAATTAATATAGTTTCGTGAACGGTCACTACGGTATTAACCACCAGTATTGGGCAGGTAATGACAAGCTCCAGTTTAAACACATATCTAAGGTACTTAAAGTAGACATACATTGGGCCAACACATCAACCACTAGTCTACACCGCAACTATATACCAAATTAGACATATATCTGTTTATGTCTTCATATACATGGCGATTACTTTACAAATAACTACACAAACTAACACGTTATTTCAGGTTATACAACAAAGTAACAGCCACAGTACTGCCAGCCTCCGGTGCTCCTCACTGTGTATCATAACATATTTATTCTAGGCTTTATTGCACAAGGTTAGCTCCTTAATTATCTAGAATATAAAAACTTTTCGATATAATTTTATTAATGAAACAATTGCATGAGAATTTTATTGAATATATTTTTACTTTAAATATCTAGAACATAATAATTTTATATGTTGATTTAAGTTAGGCATAGTCTCATTAGTAATATTTTTGACCGAATTTGGGATTAACTATTTACTTTTACTTTTATCCTCTTGGTTGAACTCCTTTGGACACTTTAAAAAAATAATTACCACAACTTATCTGCCGTTCGGTCAATTGGTCTATCCAGTGTAAGTCACACTGGACGACCCTTCTCACGTGTGTACTGACCACACAAGGCTCGAACCCTTGATAAAACTTAAGAGATACGCGTTTTACCGCTGTACCACATCTAAAAATATTTTAATGATATCCTTGCCTTATGGGAGATGGATAATTTAAATATGAGTTGGACATTTGTAGGTAAATTTGCACAAGTGGGCCCAACTCAATTTCTTAACTCAAAACACGTTTTCGCAGTTCTCTTCTACGGCATTTCCGTCGGAAATTTATATTTTTCGTCTATGGATACAGCGATTTGTGGTTATTTGGGCACTTTTTCACCTTATTCTTGGGTTGTATTAGGCTCTTGCTTCGATATACCAGTACTTTCTTTTGCAACTGTCTATATTTCAGTTTATACTGTGGGGTGCGGGTTGTTTGGTCCACACTCAGGATGGGATGGAGAAAGGAAACTCACAATGTGCTCTCTGTATACATGTTGTATTGGATGTACAATGCAGCTTGGTGCTGGGAAGGCAGCGTGTTTACAAGCGTGATGTAGAGAGAGCTGGTTGGTGAGGATGCTCAGAGGAGGACAGCTTGTGGGTCGCCATGCTCGCCGGCGGGAGCGAGGGCCGCCAGGCAGGCGGAGGAGGTGTTGCTGGCTGGTTGGTGTAGGTCGAAAGAGAGGTCACCACGAGGTCAGGTCTTATATAGCGGGGGTAGGCGTGGCTTAATAGTTGACCTCCGTCATGTAAGGCGGCGCCGGTTGACCTAGACCACGAGGCATACACTGGGGAATTCGCGGGGTCGGCTACTCAGCGACAAACAGCGTTTGTAGGGAAGGTATCCACTACAATACTTTCAATGTATTTTAAATAGCTGTAATATCGCCGAGAAGTAAGAGGCATCAGAGTTGATGATCTCACCTCACCAAGAAAGATATACAAAGGAACTACTACATCATTCGATTCATGTTCGACCCCAACTGCCATGCCACCTCTTGACAATCTTCCTCATCATAGAAAACGTTGAGCTGTTTAGAGAACGATTTTATCTTTAGTGTAGACTCCTGTCATAAGCCGGATACGTTTTTATATTTAGCATCAATTGCATAACTATAAATGGAAGGAATCTACATGTACATAGTTTTTGGACAGAAATCAATCAGGTAAATAAGATCATTACAGTATTTGCTTATATAGTACTGTACCGTACTTGTACTTTCATCCTCTTTGCCATTGATTGGCTCGTTAATCGCTTGGGAGATCGGTCACGTCTCTGTTATGCACTGTTGGCATGTACTGGCTCCTGAATGTATCTGAACCTGCTCCAGTGTTGGTCAAGTCTGGTCTTGAAAGAGCTCACACTTGGTGCCATCACAACTCTGGTTAATGAAAAACACAAACTCAACAGTGCCTGGATTGCTTTGCCAGCTACCTAAAGAACACTACACACATTGTCCTGCGGTCTGGTGGCAGCGACCTTAAGTTAAGACGTAAAAAGAAAAAAGGCAATACGTACCATCAATAAGGGACTTACAGTAGGTGGTAGATAAATATAAGTTAAACAAATACCAAAAACAAGTAGGAATGTAGATGATGGAGTTGTTTTTGCCAACTCCAAGTCCCTGCCCAGTGTTTCCTGAGCAGCTTAGTCTTGGGGCACATCTTTTTCATTCTTGAAGCTGTATAGGAAATAGAAACCCTTAAATGGGAGTCTTTGCATGTACTATACTGTACGTGATATAACTTGAACACTTCTCCTAGAGGGAAATTCTTTTATACATATTAGAATGGCATGGAGATGTATATGTATCCCATTTAATCACCAAAAAACAAACCCAGGTAACACATGAGAGCTCAGCGATAAAATACGATGTAATTTATAAGGCAATGGATATAGATATATTTATTTTTCTTAAGATAAATCAATAAGTAGGAAGAAGGAATTACAAATTCTTATAGTATTAATTAAAGTTACATGTATACAGTTCATCTCTACAGCTTATTGAGTTATAGCTACAGTTGTCCCCACACAATTAGCATGGTGAGCAGTGCTGTACAGATATATTCCTCATAAAAGAAAGATCTCTTAATATATGTTAAAATGCTAGCAAACCATACACTACAGTATTAAAATACAGGGGACTTGTTTTTAACTTGAGAACCCTTAATGATTACTATCCTTAAGGGCGTGCAGTAAACAGGAACATAAAAGTTAGTCAAAATAAAGTCTTAATACAGCGAAGAACATCTATGGTCCTAGCAATGATATGATCAGATTTTATTGCTAATGATTTTTATGTTCTTGTTTACTACACGTCCTTACAGGTAATAATCATCAAGGGCTCTCATATTAAATTTATACACTACATATATCAATCATTTAAGCTTCTCGAATAAAAAACAAAACTGTGCATCCAGTGAAAGATCCTAACAAACAATCACTGAATTTTCACAAAGGACAAGAAGAAACAAAATATTTAATATACTACCTAGCTGATGCTATTAAATTAGGCGAGTCCAATAATAATATATAGACACAAATCATTATGACCTTTATACAATATATCATGGGTAAAAGAAGTTGTAGAGTATATGCAAGAACATTTGCTTCTCTGTTACAGCTTTATAATGTAATGACTGTGGGTTGGAAATCTTAGCTGTGTCATGGATATAAAGCAGTTGGTCACATAAGATTCAGTGACATTTTAAATTATAGTATGGTTGTCATCCTAAATTACACCATTGATATTTTAAATTACACTATGGCAAGATATTATGTACTACTTTTTACTATTGTACATTATGGCAAAAAAAAATTCAATGCCACTTCAAATTGCACAATCTATTATCTTCACCACTTTGCTAAATTTTTGTGTAGGATGGATCAAGGCACACAACAACGTCAATGGCTGGACGGACATTTAGTCATCAGACAATTCGTCAATGGTCTATTGAATACCGTGTTATATTTATTCAATTTAGATAATGCCTTGGGGGCGATGAATCCATGGTTTAGGTAAGGTTAGGTTAAGTTTACACTAAACCAGTGATGAATTGTCTGGTGATAGTTAATGTCTGAGAACCACCTCAATGACAGAGACAGAACTGGCAGGAGAGCTGTGTTTACAAAATGCCAAGAAAGGACCCCTGCTCACGTCCTACACCCAGAAAGGACCCCTGCTCATGTCCTACACCCAGAAAGGACCCCTACTCACATCCTACAGTTGTAATACAAATAATATACAGTAGTAGTAATATCTCTGTTAGCCGGAATCCCTCAAACCCGGAACTCTCCGATGGCTGGAATTTAAATTTTCTGGAAAATTCTGAAAAAATTTTCCCAGTACGTACTCAGAAAATTCCGAGGATGGGGGATTTTTTTTACGGCTTTGAGAGATGAAATAATGCATCATTCAGGAACTTCCGAGACTATTTTTCCGTTACCTTGAAAATTCCGGGGACGAGGGATTTTTTCCAGCTTTGAGAGTCGTCTTGTTACCCGGAAATCTCTCATTCCCGGAAGTGTTCTGCACCAATAGTTCCAGCTAACGGAGATATCACTTACATCTTCCTCTATTATTCATGTGAGAGTACGGAGAGTACGGGTGCTTCAATGTCTATATCTTGAGAATACAGTGCAGCTTCAAACATGCCCAACAGGAATGTATAATAGTTACTAATGGAGTTAAGATAATAATAATGCCCTGGAAATGTATAAAAACATGATAAGGTTGTGTTAGGTTAAGTTAGGTTGTGTTAGGTTAAGTTAGGTTGTGTTAGGTTAAGTTAGGTTGTGTTAAGTTAAGTTAGGTTGGGTCATGTCAGGGTTAGCTTGTCTAGCAACACTAACCAAGTGTACAAACTAGCTAAAAAAAAAATAGAAAAATCCCATAAAATTTGTAACATGGCACTGCTACCTCAAGCTTGATAACGGCACTGCTACCTCAAGCTTGATAACGGCACTGCTACCTCAAGCTTGATAACGGCACTGCTACCTCAAGCTTGATCACGGCGCTGCTACCTCAAGCTTGATCACTTTTTAAAATACCATAAAGACCCTAAGAAAGTTAACATGGAAAACTAAACCTCATAAAAGGGTTCATGGTATGTAATAATAATGCCTCATATCACAGGTTCAAACAACAGGGGTTCATGACATCTTAAAGTAAACCCCATCAGGTAAATAAAAAGAATGGCAAGAAAATTCAGACCCTTAGGTGTGTCATGGCTCGTACAGGTACAGTATTTCCTAACCTGAGAGTAAATTGGGAGTGTCATGGAGTTAACATATACAACTATAATCTGTAATAATAATAATAAAAAATGAGCATCATATCTAATAACAATTGATATTCATATCATTTGAGAAAACACTTGAAGAGAGACACTAACTGAAATGAGTACAAATACAGGTATTGGTAAACTCAGAGTATAAGTGACATGATAATACAAGAATCCAAGTCCTTATATATCATTATTAAAGGATCAGGTGCAGTAGTCTTCATTTTTCCATCTATAGCAGCAATATAATATTACTCATTTACAGTATTTGGGTTTTTTTGCCATTTGTTTGGATAGAAGACCCAATGAGGATGTGGATCAAGAAGTCTTATGGAGTGTAAATTGTTAAACAAATGAAACAACCTACAGGCAATCTAAAACATTAAATAATAAAGATCAGTTCTGAGACTAACCAAGGTCAGAGCAATATGAACCAGCCCGGACATCAGGTTGGTTCATGGTGGTTGGTTTAAAAAAAAAAAATCCCCTTTTTCCCAGTAATAACATAGCATTAGAGTAAGTTTGTCCAACACAGTAGTAACTCATATTACTAAAACTAACATAATCCTTGAAAAATATTTCTAGGTATACCAGCCTCTACTGAACTAACTATTAAACTTGTTGACTTAGTTTGTTTGATTAGATTTCATACACATAAATACTCATACATATACATTTGATATATGATTTAAGAGGGTATTTAGTTGACTAGAAAACAATAGAATAACTGAAAATATTACAAGTATATAAGTAGAGAATGGGAAGTAAAAGGTAAAGATTGTGTATAATGTAAAGGTGAATGGCAGGAGGGAAAGACAAATCACAATTCAGCTTAAACAGTCAAGCATAAGTCACCTCTGTAATCTCTCGACAAGCGTGTGATGTAAAGGAAATACACTGCTTAGGAGTTGTGCAAGGTCACCCAACATACAGTAAGATAACATTATTCATAATCTTGATGGAATAGGCTGACACACACCTCTCCCTATTTCTTCATCTGTTCAACGATTCCTTCTCTTGCCGTCCTGTCTCCATATCTTAAAGGATCTACCAATATCTAGTACCTACACAGTCTATTTCACTTGCTAATTATAGGCACATGTCTACTCCTTACAACAAAACAGGTGATGATCTATGCTGGGTGTCCTCTATAATCTGAATGAATAGCCTCTACGATAATCCCTGCCTTTCCTTCATGTATGTATGTAAGTATGAGTGGATAATGCAATCATTCCTTCATGTATGTATGTGTGTATGCATGAGTGGGTAATGTAATCACTCATTCCATACTTAGAAACAGAACATATTTTCTTTATTCCCTCAAGGGGGTTTATGTCAGTACTGTATTTACTAGCATTCCTCTACAAAGTTTTATAAAATAGCAAATAAAGAGGATTACCTTCATAACAATACTGATCTTGTCATCCTTAAATCATCTGGAAAAAAAAGAATAAAAAAAAAAGACATTGAGTTAAATATCCAAGGAACCTCATTAGACTTAAGACTATATTGTGAATACCGTTACCTTCCTTATCTAATCCGTGACATTTATTGACATTTTGAAGACTTCTTTGTCAGCCTCACAAGTAAAGGGACCAATGTTTAATTCCTATCTGAAGGGAAGGACTGTAAAACCCTTGCACACTCACCAATATAAGGAGCACAAACACCAAATAAATTGATCAACTCAATTAATGGAGTTCTCGGTTCATTACCTACCAATGGCATATTCTGAGCAACAATGTTATGAGGTTCCAAGGGATAATTCAGCATCGTTCAGTGAAGTCAAATCAGTCATCTTTAAGGCCCCACTTCGCTCGTGTCCACTAAACAAAATTATCGAGGATTTATCGATACTCGGAGAAATGAATCTTGTTTGCTAGTGATCAAAAACACAACTGAAGGATGGTCTATTTCCACAGGCGGTGCTCTACCAAGGCCAACACGGATCTTCACATTTACGAAGCCAAGCACCTAAAGTTCCCCGGTTTACATCCATCAAGCTTGTGTAAGTTGTCAGCTGAAATATAAGAACAAATTAGCATTGTACTTTAAACTCAATTATATATAGTCATAAAGTAGCCCCGGGATTTCTTATTCTGTCACGGCCGACTCAGACAAGAAATCCTATGTTGATATAAGTGTTGCAACTGAGAACTTTATCTTAACCAGTGAAATATCCTGCTTGTACTACATTATATTGCCCCTTCTCTCTATAAAGAAGTCTTTGAGTTACTTTAAAGGTTTATTCCACACACACACACACACACACACACACACACACACACACTGTATTTCCCTCATGAACGCTTGAATTTCTCCATCAAATGACTACTTTGTTGCTAGTTTCACAGTCCTGTACACACTTTCAACATCCTTTACACATAATTGATCACTCCCAAAACACCCTCACACCCTTTTCATCTTCAACCTTCAAAAGTCAGATAACACAGCTTGTTCTACAGCCATTATAGTGTTGAGAGGTACAACTTGAATCTATTTATTATCTTTCTTCCCCTCTTACTCTTGGGTAGGGTACTTCAAGGGACACAGCATTCTAAAAATAATGGGACAAAATTATAAGAGAGAGTATTGCAAGACAAGTGCAGAAAGTAAACGGCAACAGCTATGGGAACAAGCAGAAAATTTACCCATGTAATCTTGAATTTGCACATATCCTCAACTTATATATGCAACCATCATCTGAGTTTTATGGCCATTTTTCACTCTTGCGTGAGTTAGCCACAGATATCTGATGGCAGCTCTCCATGCTGCACAGACGGTTACAGCATATGCAGTAAACAGTACAGTACAATGTAAACAAAATTCCTCCCCACTTATTCACAATGCTTCTAGTCAAGTGATTATGCATACTAATTTTAAAATGCAATTTATATTTAAACATAATGCAACTCTTTGTTCCCACAACATAAAATTATGAAACTATTTAAAAACTTACCTTGTTAAGCACTGGCCTTGTTGAAAGAACATTGTATAACAATTTTGGTGAAGCATTTTTCTGTCCTCCTTTGTTCAGGCAATGTACGGCAGGAGTTCTGCGGTCATCAAAAAAAGGCGGCGTCTTCCACTGGTCGTAGTTTGTTTCAACGAGGAACCAGGACCCCGAGCCAGACATTCGATCCAGAAGGTCGTCGGTATGGAAATTGTCCCGCCACCGAGTGATGATTGAACCCTGAAATCATTAGTGCAATATTTACTCTGAATCTCATAAAAGAGAAAAATTAACATCCACTGTGAATCACCAAAGAAACAGTTGGAATTTGGGAAGGGGATTTATACTGTAGTTAATACTTTGCTGATGGAACACTGATGAATAATGTGCCAAAGACTAAGCAGAGTGACTGTGGAACAAATTACAATATACACAGACAAGATAAGAGTAAACTAACTTCTCTCTAGCCACCACACCACAGTCCAGCAATGTGGTGCTCTTGACACTTTTCAACTATGATACAACTCTCAATTACCCGGTAGTCCCCCTGACAGTCCAGCACCTCGTAATAAACCAATCAGATATGTTCATTCATACTTTATAATAATAATCTCTCAACAGCAGCAATATGGTCCATGAAGAGTGAGAATTTCTGGTAAGTTATGAATTAAATGATATTGGTACCATAACATTAGATCTAGTTAGTGACAATGCACTTAATACATACTGTACTGAACATCCCCAGAGTCCACAAGCTCAAGGTATTATACTGTATGATTGTATATGTGTATCTAAAGATTAATTTATTGTTGTATTTATTTTGAACAAGTAAAGATCCCTTCTGGTTTCAATTTACAAAAAATAGTATGGTAAAAAAATAAAAATGAAGCAGAACTGATTAAATTATTGGTATAAAGTATTATATTTGACAATTCCAAATGTATTTTCCATCTGGTAGGACTCTTCACTTTGTTTTATTTTAGGTACTTTCCTTTGTTTCTACTATTTGTTTTTGAGGGGAGGAGTTCCAACAACAACAACAACAACAACAACAACAACAACAACAACAACACCCCCCCCCCCCACCCGCCTATGCCCTAGTCCTAAAGGTTCAATTTTTTTTCTAACATTTCCCCACTTGGGTTAAACTCTTATACACCCACATCCACAACATAACTCATCAGAACTTACCTCCCCAGACTTAACTCCACCAAGGATGAAATAGACAGGAGCCAGTAGTCGTGTGTGAGAGAGCATGAATTTGGCTTCTTTGTAAGTCTTGGCTTCTTCCATGACTTCACGAGTAAGGAACGATACCCACCTGAGAAGGATGAGAGACATACAGTGCTAAAACTCAAAAGCTGTAGTTGTCACGGAAGCTAAAATATATAAATAAATAATTGATTGAATGTATATGTTTATCTGTATAAGACTGACCTAACAGCAAAAACTTAGCCTGATAACATTAACACCAATGCTACAATAGAGGGGTAGGTAGCTTTCAAAATTATGTACAGTCAGCCAAAGATGCACCGACCCCACCCTGGGTCTCGTGCTCGCAATTTTACCTGGCAATACTTGGTAAAGTAAGGCTGTATGTAAAGGTGATTGTGATTGGTGAATCTATTTTCGGCTGTATCATTGTCAGGATAAATATTAAACAAACCAAAGGTAATATTTTTATAATAATAAACTATTCACTGTTATTTAAGATCATGAGAAGTTTCCAAATGTTCGTATATTTGCTTAAATAATGAAGAAAATTTGATGTGAGAATCTTTTGGCAGCTGTGGTTGTAGTTGATTTGCTATTGTACTATTCCAAATGATACTAAATGTTACATAATACTTCCTTGAGATAAATGTATAGTATATATCAGGTGCCTAAAAGAGAGCTCAGGTTCTCAACTGGCTCAGCCATGTTAATATTGTTATTATTATCCACTCTGTATCTGTATTTTTCTGGCTAAATAAACTGTTTCAATTCAATACCATGGACTACTACTTTCCTTTACTATTTCCTGCAGTCCATTCTTTGAGGTTTTTCTCTGCACCCTAGTCAATCCTACACAAAGGCAAAAGACGAATAATGATAATAAATAATGTACTGTACTGTACTAAGGGAGGTGATTTTTCCATACGGTACAGTGAAACCTCCATACAACGGACTTCTCTCTCTGCAATCAGTTAGAATACATGAAAGTCCATTATATCGAGGGTCTGTTAGATGTGAAACCTCCATCTAACGAACTACAAAGATTAAAGTCCATTATATCGAGGGTCTGTTAGATGTGAAACCTCCATCTAACGGATTATATGGATATAGAAGTCCGTTACCTGGAGGTTTCATTGTAAAAGTCAAATACTATAAAATATCCCAATGGAAACTCACTTCTGTTTATAATCTTTAAAGATGATCCACTCTAACAGACCAACAAAACCACCATTGAGACCAAAACGTTCATCCAGGCTAAATGTGAAGAGGCCCTGAAACAAGAGGCATTATTATTATTACTGTTATTATTGTTATTATTTATTATTACTATTATTATTATTGTTATTATTATTATTATTATTAATGTTATTATTATTGTTATTATTATTGTTATTATTTATTATTATTTATTATTATTAGCAGTAGTAGTAGTAGTTCAACATTACTGAGGTATACTGAAAAATATTCACCAATTTAAAAAAGTGAACCCCCCAAGAAGTTTCAATTTACCCCCAAGAAGTTACAATTTACCACCAAGAAGTTACAATTTACCACCAAGAAATTACAATTTACCGCCAAAGAAGTTACAATTTACCGCCCAAGAAGTTACAATTTACCCCCAAGAAGTTACAATTTACCATGAGCTCTCTTGTAAATCTTGGTCTCTTAGCAGTGAGTGTCTGCTCCACAATCATGTATACATACAAAGAACAGTTCAGAACAAAGACAGGCTTGCCCCCTTATTTGTCCAAGACATACAACAAGAATAATCTAATTTCTTCAAGCACGAATTCATTGGATTACCTGAAGATTAGACACCCCAGAGCATTTCACCTGATGTTTAACCTTTCGAGGAGGGATGTACTCAATGGGTAGAGATATTGTACTCAAGTGGTTAAGACATTGTACTTAAGAGGCTAAGATATTGTACTCAAGGGGCTAAACACCCTAACACCACCTGGGAGGGGGTAAGGGGGTTAGGGAAGGTTGGCATTAAGGTGTTTAATCTTCAGGTGAAAGAAGCTGAGGTGGTTAATCTTCACCTAAAACCCTTTACCCCAACATAAGAAAATCACTGACTTTTTTGACAGCTGTAATAATGCCAACATATCCAACGTAATTGACTGACTCATACACCGTCTTTCCCCCCTTCTGCCACTCCAGCTGCACCACCAAGGGCTTCAGTAACTCTGCAATTGTCCAGGTGTGTGTTTTTGGATTCCAACTGTGAAGAATAATAGTGTGTGATATATAGCATTTATGCAGTCATATGCCCACAAGCAAAACTAATAGAACAGTCAAAATTCAATCAAAGGAAAAGAAATATTACTCAGTGATATTAATTAACATATAGTACATAAATATCACAGACACTAAAATAAATAAATTAGAAAAAATAGACAGAAAACATTGTCAGGGTTTAGATATGCAGCAAACACATTATGACACAATTATTACAAAGTTACCCCATAAACAGTCCAAAGTCAAGGTTGCGGCCGTGGTAGAGGTGTCCTGATGTATCCTGAGCAACGATGGAGGTACAGAATGTAAACACTTCGTAGAAAATGTTGTAGAGTGTAGCTTCCGATATATTAAGTCCTGAAGCCTTAGAAATCCCTATAATTTCCTCATTGAAAGGATAAGGCAGAGTTGTGGCAATCTGAAAGACAGAGTAATACTGTAATGTAAGAGAGATATCTCACTCAAAACATCCATTTAAGGTTTTCACAATACTGTACTGTATATTATAGATGGTCCAATCAAAGAGTTGAAGAGGCTGGGGATGAAGGGCACTATGGCTTCCATCCTGTATATATTTACACAAACTACAGCAATTCTAGTGACAGGAAAAAAGATATACTGTAATGGGAAATTAACTTAAGCTGGGTTTATATTTTTCTAATTATCAGATATAAAACAATTTTGTCCAGACTCAATATGAAGTGTCCCAGAGGTCTGGTCCAATGATCACTTCAACTGGTGGCCAGATCAAGATATAAACCTGGAATATTTAAATCCTTCAATACACATATAAAATCTTGCTTTGTTCTAACACAAGTACAGGTTCCAGCAGTGAGGGTACTGTGAAGTAAATATCTTGAACTGATCATTTAACTTATTTTAACTAATACCTGTACATAAGACAAGTATAGTACTATATACTCTAACAAATTCCTGGCTTTTCCAGATTGTTCATTTAGCATGTTAGTACAGATGATTTTCCCTAGTCTGAATTAGTAATTGGATATAGATAAACTATGAATATATATGTGGGATGAAAGTTTTACCACTGATCATCAATGGTAAATATCAACACTGAAGATCTCAAAGAAACCTCAATAAATGGCAGGGAAGAAGGAAATCTTACATAGAAACAAATCTTTAAAGCAATATTTAAGGAAAATCAACAGAAGCAACACTTTGTAAATAACTACTTTCTTGGTAGTACAATATACAGTAGTAGAGTGAATATTCCCGCCTGTTATGCGGGAGACCGGAGTTTGATTCCCTGCTGTGGAGGCATAACTTAAGAAATCTGTTACCCAAAGAGATTAGAATGCCTGCAGTTGTCTAGCTTACCATAGGTGGGAAAGGGGTGACTTAATTGAAGTTTAAAAACACCTCAGAGGGCTGTACTTAATCAAGTGTTCCTACCTGGAGCTGGCTGATGTCCACCCCACTAGAGGTCACAGCTCAAGGTTGAAGAAGCCACAAGTTCAGAAAATTGCCAAGGCAACAATCTGCCAGAGAATGTTGTAACAGCACCGAGTGTGAGCTCTTTCAAGACCAGACTTGACCAACACTGGAGCAGGTTCAGATACATTCAGGAGCCAGTACATACCCAGTACTTACCAACAGTAAGAAACAGAGACATGACCAACTGCCCAAGCCAATCATTGGTGAAGAGAATAAAGTAATAGACAATAGAAATGAATTATAAACATTAGAAAACTAAGACACCTTGAAATAAAATTTTTCACTTAATTATGAAACAAGACAAGAAACCAGTGTTGACTTTTGACTGGTAGTGTAAATGAGACAAATCATCCAGACATTTTGTAAAGACACAAGAATTGACAAGCCAGGCTAGACTTAAGATCTTATATGTACTGTAGTTAAGTTATGAGATATAATAAGCCAAGTTAGGTACAGTATTTAAGTAATAAGACAAACTATCCGGACTCTTGATAAGATATACAATAAAATAAGCAAGACGAGGCTTGAGCATGATTTTAGGTACAACACATGACATGTAGTCACTTGAAACACTATAAAAAACATGGCTGTCTCTTCGACAAGTTAGGAACACAGTTAATAAGTCAAGATTCACTGTACAGTCTGTTCACTTAAACTCCTTAAGGGCTACAGTTAGCTTTAACTTTCTGGACAACAGCAGCAAACTTGTACATGACCCCAATGTACTCAGCTATAAGTTATGAGGCAGGAATTAACTCAGCTTCACACAACTAAACGTCACCTGCAATACTGTACTGTACTTCAGGAACACTTAGTACTCACAACAGAAGATACTTAAGTTACAGAGGGCAGCTTCCAGTAAGACAAAGAATCCCTGAGGAGGTCACAGACTAGACTGAGGTCCTGCTTTTCTGTTCCGGGGTATTTATGTCCATCATTTTACAAGAAACTCCTGGATGCTTCATGGCACCAATGTCCTAATTGGTTCAAAAGCACTGTGCTGGTGAACTTTTAAATGACTGTCTCTGGTTGATGTGATTGTTTCCACAGCCAGATGTAAGAGGTGGAATCTAGTACCTTATGTCTGTGGGCAGCCACTTATATCAGTAATATGTGATAATATACCTATATACAGTAATTATCTTCATCAATAAACTTCTGTGTTAAAAGATAAACAATTCCTGCAAAATCCTGCTTAAAGTTTAGTACAGAAGAATATACAATATGTATCTCAGAGTAATTATAAAAATATATATATATCACCTTGTCCAGATTATCAATGATGACTTTGAAGACTTTCTCACCAACCAGTGACAGGGTCAGATTTCGAATATCACCTATGAGGGCCAACACCTGAAAAAAGGAACATGTGAGAGCAGGTACTGTAATACTGTAGTATGCAGGTTCATCCCAGGCTTACCTACCAACTTCTCAGATTATGATTTGGGAGCAACACAAGAGAACTGATTTATATCAAAATACATATAAACATATAAACAGCTTTGAATGTCAGTTGTTCAGCTCTATACGAAATGAACCATTTTTTACATCATTCTTCTTCTCTGTCACCAGTTTAGTCCATCTTTCTTGAGGCGGGAGATCAAGGTTGATGATGTAGCGAGGGGCAGCATCACTGTAGTAAAAAAAAAAAAAAAAGGATTTCATTCACTTTGATAGAACAGTATGAAAGCAACTGAATAATGAAGAATAATGTTGGTTTTGAAATATACGAACAAGCAACATGTTTGACAATATATGTTGCTATACATAACTCCATAGTCTTGGTAATCTTAAAGCTAGATAAGTTAAGAGTGGTATAAGTTATGACATTTAAACAGCAACAAACTTAACTAATCCAAAATTCATTAAAATAAGTTAGGACATTTAAACAGCAACAAACTTAACTAATCCAAAATTCATTAAAATTATGTGGGTTCAAATCACATCTGGCCTGAAACAATTGTTCTACAAACTGTTATGGTGTCAATCTAATATTTTTCGTTCTTCATAACTAAATGACGAAAAATGAGGCGCACGATTTACAAGCTTTAAGCAGAATTAACATTAACCCCGGTCATGCCAGAACCACTTACAGTACACTATAACATATAAGAATTTAACACAATTTAATATGGGGAGTGAAATTCTTTGTTTGATATATACTATACAGTACAGTATCTATGTTCCAACTCTGGTTAATAACTTTGTGTATGAGATAAACTGGTACCTTCTAAATTCTATCAGTTAGCTTCACCGTACAGCAGCTAAAACAACTATCTGTGCAGGTGGGGGTCGATGTGCTCCGAAATTTTACATGTGACTAGTGACAGCCCTCATATACCCAAATTTATCGTCCATGGTCTCATATTGCTTCCCACAAAGTATACACAGATGGTTGTTTTAGCTACTGTACATATATACTGTGTGAGATGTTTTATACTTACCTCTGTTTGGGTGGAAAAGCGTTTGTCTCACAACTCTCAAACTGTAAAAGGAGATTCAACATATAGTTAACAAATACAGAGCTGTGGTTACTGTATATGTAATGAAGTGCCACAGTATAGTATTAGTCTAAATCTTTATTCAGAACATATCTAAGTAACTAATTAGTAAGTTTTTCTCAATGCATTTATTCATTTAGGGACTTGGTGTTATAAACTATGAGGAAAATTATACTTATTATTTAAAAAGAAAATTCTGAGTGATTATTTGGAGTCACACACACACACACACGTTAATGAAGACTACTAACTACTGTATATTAAAACTTCACGGCTTTTATCGGTCTTTATATATTAATTCACCGTTCAATCTAACCTAACCTGTTCCTAAACCCCCTAATTAGGTTAGGTTAGGTTATTTATTGGTGATTTTTTATGTTTTTTTACACATATTTCTAATACCCAAAGAAAGAACAGTGTACTACTATATGTTGTTGACTGTGGCGTGTACAGTACCACAGTAACGGACGGTTATGTAATACTACTTGGGTGTATCTGTAAATTACACATCTCCAATCCTTCATTATTTTTGGCTAGCTATATTTTCTAATTACTTTGAGTTTATGAACTTATATGACTTCTGTTTAAAAAGTAGTGACAACTCGTATGACTACACTAATGCGTCACACTATCACGAGTCAGTAACACTTGATTACTCGCATTTATGGCAGCATTCAAACCTTACTCATCTTGAATAGCAAACATTTATGTACCACTTACCGGATCAGTGAAGCTAAATTTGGCGTGTGTGTAGGATAACAGGACAAAAAATATAAAGGTCTGGAGGTTCATCTTCACCTCAGCTGGAACAGACCGTACCTGAGGCTTTGTTTATCTCCCTCAGCTGTGAGTCAAGTTACCCAGGGCCACCAACCTGTCACACCACCTACACTGATACACTGCCATTTAACTGAGGGGAGATAATATTAAAGGTACTGAAAGCTCATTTCACCAACTGTCAAAGTAATTTACCATAAAGTTCAAAGGTTAAGGTGAAGTTTCTTATAAATTTAGTTAGATAATTTTGATATGAGGAATTCCCGCTACTTTGGAAAATGAAGTTAGAGAAAACGATATTCAAGTAAAACTTGTTGCAGGGGAAACTATCCTAATGTACTGCACCTCCCATATTTCACTCTTACATAGATATACTGCTAATACAAGTAAAGATCAGAAGCTTTTATGGTCTTTCTTGGTTTACCCTTGGTTTATCAACTTACTACTACTACGAAATAATCTTGTAAGGAGATATATTTTATATTAAGTCCCTAAAATTACTCTGATTCTGGTGCTCATTGTGGAATTATTTAAGTACAGCATTCAAATATCCTTGTATACTAGGTCCTGTGTAGTCCCGGCCTATGATGTTCCATTTTTTACCAGTTTCTTAGGGTGTGATAAGACAGTAGGGTGTTATGTATGGCCATTAGAGTCTTAACCAGAGTAAAACTATCAAATTTCGTGTGGTTAAATATTAGTTCAGGTTAAAATTGTCTTGGTGCTGTCTGCTTAAGTGACTTTTATGAACTTTTCCTTATTCCTCCACCATATCTGACCTGAATTTTAGACCCAACTACTTTTATATATTACTAAAGCAGGTTCCAAATACTTTCATCTGTGGCAACTTTGACCCCCATTACATGACCCCCTGTAGTATACTGTGGCAACTTTGACCCCCATTACATGACCCCTTAACCCCGTGTGTACTGTATGGGGTCCCCTCTGTGTTGAATAAAATCGTCTGGCATTAGCAAAATAAAATATTAAAAGTGGCTTCCCCATAGTGAAGGTAGTTATTAATTCAGCAAGCTGGACTTGGTAGTGTAAGTCTATTGTTTACACACTTGTTTACCATGAGGAAAAGTCTATTGTTTACCATTAGGAAAAGTCTATTGTTTACACACTTGTTTACCATGAGGAAAAGTCTATTGTTTACACACCAGTTTACCATTAGGAAAAGTCTATTGTTTACACACTTGTTTACCATGAGGAAAAGTCTATTGTTTACACACTTGTTTACCATTAGGAAAAGTCTATTGTTTACACACTTGTTTACCATTAGGAAAAGTCTATTGTTTACCATTAGGAAAAGTCTATTGTTTACACACTTGTTTACCATTAGGAAAAGTCTATTGTTTACACACTTGTTTACCATGAGGAAAAGTCTATTGTTTACACACCAGTTTACCATATATTACAATAGAAAACAAATATAACCTACAATGACCAGGGTATGAACTTATACACAAACAGTACTTCAAAAATAATTTATTATTAAGTTTCACAGGACAAACAATCAAATCAACTATTCGAGGCAGTTTCCTACACGTCACACCGATCCCTCTGTAGTGTGTTCCTGACTAAGCCTGACTAGATACTAAAGCAATATTATACTGACAAGCACATAAGTTTAAACAAAATACTAAAATATGTTTTTTTCTGCATATACAGTATTGATTTTACAGCTACCAACACATAATCAGAACCCACAACATAGACACGATGTTTTCAAGTCATTTCTACTCTACGAACAGCCCATAAAATGTCACATACAACTCATGGTATCCACAGCTAAGGAGTATCGCAGTTTATGGTCAAGTTAGATTCATACTTATACTCTGGCAAAACAGTTGTATGGTAACTGTAGATTCCATGGGCTGGGTGTGGGTTTTGTAGAGTGGTGAAGCCTTGAAGTGGTAGTGTTTATGAGATAACACAGCTTTAAAAACAATACACTAAATATATGTACAGTTATCCCACTTTTTACAAAACTTTATACCGGTATGTAATGCAGTATATTCGAGACAAACAATTTGATTTGTAGAAGAAAAAAGAGTCCATTTCATTCCATGCACTGCACAGTCTGCTTTCAACGGTTTCATATTCTTTTTTTAAAGTAGAGATTACCATCACCTCTGGTAAGTAAAGATGAAATATAATTTAGTATTTACCTTATTTTATTTCATTACAGTACTGAAGTCACTTAGTGTCTGAAAGATACTGAACTTTATCAAGAAAGTTTACTCTACTTACAAATACTCATGGCACTTTATATAGCTGCCTGTACTAACTATTGGTGATTTTATAAGGATAAAAATGATAAATCTGTTTGTATTTATTATAATCACCAAAAGGTTTCAAGTAAATGACACCACTGGGGGGAGTAGGAGTCTTTTTTTTTTCCTCTGTATATAGGCATTAAATTTAATTAATATAAAATGGGAAGTTTGATGCATCTTTCAGTGCAGTTATATCATGTCTAGAGGCTAAAATTTCCCCATAAGAAAGTCTATGGTTAAATAGGTTTCTTTATGCATATTTCAGAGATAAATAAAACTTTCCTGGAAGACATCTGTTTTGTAAAAAGAAAGAAACCTCTAATTACTAACACAGCATTGCATGACTTTAAATATTTGGGAACATACACTAGGAATCAACAACAGAGAGCTACTGGTACATTATGGCAACAAGGAACACAACAAGCCCCTTATGTCTGTGAGAGGAGTACTGGTAGGGAGGAATGTGGCAAAGTTATTAGTCAAATGGTCCCAATTCATTAACCTAACTAAATTGAGATCCAGTCCTAATAGATTCAAGTCTTTATGGACTTCAGTCTTACTGGCTACCAATCCTAATGAGTAAGTAAGGTTAGGTCGGGGCCTATTAGGACTGACGCCCAAATGACCTGGAACTATCAAGGTATGGCAACTGTGGATGAAGAATGATTTTCATGGGACATCTTTCTGTATGTCTGGAGTCATTTATAAAAGGCAGACTAAAATTATAATAGATGAAATAAAACGTTACCTACTCTCGCAGTTTTCCCTTTCCTTGTTCTATGTAATCAAGCACAAGTTTACTCAGTTGGGTTCTCAATCCAAATGAATATCCTTCTTGTAAGGAACAGAAGTATTTGTGTCTCTCACTCTGAGTCTTTGTCTTCTCATTACATTCAATATTCTGATACACCAGCTTGAGGCTCGGCTCCGCAGCGCGTAAGACGTGGAGATTGGAGGCCCGAAGGAACAGTCCATAAATGCCATAGTCATATTCTTCTGGTTGATCTCGTTTGAGGTCCTTTACATTCTTTATGATGGGAATGGTCTCGGCTACTGACTTCCTTGCTGAAGGGATACACAGTATAATTACATACAGTATTATAGCATATTAAATCTCCACACTTTATTTATCCACTGTTGGATGAAGGCTTTTCTAATGTATACCTTAATTCATTTATATAAACTCCTCAGGTGATGGTAATGTAAGAAAGGTTTGTAGTGATGAAATATCCACATATTCTTAAAAACATTATTATTTAAAGGAGGGAAGAAGACTGTGAACTATAATGTAATACCAATTTAAGAAGACACAGTATTACTATATACAGTATAATATATTAGTGTTCATATTACCAAAGGAATCAAGGAGACTGTTAACTGTCTTCCAGTGATGGTAACAGAGGGGTTTAATACCCCAAACCTGTCATGGTGTAATATATTAACCTACTGTAAGTTCACATATGATCAACTCATGTTTAAACAAACTGAAATACAGTACAATACCTGTATAACCTCACATGTGCCAACTGTATGGGAAAAAATTTATCATATTATAAATTGTATATTTTTTATTAAATTATCCTCACCAATGGCTGACACTCACCTGGCTTATAGAACTACAGCTACAGTACCTTAATAATTGATTTATCATTTAACCGCATATCAGCTAACTAGTCAATCAGGTGGTTGCTCTGTTCTTTGTTACTTTGTTATGATCTTCATTTTCCAGTGTTATTACAGGAGGAAACTGAAGTCTGGAAACCTGCCATGTCTGGTAATGTCACACTGGATAACATCCTTTTCATGTCGTTTTATAAGTTTTAATTCCATCTACAATTCCATCTATTGTCAGTATATTATATAAACTTTTACAAACACAGGAAGATATGGGTGAATAACACAGAATCATCTAATAATAGGCACCAGTAAGAGGACACACTTACCTGCAGTATAATCACCAACATAGAAACTTATGTGGTCAAAATTGTAATTGTCAAAATGGCCAACATTTTTGCTGACCTCCAGCTTGCGATATGCTTCCTGGTCAGGTACACCTTCAGGGTGATACTGCGTGAACGGTACAGCAGAGAACACCTGGGGGAGGTCATCAATGGCTTATGTTCCTTTGTTAATATCATCCACTCACAAAGCAAAGTTATATACACATATGCACACACATACATTGTTAAAATATAAATATCTTACTTCAGAACATTATTCTTCTGACTTACAGTATTCATAAATACAACTTAAGAGTCTTGCAGTAACTTACCTGCCAATTCAAGATGGTGTTCATCCTGACACGGTTCAAAAAATCATTGCTGATGTGAGATGAATGTTTTGTCACCAGTACCAGTGTGTCTTCCTGCAACTTCTTCACCACCAAGTCAACCAAAGCAAATTCTGAAGGCCGGTGACTGACGGTGTGGATAGAGACCCACCCCACCTTGGAGCCAGCATCATGGTGCTCTCTGGTGTACTTCAGTGCCAAGTCTTTCAGTGGCTGAAATTTTTTTACAACAGAAGATTTCAACAGAGTTCCTGGGGCCCCTGGGGTTAATTCCACAAACTTGTCATAGTAAATACTGTACAATAAATGAGATGTCCAATGCACAGTGTAAGTTACAAAAGCAAAATCATTAGTGCAAGGGTCATTGCTGATAGAACTTATAGCTCTGAGGCAAACCAAAGTCATTTTTAAATAATTTTAAATTAATTTACAGGTTAAAGCATCAATACATAGCCCCATAATCCCACGTGAATTACTAGAACTGAACAGTATTTTAAACCTAATACATAATAATCCTTATATTCCTGAATAAAGTTTTTAAATCTAAAACTCTACCTCTCTTTTACCCAACTGTGTGTTTGTTATTATCCAGCTCAGAATATCAATACTGTTAATTCATTCCCTTTTATCATAACTGCCAACACTACACATCCTTCTGCTAAGGTCCTATTTGAGAAAGTGAGCTGATTACCTTGAACACATCTGCATCATCTCCCTCTGATGAGACTCCAGGTTGGTAGAGGAGAGCAAGAAGGAGGAATGTGTGCTCCCCACTCACCATACACTCAGCTTCATATCTGATTTACAGGTAAAAAAAAAAAACTCTATACTTCAACGCCAAACCATTAAACTACAGCAGTAAGACTTATCTGAGTTAGATATTAGTAATGTTTCTACACACAGAAGCTGGAAATCACACTAGTATTAAAAGATATATTATTTACTAAGTTTTCTTTATCTGACTTTTGCATGCCAATTCCCACTATAGCACAGGTGACTTAAAATGGTGAGCAAAAAATACTCTCCCCTCACCTGCCATTGAGGTTCTACTATGTCAAAACAACTATGTTTTTCCCTCGATTCACTCCTCATGCTTCATACACCGAGAATCAAACATTAGCGCCCTATCTATCCATCCAAACCATCCAACACCATGTTATACAATGAGAAGTACTGAACATATAGACAACACAGACTTTTTCTTAAAATATTCTCTACGTTCATCTATCCACCCACATATTTGCTTTCCATCCAATTCAATAAACTACAGATACCGTACAGTACTATACAACTAAACCAGCAAATCTCTCCACCTATACTGTACCACATTACTGTACTCACACAGAGACCTCCTCACTCCAGTGCGCTCACCTTCTCTCAATACTTCCTACAACTACCGGGCACTTCACATCTTATTTAGAAAAATCTCTGAGGCTTTCAAATTCCACTCGACACTCTGAGTTTGAAATATTTATAGTTCAATTGAAATCACAACCACCACAGTACTGAATAAAGTAGATGTTAGATGGTTGGGTAATATTAGTACAACACATTTTAGTTTTTATTTTCAGTCAAACTTAACACAAAGCTGATAAGGATATATTTGCTAGTCGTCATGGTATATTGTAATTCTTCTTACCTTTTAACAAACTCAACTGCCTCTACCATCTCAGCTTGAATGATAGGAAGCACTAGAGTGATGCGGTTGTTCTCGGTGACATAAGGCATAGGTATGATTTCAGGCTCGGTGAGTGACCTACACGCCTCAAGTCTGGAAAAGTGTCAAAACTGAGAAACTTGGAAACCTGCATAAACACCAAGACACACCAACTCCCTCACCAGACAGATAAGCTAAATAAAAACTCTCACATAAAATTAAACAAAAACCTGTGCTGATTCTAACAAATATTTAAGTTAGATGAATATTAATTGTATCTCATAAACAAGAATTAATAAAAAAATAAATAAATCACTCTGACAGGAAGAAGCAAACTGTGGTAAATATAAGTTATTTCTACAAGTTGTCTAACATCTGGAATTAAAATCATTAGTGAATTATTTGTGGTACAGTACTATGCTATTGATGCTAACATTAAGAGGACATCATTCTAATCATCTTCAATGTCACTGTTTACAAAAGTTTCAGTCCTCCTAACAGTTGGTAAATTATATATTTTAGTTTGATTCAAAATGTCAAGACCACATAATATACAGATACTTACTTCCTGGTGACTGTCTGGCCAGATGTATTATCACGGAAGATTAAAGACAGGATATAGTCGACGCCTCTGGTAGGATCTAAACGTCTATGCCCGTACTCTATTCCTCGGTACTCTAAATTCCCCTTTGTTTTGATGTGCATGTGAGATATGCTGGCATTAACGACACTCTGTAAATAATAATAATCCATAGGAAAAATTAATAGGTTAAATTTCTTATATCTTAACTGAGTTTAAAAAAAATAAGAGCTCAGCCCTAAGGAATAAGTGTAGTAAGTATATTTCACAAAAGGTTTAACATTACAGTAATACATAATATGTACCTTGTTTATATTAAAAGAAAAACATGTGATAAGATTAAGAATAAGAATTTTCTCAGAGGGTACACATAAAATACAAATATACTGTAATTAAAAACAGGGATAGAAACTGTAGTGGAATGTAATCAATAATCTCACAAGTGGCCTATAGTCAATATCTCTCACTCCTCCATGTGGCTAAAGAATCCTCAGCAAGGGGGAGAACCAACTCTTTTTCCTGTGACAAAACTCCCAATAGACATCAGACCTAACTAGTACAGTATCACCTTTATAATACAAGTTTGCCTGAGTCAAGAATAACCACACATCCTCCCTCCGCTTGTTGTCATTTACCCACTGTTACTGAATCTACCGGTCTATTCACAAGATTCCACATTCATATTCTTACCTGATCTGTGTAGGAGCCAACACAGTAAACTTTCTGAAATACCAGATACTCACCCTGTCTAGCTGAAATATTTCCTGAGTTCTGAATATTGGCTCGGTGAAGAAGGAACTGGTCAAATGGGTCCTTTCTAATCGACCACCACCAAACCTAACTAACAGGATTGGAACCAATTAGGATTTACAACCAATAGGACTGTGGTCTATTAGAGGTGGGACCCAGTTGACCAGTTACCAGGTTAACTTACATTAAGAATTAAAGTGTGTAAGATACATGAGGTCTGCCTTACTGTGTACTGTATTGTACATGTTAAAATTACCTATAATGTGTTCTTTGTACTAAGTTATGAAGGTTTATATATTAGTAGTTACAAATATCACAATCATTTTCTTACCATAATGTCTAGTTTGTCTGCCCCAATAATTGGCTTTGCATTTTGGTAATCATCAGGAAGAAATATATGTGTTGCATTAAAAGTGTCCCAGCAAATAACGTCAAATCTGTAAAATAAATACTTCCTCTTAATTTGAATCAAATGTGTAATTATCTTATCCTAAATTAGATGAGGAGTTAGACAGCTGTCTTTCTTACTCAAAGTTGGTGACACAGTGGAAAAAAATCAACTGTTGAGTCATATTTCATCATACTACTAAGTCTTAGAGCAAACCACGACCTCTAATCTCTCACTGTGAGTAATGACAGTCACAAGGAAATGAGTTATCTTCAGATTACTACCAGATGCCATGATCTGGGGCTTACTGGGGATATTGTACCCTAAAAAGCCTGGCTGCACATATACCTGGGTTGCTCTGAGCTGGCATCAATTTTAGATAAATAACCAACATTACTATACATGGTATAGAGACAAAACATACTGTACTCAGCTAATAGTCATATTGGTATTCCCCAAAAATCTTTAAAATATTGCAGGGGAGAAGGCTACATTATTACTACAGGTACAGTACATGTATTATGGCAACAAAGTTCAATTCTTATCAATAATACAATAAACTAATACAATGTCAACATAAATATTATAAAAACATAACATCAAAAAAGACTAATAATATTTACAAGATTATTGTTATTGTACTGGGTGGCCAGAACAACACAGACTCTGCCCTCCTTCACTGTCACTCTCTCTAACTACCTTACTAGATGTATTTTTCCATATGCTTAAAATACACAGCAGGGGCCTAGTCCTCCATCTCCTCCAGGTATTAAACCCCCGACCTTGTGTGGGTGAAGTAAACGTTCTACCACTGAGCTACAGACTCACTGATAACATTATTCTCCACAATTAATCACCTGGTGGTAGGGTGGTGTGCTGGCGCTGATCCAATGGGCCACGTGTCTTCTCTCTTTATGACTGGTGCATTTGGCTTTGCAGTCTGTATTTCCTTTATAAACTCCTGAATACTCTTGTTGACATGTTTCACATCATCCTGTTCAATAAAATATGTAATAAATTCAATAGTTGCCCCATACCTTGATCATAAGAAGAGACATATTCTAAAATTATGTTCCTGTGCACACATCATGAGGAGCTTAACCAGGTAGAGTCAGCTCTGTAATCTGGTCACATGTTTATGAACTACCCCTGTGTTAAGGTCTTACTTGAAGATAAAACATGTGAAGGGCAAAGAGATCATTGGCTTCTGGCACGTTGGAGACTGTCACAGCTTCCCTCACAAGAGAACTTCCACCTATCAGCTGCAGGTGCGACACAACCTCAACATCTTCCCTCAGCCTATAACTGATGTACTGTTGACCCTGGGTAAAGGAACCACAACTCAGTAAACAAAATAAAGTTATGAAATGTAATAGAAAAATATCTCATAATGCCCTGACCTTTCTTTTAACATATTTATCCTTATTTTTTAACTTTATTTAATTCCTAAGTTAATTAATATGGAATGTTTGCAAGAAGTTTGAAGACTTTCCACACTTGTCCTCCCGTATGAGTATTTCTCACCCTATATGACTAGACCCTCTATACAACTTCAATTTTACCAATATTTCTATCAAGTTATTATCCCAAGTTCCTCTCATTTTAATGTACAAGATGAGGACATAAAGTGACAATAAGAGGCTGAGGTAACCAACAGAACTACTTTAAATACACTTCTTCATATCCTCAACTTACAACACAGTTTACAAAGTGACTCCTCAATCTTCACACTGACTTATAACACCTCACGTTTGTTTCAGCATATCCGTACTCTTTAATCACCTGTAATGTAACCCCAGGGAAACAAAGGAGCTATGCATTAGATTCCCAAATGTAGATAACAATAAATAAATACCTGTAAACTAGACACACAAGGCTTGTCTGTTGCGTGGAGGATACATCGACCAAGGTTGTCAGTGTCAGCTTCAGAATAGGTGTTACGGGTACACCAGCTTAACTTTGCACCCACCGCCTGCATGACAGAGTGACTGAGAACAATGCCAGCGTCTGGAAGGAAAAAAATATATCACTACTCAATAAAATACTATGAAATACCAGAATACCAAGTGAGATATAACACAATTTATAATTTCCTAAATTTTTTACTATAAGAGACTCCCTTCATAGGTATAATTATTCATAACTGCGTCTTTTAATCTTACAGGCAAGGATAAAGGTCTGCCCAAACTACCAGCTAGTAAGTATGAATGAGTTATGGGTCTTGGTTCATTATCCCACATAGTGTATAATGTTTTTGTGTACTTGTTATGCTGATCTTGGTTACAATGTTAATTTACAACTTACCAATGGAAAAATGTTTAAATTACAGCTTACCAATGGAACAATGTGAATTTACAACTTACCAATGGAACAATGTTTAAATTACAGCTTACCAATGGAACAATGTGAATTTACAACTTACCAATGGAACAATGTTTAAATTACAGCTTACCAATGGAACAATGTGAAATTACAGCTTACCAATGGAACAATAGAGTGATTCAGGGTTGTCCATCAGCATCCCCATATATACGTTCTCACTGATGCTGATCCTCTTCACCATCTTGTGTAACTTCCTGCCGTGAACGTACGTCCGATCCGACACTATGAAGAAGTAATCAAACTCGTTCAGATAATTTTCGTGTAAGTAAGTGAGCATTCTGAAGACTTTGATGAGCGGCTTCTCATCTTTGAACCCAACAATTGGAATGTCTAGCCCAAATTTCTTAGTGCCGATGCCGTCTATGAAGAATATTATTTTATCGACGTGGTGGTTTAGGGTCTTGTTCATGGCAATGCCGAAGGTACCGATGCTTTCCTCTGTTGATATAACGGCCACGAGGAGTTTATCCCGTATACCTAATTCGGTGGTGTAGTATCGAGGTCGCAGTAATTTCTCGGCCTTCGTAGATTTTGAGGTTTCTTCCTTATTAAAACTATCCAGTACGAGACGAGGTTCATAGTCTTCCTCGGTTGTCAGTCCATTACTCCTCAGGTCTCTCAGCTTACCCAGTCGTTCATTAGTCTGTATCTCAGGGCTCAGGGACCTAGGACAATCATCATCAATAAATGGTGTTCGGATAAGACTGAGGGCTATGCCAATACAGAGACCAATGATAACAGGAGAGCTCTGTCGGCCGTGGATCAGGAGAGACTTAAAAGCAGAACTCATCTTGTATGATGGAGGGACAAGTGGCGGCAGCTGACTCCTAACAATACACACACAAGTTGGTGACCTGGATACATTAAAACTTGCTTCATTAACTTAATTCTTTACTTATCTCCTTAATACACCTGTTCTTCTTGGCATTAACATTATATATGGCACTAAAACAAGACTACGGAGCTGAAGAAAGTCTCCTCCACGTCTTGTACAAAAAAATTGTCCAGTTGGCACTTGAAAGTAAACACCCAGCATGTAAACAAACACCAGTAGTTAATTTCACCAAGAATATAAATTTACACTGACTTTAATCCCAGAAATTCTTACCATTAATTATAATTCACATAATGTAAATAAAATGTGTAAATGTTAGTATAGTTAAGTATACATTTCAGCTTTAGTACACAAACGACCCTCATAAAAATTAAAGACTGGTCAGAGTCACAACAAACTGGTACCCTGATGTTATACTAGGCAACAGGTCCTACTTTATGGTCAGAAACAATTACAAAATAAATTACTCAATACATGAAAAGGTAGATACAGTGGATAGACATATAGATATTTGTTCATCATCACTCTACATATTTATAATAGTTTAACAAGACCCCACCAAAACAAAGAAGTGTCCATGATTAAGAAAATACCAACAGAAATAAAAAAAAAGTTCTAAATTCAAAGTCTACATTAGTTATGATCATAAATCAAGCCGAGCCAGAAAAACTTTACATAGTGTTCTGTAGTGGTGTGGAGAAGCAACATTCCTCATGGGCTAAAACAGGTGATCCAGTGACCAGACAAGTTATTTAGTTGACCTTGACCACTTGTAAAAAACTAACAAAACTTAGAGGTTAACAGACGTATATGCAGTTCACCTTTATCTAAAATGAACTTAATATTCCACAATGAGTATATAACTTATTGGTTGATGTCTATTCTAACTAATTGTCTCTCATTTTCGTAATTTTATTGTTTCTTTAATACCAGACAGACAATCACCCACAATCACCAATTTATAAACAAAATACAACCGAAATGTTGAGGCAAAATTCCTATGAACTATTAAGATTTACAGAGAAGAGAAAATACTGAGTTACTTGCTTACTTTCTTATTTGAATACTTACTTGCTTACTTATTTGCCAACCAATTTGCTAACTTACTTACTAACTCAAGATAATTGTTGTTTTCGGATATAAAACAAATGATTTTTTAGTAATATATATTTTGGACCATGTACAAGGACATATCTAAACTCTGATTAAATAACTAAATATACAGTTTCTACTCACAAACAGCACTCATGTTATCTGAACCTTATTTTCAAGTATAATGACAAAATGTTTATAGAGTCCCTTGATGTTTGTGTTTACAGAGTCCCTTGATGTTTGTGTTTACAGAGTCCCTTGATGTTTGTGTTTACAGAGTCCCTTGATGTTTGTGTTTACAGAGTCCCTTGATGTTGGTGTTTACAGAGTCCCTTGGTGTTTGTGTTTACAGAGTCCCTTGATGTTGGTGTTTACAGAGTGCCTTGATGTTTGTGTTTACAGAGTCCCTTGATGTTTGTGTTTACAGAGTCCCTTGATGTTTGTGTTTACAGAGTCCCTTGATGTTTGTGTTTCCAGAGTCCCTTGATGTTTGTGTTTACAGAGTCCCTTGATGTTTGTGTTTACAGAGTACCTTGATGTCTGTGTTTACAGAGTCCCTTGATGTTTGTGTTTACAGAGTCCCTTGATGTTTGTGTTTACAGAGTCCCTTGATGTTTGTGTTTACAGAGTCCCTTGATGTTTGTGTTTACAGAGTCCCTTGATGTTTGTGTTTACAGAGTCCCTTGATGTTTGTGTTTACAGTTTTGATGTTTGTGTTTACAAGGCACTTTGATGCTTATGTTTATAGTCAGTGGACTCTATACATTATGCACTGTATAACATTTCCATCAACTGTGACTTCAATTAGTAAACATTATTCAGGAAACAGAAACATAAATTTATTTCCTAATCATATCAACATTCAGTAAAACACTCTAACATATAACCACTCAGTAAACTCTTTAAATTACAACATGAACTTTGAAATCGTAAAATATAATTAAATATATTGTTAACTATCATTTATACTGTACAGGCATGGAAACCTTCCCTCCTGAGGACCTTAGTACTGACACCTATTCAGACGAGACACAATAGGGCGGATCTCAGACTATTAAAATCTTGAGAGAGATGGTAAACATAAACCCAGGCTATTTTTGTCATGATGTCAGGCACCACAACACAAAGGGACATACTGTAACTTCAAACTCACCAAGGTGTCATGCAGGACGAATTTAAGGAAATACTTCTTCACACAAAGGGTGGTAGACCTAAGGAATAGTCTACCAGCTCAAGCTGTGGAAGCAGGAACAGCACTGGGCTTGGGAGTAGCCCTAGACAAGACTATCAAAAACAGTGGGCCTCCTTACCTCAGCATGGCCACCTCAAATGAGTGGCCATTAGGTTAAACATTTTGATAGCCACATTGGCAAGTTATAATCCATGTCAACATAAAGATATTTCAGCAGCTCGTGAAGACTGTTAGTTCTTCATTAATCTGATCCCCATAATGATATTCATATCTAATTTTCACCTCACCGTGACCAAGGGCATTACTGTATCATCAGTGTGTGTGTGTGTGTTATCCCCAGAACTTGTCAACTCAGGTAATCTTACTCTTGATGGATTGACATGAAACGTGGTAGACGTCATTACTGTATCATAATTTAGAGATACATGTATTGCAATACCTCTGGGGGTCACAGGTCAAGGTCAATGTTTTTTATGCAATTTTCAAAACCACATTATCACATGTTAATATTGATCATATTAAGCTTCTTTTTTACCCATTTATTAACTTCAAACACTGGAAAAATGAACATCAACATTATAGGCAATTTAATACATTTGTTTATGAACATTGCTGAAGTTGCTCTCTCTCTCTCTACAAAGATAAATAATATGATAAAAGAAAGAAAAGAATATCACAATAATAACAAAAACAACAATAAAAACTACAAAAGAAATAAAAATAATGAGTGGAGAAGACGACGGCGATGAAGATTGAACTAAAGAAAGAAAAATCACATTTACAAACAAGAGATAATGAAGGTGAGAGGTGTGGAGGGAGGCTGGGGTCGAGGGGCAGGGAGAAGCTACCTGTTGACACCCCCTCTCTCCTCCCACCAAACAACTGGCTGCATTATCATTCCATCTATATCCCCTAATTCTCTTTGCCACTGATCGACCTGTTACCCTGGGTGATTGGCGGTCTGTTACACACTGTTGATAATGCAGTGGATTTCTCCCCTACAAACGCTGTTTGTCGCTGAGTAGCCGACCCGCGAATTCCCCAGTGTATGCCTCGTGGTCTAGGTCAACCAGCGCCGCCTTACATGACGGAGGTCAACCATTAAGCCACGCCTACCCTCTGCTCTTTAAGACCTGACCTCGTGGTGACCACCCTTTTTCTACCTACACCAACCAGCCAGCAACACCTCCTCCTCCTGCCTGGCGGTCCTCGCTCCCGCCGGCGAGCATGGCGACCCACAAGCTGTCCTCCTCTGAGCATCCTCACCAACCAGCTCTCTACATCACGCTTGTAACCATGCTGCCTTCCCAGCACCAAGCTGCATTGTACATCCAATACAACATGTATACAGAGAGCACATTGTGAGTTTCCTTTCTCCATCCCATCCTGAGTGAGAACCAAACATCTCGTACCCCACAATAAATACTGGACATACACTGGATCTAAATGATGATAGTGGTGACAGAATAAGATGTTACGATGACATGGTTAGTGACAACATTACAAAGAACGTAGGCTGTGAGTGTGTCTCGTAACTAAGAGAAGTCGAGACACATTACAAACTAGACCTGAGACATTCCCTGATTGATGGTAATGATGATGGTCCGGTCGGGCTGGCAGGTGCTCACGTACAGTTTGTTGTTTTGCCGGTAGATGTACACTTCGTTGCTCTCCGCTCCCATCTCCATAATGCCTACTTGCTCCTCCAAGGCACGCAATGATGTCATCTGCAACAGTAAACACAACTTGCTAGTTCACAGTGTCCCTGTATTAAGAATCTCTTTATCCAAGTCATTCAAAACTAATATTATAAGCTCTTTATCTTGACAAGTGATTTTTTTTATGAGTATGAATGTTTTTTAAAAGAATCTTAAGTAATCTGTTACATGATATCATATTTCTGATAAAGTAATAAGATATCTGGATATATAGTTCAGTGTTAAATCAAGGAAAGTATTAAAATCACCTTAAGATTAGCTCCTTCCCCCCAGCTTATTGCACCAAAAGATTTACCAACTTAATGATACTTTTGAGGGTATAAGATGAGGTTAGGTTGATTGATCTTCAGGTGATCTGTGAGAGAGAAGAGAAGAGAAGAGAGATCTGCGCCACTTACCCTGTGTGAGAGTGCAATAGCTCGTTGTCTAGGGTCATTGTTGGCAGGTTCATCAGCTCCATCACACAGCTGGTCCTTCACCTCCTGCACCTCCTGCCGTGACTTCCACAGGTGTCTGAAAGTTACAACACCTTATGTTCCGCATAACACAAGTAAATATGTAGAGAAGATGAGTGAGGACAGGAACTAAAATTAAAATAACTAGAAATACACCAATCAAGAGACGGAGATTTGGCCAATTGGAACATGGCTTAAAATAAAATTATACCGTATACCTGTATTTTGTTCTTTAGAAAGCATTTTAAGGATGGTAAATTTTAAATCCATACAGAGGTTTTGTTAATGTTCTTTGATCTAATTTGATACACTGGAGGTTTTGTTGAAGCTCTGAACACACTTAAAAACCAATCAAAGCCTCTGTTGAGGCTCTGAACCCACCTGGAGGCTTTATTGAGGCTTGTGAAGACGACCTTGACATCTTCGTCAGTACTGTCGAGGTAACTGGAGTATGTGTTGATGCGTCGCTCTACCCTTCTCTGTAGCTCTGCCAGAGATACTCCCAGAGTCTCCACCCACTGTAACCATGAGGTCAGAGTCTCAACAACAACAATTTAATCAAGAAAAGAAACTTCAGCTTCTTATAAATATGTTTGCATAATTCATAATACAGTAGTACATATAAAAAGTTTAAATAATCTTCATTACTCTACGTCTAAAGTTCTAATCTCACTGCTGAAGCCAGAAGCACCTGTATCCTCATCTGTGACTTGTGGCTTTACTTATGACATTACCTGTGCTATAGGAGTCCACCTGTAACTCACCTGTTGTATAGGTGAGAGTTCGTGTGAGGTACAGTGATCCCGGGCAGGAACATCACAAGTTATACACCAAAACTCTTCGACTTTTAAGTCAGGGGCGATGGATGGTGGGACGGCCTTGTTGGGTGGCTTGGTGGTGGCGAGCAGTTCACTTTGTTTTTCAGGCTTCCTTAATATTTCGAGACGGGCCAAGTCTCTTAGGTGAGCCACGACGTACCTGGGGAAAGTAAGGATAGAGAAATTAATTTGAGAGAGAGAGAGAAACATGAAGAAAAAAGAGAACAGGAGAGAGAAGATGAATTCAGAAAGATTGACAAAGAGAGACGGAGAAAAAGAATAAAGGACAAAGAGGAAGAATTTTACAAAGATTACCAAAACTTGACATAGTAAATAATGGGGGGAGAGCTCACCTGTTGGTCTGCAGTTGAGAGGTGTTGATGAGGGTGCGACAGAGAGGACACTGAACCACCTCGTTCCTGGGAATCTTGGGCTCCTTCTGGTCAATCACAGCTGGTTTGGGCTTAAGAGGAGGAATATTCGGTTTCTTCTGGGGTCTCTCTGGGGCAGGTGGACCCCCCTGGCCAGAGTTTCGGGCAGGGAGGGCAGGAGGGGAGGTGGGTGAGGGCAGGGGAGGAGGCGTTGGGGCATGCCGGGGAATAGGCGTGGGGAAGGACAGAGGACGGGTCGTGGGGACAGTGGGCGTGCAAGGCAGGGGGTCGCATGGGTGGCGTGTGAGGGTGGTGGAGGGACCGTGACCTGACATGCGTCTCAGGGTGGGATGAGCCCTGTTGTTCTGTAGCGTGTTGGTGATGGCGCTGACATTGCTGTGGCGTCTTTGGTCATACTTGGAGCTGTTGCTGCTGGGAACATCCTGCTGAGAGAGGAGAGTCATTGTCACTCTGTATTAAAAAGTAGTACCACAGAGTGAACAGTTGGGTGTGTCTACAGCCCTTCCTGGGGGGACTTCTCACCTATGGTACTTCCCCAAGTCGTCACCACAAGGACTGTGGTCCCACATTTCATACATCTAAGTTACAGGTCTGAAAGGGTCCCTGCTCAAATAAGTTCAAACAAAACCTAACTAATCATTAGAAGTGGAGCCCAGTGCTAATGGGCGCCAGTGTTAATAAACTCCTAAGGCCAGACCAAATATACCTTCACCCTAATGGGCATCAGTCCTAAAAGAGAGGTTACACAAGGTTAGGTTAGATTAGGTTATGTTATGTTAGGATAGGTTATGATATGTCATGTTAGGACAGGTTACGTTAAGTTAGGCTATGTTACTTTATGTTAGGATAGGTTAAGTTAGGTTAGCTTAGCTTCGGATAAGTTATGCTCGAGTCTATGAAAATTGGGACCCATTAGATGTACAGCCCTTCCTCACCTCTTGCTGGGGAGTGGGGTCATCGTAGACGTGGTTATCGTGTTCCTGGGAGCTGAGGACCTGGGTCGACCCTCTGCCTAGGAGACTGTACAGACCTCGGATGGGGTTAGTTGGTCTTGTTCCTGCTGCTGGTGCCGGAGCCTTTGAGCGTGAGAGTGGCAGTGAGAGAGAGGGAAAGAGAGAGAGAAGGAGAGAGAGATGGTAGGAGGGACACAGATATGGTAAGAAAAGAGGAAGATAAAGGGATATAAGAAGAAGCATAAGGAAGGAAAAAAGTGTCATGTGAGGTCTCTGAATTTCAGGGTTCAAGAAGAGACAGGTGAGGTAACAGGACTTTTGTTAGCTAGTGTACATTGTTTGTATACTGTCCACATACATTGTTTTTTATACTTTTACTGTCGATTTACATTGTATACCTGTGCTGGTCTTTGTACTGCACATTATATTCCCACATCTAACAGAATGATACTAATTAACTGATATACAAGAGATGTTTTCTTAGGCGATCTCTGATTATATATCTTAGATAATTACCTCAATAACTCATCCCAACACCTCCACCTAACTCATCCCAACACCTCCACCTAACTCATCCCAACACCCCCACCTAACTCATCCCAACACCTCCACCTAACTCATCCCAACACCTCCACCTAACTCATCCCAACACCTCCACCTAACTCATCCCAACACCTCCACCTAACTCATCCAACACCCCCACCTAACTCATCCCAACACCTCCACCTAACTCATCCCAACACCTCCACCTAACTCATCCCAACTTATTAACAATCTCCTAGAAGACTTACAAGATTGTAGATCTCACTGGAGGGGATGACATTTGATTTCTGCTGGGAGGTGGAGGGAGAGATGAGCTCGACTAGACAGGAGGCGCAGAAGGTGTGGAGACAAGGCATCATTTTGGGCGTCCTGAGTCCCTCGTCGTATTGCTCCAGGCATATCGGGCAGTCGAGGTATTCCTGTGGGTCGTGATGTGGTGGTAGAGAGACACAGAGATATACTGGTGGTAGAGAGAGAGACAAAAGGAGATAATATTGAGAGAGAGAGAGAGAGAGAGAGAGAGAGAGTGGTGGTAATGAGAGTGATAATAGTGGTAAAGAAACAGACAGAGATAAGATTTGGTAGAGAGAGAGAGGAAGAGGGAGATAGTGGTGGCAGAGAGACAGACAGATGTTCACAATACAATAAACATCAATTCACCAACCGTTGCCAAGATCCCAAGAGCAAAAAGTCCATACAAGTGAGACAGAATTCGTGGCTCCATAACTTCCAGCAAAATGGCTTTAGGACAATGACTATTTCAGCTATTATAATTATTGGTCAACTGAGGAATAAATAGAGGGTTAATGCGTAGTTAATGTGGGGTTAATGTTCAAGGTTTATCTCCTAGTTACCTATCAGCTAGGAGAACGTGGAGAAGGGAGCACTGAGAGATACATACCCCTCGCCTCTCTACCCTTTCTATCAAGTAGACTTCTTGATCTACACATAAAAGGGTAAGCAAAGGGGATATAAAGGCTGTTTTCTTACCTATAAAATATGTTTGACTTGGGGATCACCTAAGAGATTACCCGCCCCCCAATATCAGAAGATAAACCGCTCTAACACTAACCAAACTTAACCCCTCCCCCAGTAGTAGCATTAGGGTGGTTAATCTTCCAGTGAAATAAGCTCAAGGGCATTCAGGTGATCATGTATGGTTGTGAAGTAAGTTAAAGACACACAAGATATCGATTCAAACTAAGCCAAAACTCAACGGCTTCTCACCAGGGAGTTAAGATTCACAATATCAAATTCATTCAATAAATATTCCCCTTTAAAATTATCACAGTATTAAAAAAAACGATTTCTTAAAGTCTGACCCATTATAGAATTTTTACTTTTGATCAATTAATGCTTAAACTTAACCTTGCAACCTGAGACATGTTGAGAGTGTCGTCCGGGGCATTGGTGAGCTCTACCTTATCTGGCATTGATAAGACCGCACTGACTTGATTCACCTCACCATGTATAAACACTATCTAATCTCCCTTGTATGAGTTAATTCACTTAAAATTCTATGAGTCGACTTTTTAACAAACTAGATTTTCATTATCAAATTTTATTCATCTAATTCTTCATCCAGCATATCCTGTTATTAGTGCCAATACTGCATGTTCAAATTAAACACATTCTAATTAAGTGCATTCATGAGAAGTTCGTTCCTATTTGTAGTAGTATTAAAGTTCCATTATTCAAACTCATAAATTTTATATGAAGTGTTTCAAATTCCACTAAACTCATAAGTTTGCTCCACCATTTTAATCTGACTCTTTTAACTCAATTAATATTCTCTTAGTCATGGTGTTTTATGGTTAAGACCCCAGCCTGACTTAAGCCACTAATGGAAAGAGGCTTATGAAGGCTTTATTAGGCTTGACTTAACTATGGTACTGTGTATACTTTATCTAAAATGTGTGTGGTACATTACACAACAAATAATACACAACTGTACTTGTAAGAATCTATCCGCACTTATACAAAAATGATACATTGTATTTGGTCCTATAAACACAGACATATACAGTATTGTACTGTACTTCACATTTATATAAAAGCTGCACGTTAAGAGAACATTATTTGCTGATCTAACTAACTCTCAAGTTAGGATAAACTGTGTACTGGACATCTGAACTGTCATCCAAATTTAAAGTTTTCTGAAATGTCATCCATAATCATAGCAGATTCAACAGCAGATTCAATTCTCTGAAAAGCCTTGTACCAGACACCCTCCTCAGGCATACACCTATCACATTGTGAGTGGAGATACTCACCTTGTAGTTTAGGTGAAGAGTTAGGTTGTGTACCAACTCACTATTCAATCTCAGCTGGGTAGTGTATGTACAGTAAATGTAAACAAACTCTTGCTATGAGATGAACACACAACAACCAGCTCTTATAATGCTATGTTATAAAAGTACAGTATGTACACAAGGTTTAATACCTAATATTCCAGCAAGTATGGTGTGTAACAGAGGCAGTCATTCATACTGTACAGTTGACTGGAAATAAGCCAGGAGGCCGTCGTGTAACATTACTAGGGTAAGAATTGACACTGAGGAAGGCGTCTCTAGAAGCACTGTGTTATGATGAAATGTTTTGCTGGGTTAATTGCTTTGGGGCCACTCCTCAGGAATGTATCTTAGCTGCTATAAGAGGTCTGCCTGTACAGTATATACAGTTTTACCCCGCTTAACGCGCTTTCACTTAACGCGTTTTCGCATATACGCGGTGCCTTGCCAAAGCTGAACTTTCACTTAACGCGGGTTTTTTCCACATATACGCGGTGAGTGTCCGGCTCGGATGCTATTTTTAGATTTTGCCCACGCGCCACCCACCCGCCCGCCTGCCTGCCTGCCTCTCCCTCCTCCTCCCTCCGCTTGGGTAAGCGGCGCGGTAAGGTTGCGCAGTGTGTGTCTTTGTTGCGTTATCACTGACGTCATATGACGTCTCGGACTGTGATTGGCCATGCAGCCCTACCCCCCTCTGCTGCTAGCTGTAATTGGCTTAAAGTATTATGACGTGACTACCCCGGGGAGGGAGGGAGGGAGGAGAGACGACGCTTGACCTAGCCGCGGCAGTTTCATCCCTCAAGGCCACGCCGGGTTAACGCGCATCCATTGTTCCGTAAAATGGCTTCCGCCGGACCACCACCCCCAGAGAGAAACCTTTCCTTACCTGGACCCAGCGGCACTAAACCAAAGAAGACACGACGTTCATTAAGCTACGAGGTGAAGTACCAAATTGTTCAAGATTTGGAGAAAGGAAGACGCCAAGTTGATCTCGCGACACTGACGATGAACGCCATGACGTCTTCCATACCCGACTGGTGCAGGCTATGGAGCCGTACATCACGGTGTATCATGACAACATCAAAGCCAGCCGTCAGCAAAGCATAACCGAGTTCTTCGCCCGCAACCCACCACAGCCAGCCCAAGCCAGTGATAGTGATAGTGAAGTTGATTTTGAGGGATTTGTCAGGGAAGCCATGACAACTGTAAGTGACAGTGATATTGATTCACCTAGTAATGGTGATTCACCTGAGGGGCAGTAATCTGCCCTCTGCCTCGGAACCAGCCTCCATCCCCGTATGCCGACCCATCTCTTCTACTACCGTGAGTGTTCCTCAAAAATTTTCGTTTTTTAACCTATTCTTTATTTTTCCTATGTTAACCTTTATCTTTCCTAACCTAACCTCTTCTATATTACTTGTTTTTCATGCCACCATAAAGTTAAGATAGAATTTTTACTACAACATAGTTATTTGTCGTCAAAAAGTGGAGTTTGGGGGTCGGGCTGGGTTCTATTGGAATTAATCCCATATGTTCTGTTATTCACTTAACGCGGTTTTCACTTAACGCGGGACCCTCTGGGTTCAATTGACCGCGTTAAGTGGGGTACAACTGTACAGTACAAGGTGCAGTGTTGCTGGGGGTTAGAGCTGCACAGTATGTTCAGCCATGACAATATTGTTTCTTTATTATTTCATTATTACTCCTCTTTACAGTTCACTACTACTATACCTCTCAAGTATGATGTTACCTATATATAATGCATGAGATATAATTCATAAATATAATTATACAAACTTATTCATTTTTAGCTGTATTAATGCTTCTATATTTAATTGCTTCATTAATACAGTACAGCATTTTTACTCCATTTCATGTTTTCCTTAACAAATTATAAATATTGTTTAAATGTATAGTAGCTAGTAGTACAGTACAACTATCTTAAACATATGGAGTATGAAATTATAACCTTTTAGTTATCCATACAGTGAATTAAGGAAGGCAATTGTGTTTTCTGTATGGTGTTGTGCACGACTGTCAGTGGTTAGGGAAGTTCCCTTCAGCTTGTGTTAATTTATTAGGTATTTAAAAGTGGGTCACTGTACTTGTTTCTTGCTTTCTTGGCATAAAAAACTTTCTCAGCAATAGGCTTAAAACCTCTGGGTGTGATTTACTGTACACTACTGTACTGTTGTTGTTTTCTTCTAGAGTTGTGGTAACATTTAATCTCCCAGACCCTCTTTCACTGAAGGTCTTGGGTTGTGACATGAAGGTCCACCAATTTTCAAATTAATTCCCATCAACACTGATAAAGTTCCTGAGAACCCCAGGTATTCAACCTGCAGCTATACAGCATGTACTGGAGTCTCCCAAACCAGGCACCAGGCTATAATATGCTATATAGGAAGCTGTGGGGGGGAGAAGAGAGCTTATTCTCAAGGGGGACCCATACACCATACAGTATATGGCACCCATCCCCATTCACCGGCATACGAGTAATCGCAAACAAACACATATACAGTATTAATAAATAAAGTTAATATACTGTACTTTGAAGATACAATACTTTCACAACCAGTATTATGCCTAGCAGCCCTCACCATGGCTGTGTAAAGCCTTAGGCACTGTACCTATGAAATCTGTAACAAGAATTGATGAAGATATAACACAACAAAGTTTTAAGGTACACAAAACTTATTTTAAATAATAGTCCATAGTAATAAATATGATAAAAAATAAAGCAGTGGGCCAATAAAGTTTCTATGAAAGATAAATATCATATATGGTAACAACACAGTGATGAGAGGTTTTAAGGTGCCAGACTATGGGGCCGACAAAAGTTATTTAAAAACATAAATGCGTTATAATAAACAACAGTCAAGAAAGCTAACACTTAAAAAATATTCTGTATTATGATAAACAACACACAATAGAAGGTGAAGATGGGTGTATGAAAGTAATGAGGTTACAAAACATAGTAAATATATTATATTATTGACAGTACAGCAGTCAATAAAAGAATAAGATACTTGGACTCCTGAACTGTACGGGTAGTGAGAAAGAAAGTGGTTAGCAATAATTAATATGAACAGGACCGGTGAGGATGGAGTGCAACAACTTTCTGCTGCTCATCTTGCCTAGATTAGCTTATTTTTGTTTAATTCATAGAGCAAGGTATGTAACCCCCCCCCCCTTGCTCCGCCACAAATGATGTCCGTTATAAATTTTACGTGTGACTAGTGACAGCCCTCGTACACCAAAATTTATCGTCCATGGTCTCATATTGTTTCCCACAAAGTATGCAGCCCTCAACTCTCCCTGTCTCTCTCTTACCTTCTCATCAGAATCCATCACTCAGGTCTTCACAGGGATGTATAAACAACTTCTAATTTTTGTACCACTGGCCAAGCTTGGCCAAGTGCATCCCTGTAAAAATTATTTTTATTTCACTCCTTGTTCACTCTTCTAAACTGTGCTGTTTCTCCCACACGTACCAGTATTCATTCTACTCTTCCGTCAGATCTTCTCAATATGTTGTTTTTCACTCAGAAGTTACTCTTAAATGCCAAACTTTCCTGTGTTTGTTCAACACCATGTTATCCCCCACTCTCTGAATACTGCGTTGTGTTGTCTGTTTTAACTAGTCCCTTTTCTTTCTTCACTACACCACACTGTTGCCCAGCTTATCAACTACCTGTACACACAATCAATTTTCATGCACTAGCTCGACATGTTTTTCCCTGAACCAAGTATCTTATCAGCATCTTTATCTCCTTATCTTCCTAAACTGATTATATAAGAACTGTCCACCATTACGGAAATGTCCGTTTCCACTAAAGTGATGATGTCAGATAGAGGAATGGAAATAAAGTGAAATTGACAAGAAAATTAAGTTAGTGATCCAAAATTTTCATTATTTTTCAGTCCAAAATAAGGTACATAATCTGTAAGTAATCAACAGAAGTTCTCAATCAATAACAAAGATCATTAAACACCAATAAATCTTTAAATAATGTAACTGTGGTGAAATATACCAAAAAATGCATATTAATTATCATAGATGCTTCAAACCTCCCCAACAGTACCACAAACCGAATTACTAAGAGCGAGTCAAAACCTTGGGGTTATGAATTCATCAACCACCAGGCATAAAGGAGGTCTTATGTGTTCTGAAGGAGACATTAAACACAGAGGATCAGCTAAAGGAAGTACTGTAGTGTGTCATAAGGAGGACTTGTTTAGTATGAGGTGTAAGACATGAACCAAACTGACCAATTCAATAAATGCTTTGGCAAATTGAAATAATTCCTTTAATAACTTCATCTTATTAATCTCTAAAATATACACTAAATAGACCAAGTACAGGACACTAGTATATCTAATGACCTACTGTATGATACGCTAGCTGTGAACCCCTTGACCACAGTCTTCTGGCAGAACATTTACCCAAAACACTACACGTGATCTAAAATAATAATGAACAGTTTATTATTAAAAAAATTCTACCTTTGGTTTGTTTAATATTTATCCTGACAATGATACAGCCAAAAATAGATCCACCATTACATACAGCCTTAGTCTACAAGGTATTGCCACGTAAAATTGAAAGCAAACGAGACCCAGGTTGGGGTCACTGGATCTTTGGTTGACTGTACAAAGTGGCTGTCTGAAAACAGTTCAAAATTGAGAATTCTTCATTATACTCAACAAAGCTTAATACACACACACACACACACAGAACAAGCCATGAGTTAAGGGATCATTATCACCCTATAAGATTTACTGCAATAGCTACATCAAGTGTTGGTACAGTAATGCATCATGGTCATTGCCTCAATAAACTATTACTGTACTCATAAGAATATACGGCTGAAATCAACTGTATCCACAAAAAAAAGTACAGTAAATACTATATAAATAAAAAGAGACAGAAAATTTCCTACAAAGAGAGTATGGCAGTTAGTGAACAAGACAGTACAAGGTGGATAGACAGACACTAAGGGAGACAAGTCACACAAGACAAAACGTGTGGAGAGTAGTGGGTGAGTCGGGTACAGTACTGGGTGAGTCGGGTACAGTACTGGGTGAGTCGGGTACAGTACTGGGTGAGTCGGGTACAGTACTGGGTGAGTCGGGTACAACACTGGGTGAGTTGTGTTATAAAAGGAATGCTGCAGAAGTGTTGGCAGGGATGACAGAGAGTTAAGACCGGTGAAAGACAAAAAAGCCCTTCACTATGGGGACGCTACTGAGTATTTTATTTAGATAACGCCAGATTTTATTCATTATGGGGAGGGGTTAAGATACTAATAATGTCTACATACTAACTATAAATAATAATAGGAGTAAATATAAACAACTATTGGAAGATAATCTACTTTATTACACATATAAATCATCTTTTAACCCAAACAGATTCCAAATAACAAATCTTCAATATTCTGATGATTTACAAAAATAATGAGAAACAAAATCAATAACAAAATAAAGTAAAATACTATGAAGGCATTTTAGAACAGTATTCTCCTGTAACAATGTCGAATTTACTGACATTACAACATTGTACATAGATGTGGTACAAACCCACGTCAAGGATGAACTTCTCCAAGACTTGATGTTGGTATTTTACTGGAAAGCAGAAAATACCAGAAAACTCTTCAGCTCATCAGGTAACCTCTGAAAAAAGACAGAAAAATATGTTTGTAAACCTCACACCATCATATCTTATACAGTAATAACAGTACAGTAAATCACTCACTGGCTGTAGGTAAATTTGGCCCCAGGTTAATATAATAATCATCTTGTGGCGTTTCTTTTCTGACTTATCATCAAAAACATTCATACACGCCTCTCACCTATATATACAATACTTTATCTTTTTATAATTCCATCTCATTCTCAATCTCCCTTTTTTCCTCTCCATCACCTTATTTCCATCCATTTTCTCAACATGCCACTACTACCTAAGGATTCCATTAGGAGTTTCCAAAAATTTATGACAACCAGAAAGTCACAAGAACATTATTTGTTAGCCAAGAGAATGTACACACAGGTATCAAGCAATTTGGGGTTAATTCAAGGGGACTGTACTGTAAGTCTGACCCCTCATGCTCCTTTCATAATAATCCCTACAAGGAGAAGTAGAATCCTAAACATACACCCACCACATCTTTTATAACTAAATAAAAAATATTATCCTGGAAACTTCATGAAATAAGAATGATCAATTTCCAGAGTCCCATGAAATCCTAGGGTCAAGTCAGGTGATACTGTCATGATAGAGTCTTGTACAAAACTGAAGTAGCTGGGTGAAAGGTCTGCTCAATGTGACCTGATCTAATTGTACCGGTGTTGTTAAACTGTTGTGCCAAGGGTCAGAAGTCTTACTTCAGTTACCTGACCTAACCTTCCCAGGCCTCACATACTGCACCTGCTTGTCTGACCTAAAAAAAATAACTGCTTTAATCCCAACCCAACAAAGTTTGATCCAGGAGAACACAATTCAAGCAACTGCCCCCCCCCCCCTCCCCCACATGGATGCCTTAACAATTCTACATTCTCAAGTCCCGATGAACATAATCAAAAAATAATTAAAACTTACGGGAGTTTGATTTTCATAAATGCATAACAAGCAATGGCTGCGATGATGATGCAGGCAAAACCAATGATGATGAGGAGGATGCGGTTGAGCTTAGGTGTTGAGGGAGAGTGAGTCTGGTCGAGGACAATGAAGCCAATACCACCCAGGGCAAACATGAAGGACGATGCCAACCCTTCCATGATGTACTGCCCATTTACCCGATATGCCATGAACGCAACCTGAAAATAAAAAATATTGAGAATACAGTCTGTAGATAAATGTACAATCAAAGATTATGTAATTTATAAACATATTTTCCTTCCTTCCTTCCTTGGTGGAGACAATATTTAGCACTCCAAAACATCTGGACATGTTCTTTCAAAATGAATATAACAGTCAAGCTAAAGAGAATATTTACCATAACATTCTAAGACCTCTTCCCATTCTTTCTAATTACAAACTTTAAATGTTGACAGAAAAAAACACCATACTTACCGGTCTTGAGTGACCATGTTCGTCTGTGGTCGAGCCGACACTGGGAGGTTCAACAATTACGTCGTAGATTATACCTGGGGGAGAAACTTCATTAACCAATGTTGCCAATACAAATGTAAAGGGTCACAATATGTACAATGGTCTGCTGAGATGAGGTGTGGCATTACATATGGCTAGTGGTGGAATTCATGGCACTATGTTTCTAAAGTAACTTATACAAACCAACTAAGCCTAACCAAACCAACCTTTGGAATGTAGGGACTTTGTAGGGTTAGGTTTGGTTGCTTCATGTTGTCTGCTGAAATTTTTAGCCATTAAGAATCTCTGATCCATTTTAGAAACATGACATCACTCTTGCTCTATCAATATGTTAAGAACAGTAATCCACACCAAAAGCTATCATCTCCCAAGCCAGTGATAAGGCCAATCATGGAGTCTGCATGGTGTTAGAATCAGCCAATTTTATTTAAAGTATTTATGACAATATACTGTAAACCAATTGAACATAATCAATATTTAATTTATGTTTTGGATTATTCAATGTTTAGTTGGTTTATATTAAATATAATCATAATCCTGGATTCCAAGAATATGCACAATGATGCAGTTACAATACAAGAATGTAGTGAGCCACAGTTCCACCCAATACAGTGGCAGGTGTGTTTTGTGAAGTTAGGTAACTCTATGTGTGTTAACTTTACATCGTTATAAAACTACCAGAAACGCCTGAAGGAACTCCATAACATCAGCCAGACACAGAATGCTAAATAAGCAGTCCCCAACAACTGTATCTCTGAATGTAAGTATTTATTGTATGTTTATTGGTTGCACAAAACCGTCAATTTTTTTTTCATGCAAATTCTTTCACGTAATATTATTCTTTTCCAAGGGGACAGACTCAAGACACAAGCTCATCATCTTATATTTAACTGTGCAGATTGTTCTTCGTCTTATCACAAGTTATCTGTGTTTGTGGAGGATGAAGACCATCTCCAGGAGTTCATCTGTCAACATGGACTACATGACAGGATGTGTAAGTGTTCAAAATGCGGCAGACAACCGACGGTGTAACAACTGATAAATGTAAAATTACACAATACTGCTATAGAAATGTTGCTTTCTTTGGTACCAGATATTTATAGTAAGTTTTTCTTCTGCTTAATATGGCAGGGGGTCCAGCCAATTGGGAAGTTACGTTGGTTTGGTTGGTTAGGTCAGGTTCTGTTAGCTTCTGGGTATTGCCACATCATTTTTATTACTTAATATGGTAAAATTATAAATTCAGTCTTCCAACTATTTAGAAGTAGGTCAGAATCTTTCAAAACACATTAAAAGAAACACATAATTTCAACCTAACCTAACGTAAACCTCTCTCAGACGGTGGTAACTTAAAATCCTAAAATTTGCTGGATGACCTAAACAGTAATAATAACCCTTAGTATCATCCAAACATCTATGGGAAAAATGACCGAAATCAAACAACTTCTACTGTTTAGCTGTCTCCTCCTGCGGTAATGTTTAGGAATACAGAAACAAATTAAAAAAACAATAAACTGTACATGACATAAGGGGGCTCAAAGTACTGTATTACTCTTTCTGTCTTAGACCAAAACTTACTAAACATATATTTTCACATGTAAAGATAATAAGGATAGAACAACAGCAACATGGAGGCTCCAGCACCCACCTCCCGTCACCAAGAAGTAAGACAGCAGGATGAAGGCGAACACCACCATGGGTGCCGGCATAGCCACCCATGACGGCTTCTTCAGCTTCAATCTGGGTAATTCTAACACGAAAAAGGGGATGCTGTAGATAACGTCCAACATGTTGATGACTGACGTGACGCCTCGGCGACAACAACAAATGCTATCCTAGTCGTTTTATCTTCTGGCTCCCTATTGGTCAACTGCTACCATCCCTATATTTTGAGGAACCTCATTGGTGGTCTACAACCCAATCATAACCCTCAACGCGGCTAGTCTCTTTAAGGGATCAAGAATATAAATATTTATCATAGTTATTAACAAAAATTTATATTAAAATCAGTAAACGTATTTTTAATAAAACTTACATGTCAGAAAATTAGCAAATCTAATATATCTCATTAATATATGAAAATACTGAAGTTAGATATTGTAAATGTTATTTGTCTAATTTATTTGGATCGACCCATGTGTGGTTGGCGTTGAATTTGACAACGAACCCTTAAAATTTGCTTAGTGGGCCCAACTCAATTACTAAAATAAAAACACGTTTTTTGCATAGTTCTGACTATTTTAAGACACGTTGTTCTATGGTATTTTCGTCGATAATTTAAAATTGTCGAATATCTTAATCGATAAAATTACCAACAAAATTACTTGTTTAAAGTGGGCTGGGCTTTGAAGCTGAATGAAAATGTGGGGTAAAACACTAAAAATAACACCAAACAAACCTTTGAAAACCTGACCTAACGTTTCCTAACTTGATTCTTTTAGAGATGAATCCATCCTTTATCTGAACACCGAAAACAACACATACCAAACACTGAAACACAAACACTATCACCTACTTAACACCGAAAATATGAATAAGGTTAAATTTTTATAGTTAGGATTTTTAAAGGTTAGGTCTTGCCTAACATCCACTCTTGTTTTTCGTTTTTTCTTCCTAAGTAGCAAGTGTAAGTAAGAAACAGAAAAATAAAGTATACTCACCGTCATGACTCTTTTTAATCCTTCAACTAATGCTTTGTACACTTCTGGAATCACCAGAGTAATACTAGAGTTTGATACTTTAAACAGGCACATAAAGCCTTTATAACAATCTTCAGTGAAAAGAAATATTAATGTGATGGCTGCTTTAGTTTTCAAAGGAATTTCTGTCATATTTGTATCCATTTTCTGTTTTTTTGGACCAATAAAGTAATATTACAAAGCATCTCAAAAGCACCCTTAGACATTCTTGTAAAATTGTGAAATAAATACTTGTCTAATTGTAATTCTCCACATAGAGCTGCATTAGATGGTCACTTCATCTCTTCATCCTGCATTGTTTATAAATTATAATATAAGTGGCAGCTGCAATTCCTAGATCCATTTTCAAGACCACAACCTTCACAGGTTCCCCTGACAACAATATAGTGACTCACTGGCTCCTGTACAGTGGTCGAGTTGCTTTGAATTGTTCCACATTGATGACAAAATTGCAGCAATTATGGTCATAGCAATATTTTCTTCTTCAATATTTTAAAATACTTTGCCTAATGGTGCTCAGCTTTTGTTGCTCATGTAACTGTACCTTACAGCATTTAAATTTAGGGATAACTTTTACTTCACATTTACTCGAATACAAATACAGTATCATATTATACTGTCAGACGTGATTGGATCTTTATCAACAGGTTATCAAATTTTCAGGTCATTAAAAACACAAGGTCTTACTCACTGATTATATATTAAAGAAAATTATCAGGTAATGTTATGACATCCAAGCATGAAATCAGAAATTATGATGAACACATGAATAAAGGCTGAAGATTTTTGTCCGGTCGTCGGTTAGGTTAGGTTTATCTAGTAACACCAGAAGAAGTTGATAGAATTTGATGAAACTTTGTGGAAACATTAATTACAATCAATTAAGTAGATAAATGTAAACGAGAATGCACAGAACTTATTAGAATTTGACCTAACCTAAAGTAACTTACCTAACCCTACCTAGCTCACGAGACAACCCTTTTAAAACACACCTAATGACACTGAATACATTCTCGTTTCCATTTATCTATTTAATAGATTGTAATTAGTGTTTCCACAAAATTTCATCCAATTCTATCAATTCCTTCTGGTGTTAGTCTAAATAAACCTTCCTAACCGACAATCAGACAAATATCTACATCGAGAGAGAAAAATAAAAATAAAAATCTTTCCTACAAGTCCTGTCTTAAAAATAAATGGCACTGTTGTCATATTCAAGAGACAATTTGTGACATTTCAAGGGAAAAGTCATTATATTTAACTGAAACTAAATGTGACCGTCAAACAAAATATATTCATATCACATCTTACTTATGATGTATTGGTTCATATTCTTCTTTTAATACATAAAACATATCGCTATGGATATTTGTCCGGTTATCGGTTTGGGAGTTTCTTTTAGATTAACCCTAAGATGATAAAATTGGATAAAACTGTATAAAAGCGTTAATTACAAATAAGTAAATAAATAAATGGAAACGAGAAAACATTTAGTGTATTAAGTGTGTTTTAAAAGGGCTTTCTGGTAAGTTAGTTTGGGTTAGACAGGTTAGTTAGGTCAAAGTCTAATAGGTTCTATACATTCTCGTTTCTATATATCTATTTAATACTGCAGCTTGTAAATAATGTTTCCACAAAGCTTCATCCAATTCCATCAACTTCTGAACTTCTAGCATTAGTCTAAAGAAAACCCTACTTAACCAACAACAGGACAAATATCCACAACCGAAATATATTCCACATTAATATTGTCTTATGTACCAATGTGTGCAAAACAGTACAGTTCTTTACATTCAGAACTGAAGTACAGTATTACAGTACAATAGAGGCTGTGGCTACCAATCTGGGTACAGTACAGCTCTCAATGTTTTGTTAGAACCAGAAATATTTGATCCTTTAACAATTTATGAGATCAGACATGAACCAAATATTTTACCTTAACTTTGGTAAACCTTACCTAACGATCTTAGGTTTGATTATATGTAACGTCTCCAAGTACGTACAATACAGTGAACACATTAAGTCTTGTGCACGTGAAGGTCGTTTATTCTTTATATAGACTGTATATATCAGGTTCTCTTGTAAAACTAAACAGTATGCTGGAGCCAAGATGATAACCACTTCCTAAGAAAAGAAATCAGTTGGTAAGACGTACAACAGACAGAGGCTAAGTAGTGACAGTCTCCAATATAAGGTATCCCTCGTTATCCTAGTGTTCCGTATCCCAAAATTTTATTCCTTGGCTTATCCGAAAGATGATCCGATCACAAATTCATATTACTCTGTGGTGAGCCTTGACTCCCCTCTGATAAGGTGCTATACAAACTGGACAGTACAGTATGTCTTATATAGTTTAGCAATTACCTTACAATAGTTAGGTAGACTTGTTTTGTTGTTCAGAAACCAATTTCATTATTTTTAGTTATAATAGTGGCATTTTGTTGTAACGTAAACCCTATTCTTCCCATTTGTATTGTTATTCGCTCTCTGAAAATTTGGTATCCGAAAGGTTTTCAAGGAACCTCATCCCCTTGGATAACGAGGGGTACCTATACAAATAAATGGTGTATACTCACACTGTATTAATGAGTTTTAAGTATATAATGAACTTGGCTGGAAATATAGAACACTCCTATGTATTATCCTGATGATGTTACACCATAATACAATACATAATAACAAATACATAATACATATAATAATTCAGTCTTCAGTTCACTCAAATTGTTCTCTTCACACAGTTTTTGTCCAACAAATGAGAAAAAACTTTATACTACTATGACAATGGCGGCAAATAAAATGGGTATGGAAGTGTGAAAAGATGAGAAATATGGACAAGAAATTCTAATTGTACCACGGTTTACAATTCAAATTTACAAAACTCTTTGGGACATCAGTTTATCACAGAACTGAGAGAAATTTATGTACAACTATACACTACAGTAGAATTCTGTCTTTATAATTGTTTTCTTGTTAAGTTATTTACACAGATAATATAAGTGGAGCACCATTCTACTGACAATGGACCCTGTACCTGTACTTCTATTACAAAATTAGCCTTCCTACTTGTATCTAGTGCATTAAGACAGTCAAGCAACAGATGTCTATGTGGGGGAGGGGGGGAGGATCTATTCAAACTGTTATGTTGTGAGTAGTATATATAATTTTACAATCACAAATAAGTAGAGGGGATATAAAGAATATACTGTACTGTATATTTCCTAATCATATACTGTACCTCTCTGATCATCTAGCATGAAGAGTTTGGCCTTTTGTGCAAGAACTACTTTGTGATACACCACAACTATGCAAACATATGTTGATGATGACAATTGTTTAGAGAAAGAACAATTTATACTAGAATACAATGTATATAGGATAACAAAACTGTTTACAGACGAACATATTTGAGAAAAAAGCAAGTTGATCAAATACTGTCATCAAGAGACTGAGCTACGTTCTGTACCTGGAATGTAATACACAATACAGTATCAAGTGTTCTCATGAATGAAGAATCTCAGTAGAACATTACTTAAGCCATCCCATATAAAATTACTATTGTCCTCACACTAACAAGGATAAACTAGTATACTGGGTAATGATCATGAGAATGAAGATTTATCAACATTCATATCATGGCTATCCTATGCAACAAAACTTACTGAAAGATTAAAAATAAGAATGTTTAAAATTATATAAAAAAAAAATTAATGGTGTCTTTAAAATTTTTCATATTCCCAATTCTCTCAGGCTTCAAAAATGAACTACCACAGACTGTGAAGACTAGAACACAGAGAGCATGTGATGCATTTACAGATCAATCACATATATAGGGAAGACACAGGAAGGCTTTTTGATAAATGACACAGAGGTGAAAGGTTATTAAAAATGTAGTGGAAATGTTAAGACATGAGTGAGGAAGCTTGCCATGCATGTGAAAATAAAATATAAAAATGTTCCCAAACATATGTGACTCTCTCCTATACTGTACAGTGAGTTACATTTAGGATGGTAACAATTTAAAAAAAGCAAAACTGTACAAAAAGAAGTTTCTTGTTTACATATATTTTTGTCGTCTAAAATTTTATATCCTGCCCTAATACCAATACAGTATTATTATTACTTTTCTTTAATACTGGCTTCTTTTGTCATGAAATACTATCAAAATACTTTACTTCTCTAGTTTCTTTAAATGCAGAATGTCTAGCTAGCGAGGGAACAACCTTCTACAATGGCAGCAGAGTATGAACTAAACGACCCAAGTTGCTTGGATCGGTAGGCCACCCACGCGCCTGGCACGTGGGGATGCGTTGGATCATGATGCAATCTCTTGGGACTCCCAAAAAATTTATCCCAGGCCCAGAATGGGGAGATTTGGAGAGATTTTCTCAGAACTCTCTTGGAATTTTTAGGAAAATGCGCCCGACTTTCATCCTCGAAAGCTCGTTCGCAGACGAGGAATGGAGAATTTTTTTATGGAAATTTTCTGGCCCGATTTCCATTCCAGTTACCGAAGAGTTCTGGGGATCAGGGATTCTGCCTAACGGGGAGACTACCATAATTTTGTGCTGTTCTCCGGCAACACTTCTTACCACCACGTAATAACAAGTATAATGTAAACAGAGAGTAACACCATATCAACTTGTACTGTTTTAGAATAAATTAATGACTGTATATTATTCTAATATGGTCATTTGATGATAATAAGCAAACTGCAGGATGTTTCTACTTGACTCCAGACACCCTGTGCCATACAGGAAAGGCTCACATTTGTGGAAAAAAATCTATCAAAATTAGCTGCTGTGGTTTTAGTCAAATGTCAAATAGAGGATGATTCACAATAACAGGATAAAGAGTACTAGAGCCTAAACTGACCTCTTATACACATGTATAAATATTTATGGTGTTGCCACACAGCACCAATGAGCAGATGAGAAGGGCATGAGATTTCTTACCAACTATGATCCAAGTTTTCCCACTGGGACAAATGAAAATCTTTTTTAAAAAATATTATTCTAGAAAATCTTATCCATTTCTTTTCACCTGGATAAACCAAAACAAATTTAGATATGCCAGTGAAATAATAACCCAAATTTTCACAAAATTAAACCAAAACCTAATTTTATATAAAAAAATTCTATAAAATTCTTTTAACTGCAACAAACTGGATCTTTTACATAATGGTAAAAAATTCTAAGACATATAACTAGATCAAAAAATATTGATTCACTACAACAACAAAAAGTTACCGTACAGTCTCTCTCCCACAGCCACACAACCGTCTCAAGACACACAGGGATTACCACACATGGAAACATATCTGTGTGTTTGCAAGGCCACAGAAGTAGGAAGAATTAGCCAATCACGACCAAGTATCTAATGACAAATTGTTTTATAAATAGTGGTAGAGAATAACCTTAATGAAGCTTTAACCAAATGGTATCATATTAAAACAAAACAACAACACAAATTACAAATAAAAACACATCACAATCACAGCTATGTTCCTCACTAACACACTGATCTGACATCACTGTAGCTCATTATAGAAACATATGAAGCTTATTGACTTGGATATGGTGGGAGGGGGGGTGGGGGTGGGGGGGGAGGGGAAGATCAGCCACCAGCCACAACTGCCATCACACTGAGGCTCAACCATCACAGTGGAGCTATGAACCTGTTAGCATCCAAGGCCTTCAGGTAACTGCAACAAGCATAATAAGAGATGGTAATAATAACATACATCCTGAAAGAGCCTATGATACTGAATACCTCAGGCTATCAATCATATATTACCCGTACACCTCTCTCATTTTTGCCTAAGGTGAATCAAGAGTTAAAGATGTCTCAAAATAAAGGTAGGAAGCAACAAGAAAGTGTTACTACACAAGTAAATACACCTTCATTACCTTACTTGTATTCTCTCACTTATAGGAAGCAAGACAATGTAAACTAACTTACTGGTTTAATTTTTATGTGTGGATTCTATTGCTACTGTCCCTTATAACTATCTACATGTCATGAGATTAACACTAACCTGGGATTATGCTCTTCAACGCGACCTCTGAGAATATTCGGGCCAAGAAACTGCGACAGCTGGGTCAAACACTGACTTGCTGCAGAAGATGTCAGGGCATTTTCACACTCCTGGAGATTAAATACAATATGTATCTATAACTAAGTGTCCGTACTATAGCTAGTGTTAGTATCATCTGCTATCACAACAAATGTACCAACAACATATATGTCATTTGTACCAAAGTTTCATGAAGTTCTTTTAAAAATTGGTAGATGTGTTATTTCTACAATTTAGATTACAAATAGATATCTTTTAAATAATAAAAAAAGACATAATACAGATATAAAGATACAAACAAATTGCTGTATCCCACTGGTCATGTCAGGAATATAAACAGTAAATAAAAATGAAATAAAACTACTCACCAAAGCATAGAAGATAGCATCCAGAAACAGATAGAGATGACCTTTAAAGACTCGCTTGCCTAGTCCCTTGGCAAGATGTGAGAGAGTCTTACACAAAGTCTCCAGAAGAGTGATATGTGCAGCATAATGTTTATGTCGCACAGCTTCAGCTAAGATTGGCAAACAGGTGGTGACTTCGGCTGCTGCATGAGGAACTCCGGCTAATTCATTTATTAAATACACATACCTGTACCAAAGAGAAGGTGAGATAATAAATGACAAAATATATCTAAAAAATATGACAACTTGCTCTCTTTAGGACATCATTTTCTTAGTGTGTTACTTCAATATTCCTCCACATTTCTGTTACTTATAGACTCTTGACAAAAGTATCTGGAACCTACTGAAGAACTCTACAATTTCCTGTATCTCTCACTGAACTGAAGCAACCATTACTTACAAACAGAAACACAAAAAATATTCAAAAGAAAGTAATCCTAACAATAACATAATTAAAATATATTCCTAATACTGTATTCATGTTTTCTTAAGACTTGATGCATCTATTTCATTATATTTAATAAAGAATTAAGTAAGATCAACAAAGATTCAATAATATACAAAAGAGTCAGATGAATAACTCTGGTAAGTACTGACCCATCAGCTCTCTCCCAGAGTTGTGGTGGACGTCGGTATCTACAGTCTGAGCACCCACCTCCACCTCGCCCCATCTTGGGTGCTAATGAACCACAGGAAAACATCTGAAACATATCCAGGCACGTGACTCAACAGCACAACTGAACTTATACAAAGTGATTCTGTATTCATACCACCAGGAACACTCTCTCCACATACACAGATTCATCATGTTTCAGCCTTAGGAGTGAAGCCATAAAATTGACCATCTATAGTAGGAGACAGGTAAGAGTAAGAGGATGAAATGGGGACTGTCACCAATAAAGAAACTCACAAGTCCTCAGACATATATGACATAGGGCAGATGTGGCCACCAGATTTCCCTTATACTGACCAAGTTCCATTGCCCCAAAACTGTATGTATGTAATGTTACTGGTAATTACAACACACCGGTACAAACAGAGAGAATTACTTGGGTTGTGTTCTCCAAGTTAATCAACACCTGCCTGTTTATTTGAGTGAAGATCCATGTCATTGTCCCTCTTGCGCTTGACAACACCATACATAGCCGGGCCACTCTCCAGGTCACCGTACCTCTCAGTCTCCGAGGGTTGATTCTCCACTCCTAAATGTATAACAGTCAGAGTAATACCAAAACATAATAATAATGATAATACCTATGATGATGATGCTTGTAACAATAGCAATAAAACCTGTGATAATAATACTTAAAACATCATTCAAACAGATACAAACCCAGCTCACAAACTATACCATGGCAGGGTACAGTATACTGAAACAGTGAGGCTGTTATTGAAGAAACAACTATATATCATATTATCTCATTATGGCCTCTTACCTTTCAGTCCCTCTTTCATCTTCTCAATAATCATGGGTAAAACGTCCTTTCCATAAGCTCGTACAATGTTAGCAATGGCAATGGCTGCTCCCTGGCGAACTGAAGGAATGTTATCCTGTAAAGAAAATTTGACATTAAGTAGGTGATTTAAGCAGGTGATTTGCCACTTATTTTCCTCAAATGAAATCAGATTAACAAGAAATTTTTTAGTTTCCCCTGTAAGTTACCCTTGATATCAATCAGTCACATAAATATACATTTCATAACAATAACAATTCAATTCTTTATTCATCAAATCTCAGTACAATGTGGATAAACCTGATAAGAGAAATCTACAGAATTGATTGACAACCTTAAGATCCTAATTAAAACCATGACTATCCTAATACAAGATAAACAGACATCGAGAACCTCCTGCATTATGCCAACACCTGAAGCAACATATTTGTAACATATAAATGGGTAATAATTCCAAATATGTAAAGTAATATCATAAGGGCTTGTTTTGTTTTGTGTCAAGCCATTATGTGCCTTTAACTTTAAAAAATTCGGTACAGAAAATTAGTTTACAGCATGAACATAGACGCTCACCTGGAGATTGGTAAAGAAGAGTGGGTAGAGTTCCTCCATGGTGCCTTGGGCTTCTTCAGGGAAACAGAGGATGAAGTTGCCACACGCTACACACGCAGCTGAGAACGAGAAACATCATTAACTACTAATATACTCAATTAAACAAAGCCTAAAAAAAGAACAAACTTAAAGACTGTGAAGAAGCATGACAATAAACCACAAACGTATTTCTTCATCTGACTTTTATCACTCTTGACATATTCTTTCTCTTTCTACCGAACTTAAACCTCATAAAAATTAAGTTCAACTGTGATTTCTTTAAAGTAAACAAACAGAATGATAAACAGAGAACATTTACTCACCATCTCTGACTGGCCAGGAGTCATCATTGAAGCAGACAGTGAGAGAATGTAGTAAGTCAGGTACGTGGACCCTCACAGAATCAGTTGCAATCTTAAGAGCCAACTCTGCTATACATGCACAAGCTGCCTCACGTACAGCATGGTTATCTGCTGCTGTTGCTTCTATGTAATAAGACACCTGACGAATTTAAACATAAATTACCAAACTTTGAACAAATAAAATACCTTAAAAAACTGTTCAAATACATCATTATTCAGATAAATGAGTCAGGGAAGAAGCAACTGCTGAAGGAATGAACAAGCTCTCACATCCATCTTCTTGACTGACAATTTTTTTCCCACTCTTGCAAGCCTTTTCCTCTTATAACCTTACAGTGGCCAGAACCAAGAACAAAAGACATACTATATTCTCCTTTTACTTGCACTATCAATGACTACACTCTTAACCTGCTCCCATTTTCTCCACCAACACTCACAGGGGCATTTGTGTTGATCTACTGTACTAGGTCTTATGTTCATTATCAGGGCTAGCAAAATGTATCACTATTGTACTAAGCACTTTTACATGTATAAATTTCTCACGGGTACCAACTAACTTGTAAAGATCTTAAAGAAAAGACTGGGTAAAAATCTCTCCTTATAGCAAAAGGTTTATCGCATTGGAACTGTAAAGTTAATTAAGTTACCTTCAAAGGCCTCCTCAGCCTCTAGAACCCAAGTCATTTTTGAGAAGTACCTCCTGATAACTACCAATTACCTACTGCATCCAAAAATTTTAAAAGCCCTGCATTATGAAGTTTGTTTATATGCAACAGTTATGTCAAAGTAGCTCTTCAAACACACAAGTCCACAACACATAGTTTGGTAGAGTGTAATAGCACGTAAGACATTCCAATGGCAGAGGATGAAGCTCAATTTGTGAGAAAACTTACAGTACAGACAACACTCACCACTGAATCTATGTATTTCTCCACCAGAGCCTTCCCTTCTGACCCAGCCACTTGTCTCCATGTTTCCTGTGAGTACAGTCTCACTCCCTCAGCAACATAATATCTGAAAATGGTTAAGAAAGTTATGATATCTTTCTCTCCAGTCCTAGGATGTCTCTCCTCCTTGGCAAGTTTTTTTTTATGGCAGAAGTGATACTACAATAATATATTTTTTATTGAGCAATACCTAACCACAATACATTCAAAATTTAAGTTGTCAATACATGAGGAATATTCTTCGGAAGACAGCAAGACCTCCTGACCACATGAATAATACACCAGCACAGAGAACATGAAGGAATAAAACAAACCTCTTTTAAAGTTTTTAATTTTTGGGACACAACTCATCAACAGTGAAGTGAGTCAACCTCAGTCTACATCACATATAAAAAAATACACTTGCTTATTTCATCACAACAAAATCCAACACAGTACAGTACAGCTATTTACAAACTGTAAGGTACTAGAACATGCAATAATGCTCACTGCAAATAGAATAAAAATATTCCCCAAACACTTCCTCATAGCCTTCAATTCTTCATCTATTTCATTCAATAGTATAAAATAATCCCGGTAGAGTCTTCCCCACCTGTAATGATGAAAGAGATTCTAAAATATGCTTCAACTTCTTTGGTTAACAGGAGGAAATTTGAATTACCTGAAGAATCCCCCCCAGCTAAATTTGCCTAAAGATTAACCACCATGACACTATTTGAGGTGAGGTTAGGTTAGGTTAGGTTAGGGTAGGTTAAGTTAGGGTGGTTAATCTTTAGGTGAAATAAGCTATGTGTGGAGATTCTTCAGGTGATCTACAAAACCTTACTACTGAACTCACCTATTGAGACAGAGCCGAGGTAATAATACTGAGAAGAAGCGTTCTCTGGCTGCCGGTGGAAGGGACACGAGGAACTTGCGAGTCGCCACTGACGATGCCAACCGCACCTGAAATTATCATAGAGTGTTGTGTAAGTTACTGAAGAACAACTACTCTCACTTGACATACAATATAATCATCATATAATCCTAATTTAGTTCCAATGATTAAAGTGTCAATTCAATAGACTGAGTGACAAATGGATCTATCTATTCATTAATACTGTATTAAATTATGGGAAGAATAATATGATGGAAGGCTGGGGGTGAAGGATGTACAAGTAGCAAGGTGGATGGATTGAAGTGTCAGAAACAGTTGTGTACACTCGCTCCAACAAGTATCTGTACGATTTTGTGTGAGACACAACGGGTGAAAGATTTTGACAACCCTACCGAGACAACAGGAGTCGTAGCGTTCAATCTGAAATCCATCGGACCCCTCCGTAGGAATACTTTTGGAGTGAATGCACATGAACGATAGAATCATTTATCATTTGAGTAAAAAAAAAAAAAAAAATCACAACAGGAAATATTTAACAGTTACCTGACTCCAGTTATCAGCCAATCCCTGGCCTAGCTGACGTGATAGTTGGTCGCCATATGTAAACATCGGGTTCGACTCCAGTAACTCAGCCCCTTCTATGAGATAAAAGGTTAAAATGTCTTAGATACACCTCTCAATACTAAGCTAATGACAAAATCTTTCAGGTCAATAACATTATGTGAGATTTGTGATGGATAGTGAAATATTAATTAATTCTTGTAAATGACAGAGTGAAGAAGGTAAAGACACTATTAATTATGTGAATGTTTAACTAATGACTTGCAAGATACTACACAACTACCACGACCTTAAAATCTCTTTGTTTATTTAATATTAACTATGATTATAGTTTAAGGTACCGCACTTTGTCACAAAACCGAAAAAAGTAACAAAAAATATTCTAAAGAGGCAATACCTGTACTTGCTCTCAAAAACATGAACTGTGCTACTATGCAAGACGTCTACTGCCAATATCGGTACTGTACACAAGACGTCTACTGCCAATATGCAAGATGTCTACTGCCAATACCTGTACTGTATACAAGACGTCTACTGCCAATATGCAAGATGTCTACTGTCACTCTGCACTAAGTTCTCAATTATAAACACCAATCAACGTATCCTCACCATAAGCCCCACAGGACACGAGAGCACCGCACACGTTGAAGCCCGTCTCCCTCACAAAGCGGTTGGTGTGAGTCAAAGCTTCAAAGATTAAGTCCAACAGATCCTGCACGATAAATACAAAAACAAGATGTCAAGGTTTCACAAATACATACAAATATTTATTATAGAAACAACCACTATATTACAGAAGCACCACTATATTACAAGGTGGTCAGAAACAAGATGAACACCAACTCTCCTTCAGTAGATGCTAGGTGTGATTTCCTGACTGCTTTCCTACATGAATTCTACTATGGTGTCCCCTCAAACCACAAGGCACTATGACAGCCACCTGGTCAATCTCTGTTCACTTCATATACATCACATAACCACCACTACCATGTTCATCCCCAGACTGATGATTGACTGCTATATAATCGTTTTTTAATATCTAGAGAAGTCCTCATTTATAACTTATGGTCTTTAATTATCATAAAAATCCAAAAGACAGAGTGAAAACTATACTATCAAGTCAAGCTTCACTTCCTTTCAGGTTTAAAATACAGGCCCTTGGTAAATGATGTGAATTGTCCTTACTTGGTCAATATAAGCGAGAAACTTCAGTCCAGCTCCGGCAATCATGTGCTCAAGACACTTCATGCTCGTCTCCAAGTTTCTCCAGCCGGCAGTGTCGTGAAATATCTGTGCAGCATCGCCGCTATTTCTCTGGGGAAAGAGGAATATAATAATGATAAAATTCTATGTGACCTTAATCAACAAGTTAAATTCCCCGGAACTAAAACTAATTATAAATATGCTCATGAAAAGTTAAATTCCCTGGGCCTAAAACAAATTATAAATATACTCATGACAAGTTAAATTCCCTGGACCTAAAACTAATTATAAATACGCTCGTGAAAAGTTAAATTCCCTGGACCTAAAACTAATTATAAATACAGTACACTTATGACATAGAGAAATAAGTATTACCCAACATAAGAATTACTATATATTCCTTATAATATTAATATCTACACTCATTTCTCTAGTCTCCTCCAAAGGCCAACCAAATCTCACTCTTTCTCGGGTTCCAGCAGACAGCTTCTCCATTAACTGTCTAGTGCTCTCGTGCTCATTTCTTGAAGCTTCATCATCGGTCATCTCCCGGTCCAAATTACTTCGCACCAACTCCAGAACATGTGATCGACAAGAGACAAATGTGGCACCTCCATCTTTCTGACAGAGAGAGCCTAATACTTCTCCTGTAACAAAAAGATATAGTGTATTAATGAAACGTAAACACCAACTGTGGGAGTCAATTATATAAAAAAAATTTACTTAAGGTATATTAGTTAAAATTGTTAGTAAAAATGGAGGACTCATCTTGAAATGGAGGAAGATCTCTCAGCTATCCTCCAAAATACAAGCCAGTGTTGATTTGTTAACACCCAATACCAATTACTCTCCCTATCCTCCTCCAACACATATTGTCAGCCTTAAACGAGGTGGGACAATGTGCAACAGCCGTCCATTAACCCTTAGGCCCCGGGTGACGTTCCAGAATGACCGCCTATTTTCCCGAAATTATTTTTATTATTATTATTTTTGGAAAAGTTGATTTGTGTGTGTGTGTGTGTGTGTGTGTGTGTGTGTGTGTGTGTTACTGCCAGCAGCACCCTAACCCGGGGCTTAAGGGTGAAAGGCCAGATCTTCTTTTGGGTTGTTTCTGTCCCAAGCTATTGTCTACCATCTTGATTTCAAGATCAATCTGCCATTTGGAAATTCAGTTTCAGTTGACTTATTCATGAAACCCAAGGATACTCACTCTTAAGTGTTTGGAAAAGTGGATCTATCCCCAAGCACTTTCAACATACTTTAAGTGGCAAGGCTTCCATCAATTACAACTTAAAAGAAACCATAAATATGACAAAACAGACCAGACCAACAACTGTGTGAAGCGACAAAAGAACTAGCTGATTAACAAACAGTATAAAGTACATCTGCAATGAAGCCATTAGTTTAGACATACCTGGTACTTCAAACTCCTATGATAAAATTGAATTAAATCATATCAACATAATAATAAGTGAAACACAGCAAACATACAAAAACAGGTACAGTACATAACATCAAATAAGGTTAAAATTGCTCATCTATTTGTTTGGAGCCACCGATCATATTACTTTATAATGTAACAATATGATAGTGTGAAATGCACTCACTAACCATCCCAACCTGACCTTGGTTAGCTGACAGTGTGGTGGAGATAGGACTGACGAATTAACCCTGGCCTGCAATATAAGGGATAGAAGGGAAACTCCAATCTCCCTGTATGTAGTCTGTATTATGAAAGCTGTCTGATTTAAGGCATATAGAAATATCTAGTACAGTACAGTTGGTAATATTTGAGAGCCAGTCCATGAGACGTACATACAGTACATCTCGGGGTAAGCATGGTAAGAGAGGACATTCCCATACATGATGCTGCACAAAGCCAGTCATTCAATCAACTTCCCAGATTAAACTAAAAAGTCTTTAACTAAACTGTGAGAAACAAAAGAAAGAATGTTAGTACTGTAACTTGTTCTATAAATTTCACTCACCTGCAGCCTGTCTGACTCTCACTTCCTGGTCAGTGAGGACTTTAAGTGCTGCCTGTTGTACTTCCAACTGATCTTCATTCTCCAACTCCACCTCAGACATCAACACCAGCACCCGTAGTCCTAACAGAGAACCATGTTTGCTCTCCCATGGACTGCAAAGTATAAAGATACATGAGACAGACCTACTAGTGATATACAAAATCTGAAGTACATTAATTGCCTCACAGATATGAAATATTACTACTATAGTATTGTTTATTAGTCGTATCATATCAATCATTAAATCAATCCTATTAAATACACTAAAAATATGAAAAACTAAACTTAGTGATACAATTTTATCACTGAAGGGAAGATAAGGACAACCTACAAGGTCCCATCTCCTAGAACACCTTGGTATTGTTCACCACAGCAGGGGACCTACACTCTCTCATGGCAGGTTACTCTGACAGTCATTACTGCACACCAGCTCATCACACCCGAGCAAAATCAAATGTCAAAATTCCTATCCAATGGTTGCTTCAAAATGCAGCAAGGTTTAAAGTTTATTGCATGAACCTTACTACAGTACTGTACAGTGGTTAGTTCTGAACCAACAAGAAACAACATGGTGAAATTATCGCATAAACTGATCTGGTGAGCTGTGAACACCCGAGCATAAACTACCCAGTATGGTTAATCCCAGTGAATGTGAAGCCTTGCTGGCTCTTACAGCAGGCACTGGGTGAAGAATATGGATTAATTCAACCTTGATTCAATGAGCAAGTAGCTATAAAATATTCAGCACTGCCATTAACACAATATAACACACACACACACACACACACATACATAAAACAATCAGAATCATTAATGGCTGATACACACTTCAGTATCAGTATACAGAGTTCTCTCTAAGAATGTTACAAGTTTGAATCAACTGTACACATAATAACAACTAATACCCAGATTATTTTATTACCTTGCAGAATCTGAAACAATACTCAACAGAGCCTTCTGTAAACTCTGAATAAGTTCCGGTGAAAAGTTTTTAATCTTAACATTTAGATCAGCAACTGCCCGGTCACGTTCCAGCTTCTGAGCTGCACAGAGACCACCGATGATTCTCTCTACCTCTTGACCAAACATGGTAACCCTGAAGAACAGGTCAAGTGTTAATTCAAATTTAAACAAGGATTAGAACTTATATAATTACAGAGGCACAATTGACCTGTTTGTTTTGTAACACTTGTACTGTAATTATAAACTTGTACAACTTTCAGGTTGAGATAGATTGGGGCCTATTAGAACTGAGTTAGATTTAGTAAGCAAAGGTCAACAGTCCTGTACATTACATTATATATCACTAATGCAGTAAAATAAATAGAACACAAAGCCCTACAAGAGTTTACGCACAACATAACCACATAATGTATAACCTATCTTCTGGTAGAACCTACACACATAATATTTCTTATAGTACAGTATATAATATTACAAATCAGGGTTAATATGAAGACACAGGAATGCAGCACAGAAGAAATATTATACCTCATCAAGTTCTACCATTTAATCCTTTAGTGGCAGCAATCATTAAAGGAAGTTAACTGTAATGACGACATGTTGGAGCAGCGTACGAAATCCTTAGCTGCTGGTTAAGGATTAAAACTCTTAAAAGCTTCAGATGTTCCAAATTAAATGAAAGTCTTTCGACAGACCAAGTAGATGGTTAATCCGGACCCTTGTAGTTAACTAAGCCATTTCTATTTCAGCAATTTTACATATTTTACAGAATAGTACAGTATATGATCCAGACTCTTTTGCTTAGATTTTCAGTGTTAATGTTTAAACTGTGTAAAGTCATTAAATAAACGACCAGACAGGTAAAAAAGCTAAAAAATAATAGTGCACATGAAATATAGATCATATAACACATATGTAATTATATTGAAGGGACTAAATCAACTAAGAACCTGAATTGGGTAAGTTTAACCATTTAATCACTTCGTCTATATTCAAAACAGCTGCCGGGAAATCTACTCATATTAAACTGAACTAAATAAAACATCAACAGATTAGTTCCGAGTTATACCTTCCCATGTGTTATTTTTCTCAGGTGACTGGAGTCGGCACTACTATAGCGTGCAGTCTACAAGATATTTAGGTAAGGTTAGGCTGAGTCAGGTTAGGTTAGGTTAGGTCAGAGTAGGTTAGGTTAGGTTACTTTACGTTAGACCAAAGTTATTTTTGTAGACCGCACACTATAGTAGCACCCTGGAGTCATTCTTCATTAAACTCAAGCCTATGATAGGTTGAGTAATGTTGTACTGTACTTTATGAAACCAACTAATGGGAACGAACAACTTTAAGAAAAAATTGTGGAAAAAAAAAAATTTCTTAGTGCTTCAATTCAGGTATTAATAAAACAGTGAAGGAATTACGATTTTACGATTATTTGGTGTGTGTTCGTCCTAAACAGAAATGTAGGTCAACACGAGGATTTACTACAGTAATTTTGATCTTAGTTCGGCAATTTTCCCTTAGTGGCACATCATACCTCAATAGCGTAGCAGACACTTCTCCCTCTGCGAATGAGAGATTATTTATTGTAGATAAGATAAATCCAACCTAACCTAACCTAACCTATCCTAAGATGGAAGTGCATTTTTCTAGGTTAGGTTAGGTTAGCTTAGGTTAGGTTAGGTTAGGTTAGGTTAGCTTAGGTTAGGTTAGGGTAGGTAGGTTGGTTAGGGTGTCATTTTATTTTACCTTATTAGGATGTGATCGTTTGGGAAGTGCATTATGACACTCATTTGTCAAAATAAGCGTGAACATGGCCTTTGCACGTGCAGGAATTGTATTTATTCTTAACAATCTAACCAGAAGAGTTAAAGTAGGGAATTTGCAGTTCCTTGGTAAAATTATCATTTCGATCATGCACCTATTTGGAAGTAAGTCAGAATCATTCAAAACACACACACACAAAAAGAAATAGGAAAAACAATTTCACCCTAACCTAACTTAAACCTTTCTCGGACAGTTGTAATTTAAAATTCGCTGCATGACCTAACCTAACCATTTTACTGATATTCATGAGGTAAGAAAGAAGTTTTCTACTAAAAAGAAAATCCTTAAGTTTCTCCTCTGTATAAGGTGGTTTTATAAAGTATTACCACATGCCATTTAGATACTAACCAAAAAATGTTAGTTCTGTTGTTGAGTTTGGTTCACGACATCTTTTACATGACACAATGATGTCTTCTCACACAACTACCCATTTTTCTCTACAATACTTGGATCTGTACTTTACATGAGTATTTAACATGATTATAAGTTAATTTTGTTTCTGAGGGGCATCACTTGACTTCCCACAACACTAATGCCGAGTAATTGTGAAAAAGCCAAACGGAATAAACATTATTAAGACCATACACTATAAAGGCCATTATTACCAAACCCTGGTTCTAATTAAATTACCAAGACTACTTATAATAAAACAATAACTACAGAATATATTGTTTTTCATATCACTACGTTCCAACTAAGAGGATACAATTATACTACCTTTAACAGCATAAATATGACGTGAATCACCTTAAAATTCAATTATGGGTTAATATCAACTTGTATCTCTAAATCTTCACTTTACATCTTACTAAAAAATAACTTAAGTTTATTATTGTCTTACCTGGTGAAGATGTAAACACAGCTCAGAGTGAAGCTGGGACAGATGTGTAACTCTTCACTAACTTACTGTACGGTTTATAACGCTTAAGCTCTATAGTGTTCAGATTTACAACTAAGCTGTCTATGCTGTCGTCGTCTGTTGATGGTCGATGAGCCAAACCAAACCTAATGACAATTCCCTTTTCTATATTCTGTTGTCCTTAAGGCACATTTATTGGTGGTACAATTTATTCTCAACCTAAGAAAACTATAAATAAGGCCCATGATAAAGTAATACAGAACGGGTTCCAACCGTCCTAACAGCTAATAAGCTGTCAAGTTCTTCCCCCATTTGAAAGTGGATAACGACAAGGATGCATGATGGACTGCTGGCACCAACTCTCTTTCCCATGCTATGACAGCGAGGCATTTATTACATACAGGAGACACCTCAAGGCATTTAGAGCTTTCACCAGCGTATTTTTTGATCCATCCTCCGAGTCCACCGGAAAGACAAGTTAACAAATGCCAGTGATCTCGCTGACACCAACTGTAGGAGCTGCAGCGAGGCTGACATTATCCATGAACAACTACATTGGAATGGCCATGTTACTCGCACGGACGACAGTAGACTGACAAAGCAATTACTCTACAATCACTAAAAGAATGGTAAACGTAACGCTGGCGGGCAACGGAAAAGGTATAGGGATAGTCTTATGACAAGCCAGAAGTGCTCAACCGACCTCTTCACTTGAGGAGCACCACATGAGTGGTTTGACTGCACACCGAAGCAGATAAACGCCAGCTCCGGAACAACGTGCCGTCGCCCCTCCACAGGTGCAGCATCTACAGGTGACCCTATCTCTCCAGTCTCCACTCACCTTAGCACTAATAACTCATATCATTGTGTCATCGCTGGATGAATCCTGGATGATTGTCATACTCGATTCCGAGTGACAGCAAAGTACAGTAGTAGTAGAAGTGACGCGCGCGCGTGTGTGTGTATATGATCTGACTGACCTAATCCTTGTGAACTTGACCCTACTAGCTAAACTAATGCCAAGATGTTATTTGCCTCAACGCTGTAGTTCCTCCCAGTGGCGGCCTTGGAGGAGGGCTAAGCTAAGCTAAGCTAAATTATGTTCAACAGTAGCAGGCTATATTCAACTACACTTTGTTTTTATAATTTTGATATCTATGTAAGATTTCAATTACTTTTATATTTCGTCTTTAAATTATACACAATTAACAAGAAATACCTACTGATAATACAAATTGTCTTTAAAAGTAAACTATAGTTGGCAATAATATATCAGTAAATGTAGTCAATCTTATTGACTAAATTGTGTATTAAGCCTTCCGGGGGCGGGGGTTCCTCAGGTGAAGAATATCGCCTGGCGTTAGCCTAACTAGAATACTGTACCTAAGTGAGCCGCTGCCCTTTAAAGGGTTAATCAAGATATGTTAGAAATGACATTTGATGTTCACAATAATAGTAATGTCAGATCAGACTAATAAATGTACTCTAATTTATAGACTGAGAATATATTAGATATATAAATAATTATCTTTGTTTTGGAGTATTCTGTGCTCAAGAAAATAAGTTTTGTTGTTATCATTATAGAAAAATCTTGTATATATGCATGTCGTAATGAAAACTGGCTCTGTGGCCTAATGGATAAGGCGTTGGCCTCCGGAGCCAAAGATTGAGGGTTCGAGTCCCTCCAGAGTCGAACAGAGATTTTAAAATGAACTGATGAACACACTGGTAGGACGTGTATGGTCGGTGAAGCTACCGGTATGTAGATGAGGTAACACTAAACTGATGTCTATGTTTTGTTAAGTAATAAGTTACTATTTGTGTGTATTATATTGTTTATTGAGCGTCAATGATTAATATCGCTGATTCTTATAGTGATTTTTTTTGGTCCAGAAGTGGATTTGGGTTAATATGACATTAATCAATACTATTTTGAATGGGTCGGCAGGCCTTGACAAATTTAGCTGTATGGATTTCTGTGTTCAAGGTCATTGTTGTTTAAGTATTTCAAGCGTTACTGATTCTAGCATTACATCTGAGGATCACTTCATATACTATATCTCAAAGCTCCTTAATGTTCACTCGCTGATGACTTGTTCAATCAACCTTAGAAAAAATACCACCTCAACCTTTACGAACTGCAGAGGTAAATATGTGTAATAACTCTTTATTTCTAGCATTCAAATACATGAAAGGTGTTGAATACATAAGCTGGATGAAAACAATATAGGTGTTACAAGAGCAGCGAGAGAACTATTAACCATACATTACCTGAGTCACGACCAACGCAACCTGCTTCGCTTATATTGACGTTGCCAGTTAGTGATTCCGTGAGGCCAAGACCGCGAGGAATGCCGGAGACCTCATTGATTTTACAGTAAGCACCTGTTGACACCAACGACAAGCATTAACATAAATATACGTTATATTGATTCAGTATCAGCAATGGCAATATTAAAATGTTATCCATAGCAATATATTGCTCTATTATACAGTTCGAATTGTTTAATGACATCTACTGTATTCATGTAATATTATACTGTACTCGATCGTGCTTCATAACAGTAATAGGGCAGATATTAGAGTTACTGGTAATGTGACACATCGTGACAGATGGCATGATGCTTTTGCATGGAGGATAAGATTGTGGGGTACGGGTTATTTGGTTCACACTCAGGATGGGATGGAGAAAGGAAACTCACAATGTGCTCTCTGTATACATGTTGTATTGGATGTACAATGCAGCTTGGTGCTGGGAAGGCAGAATGGTTACAAGTTTGATATAGAGACAGCTGGTTGGTGAGGGTGCTCAGAGGCGGACCAGCTTGTGGGTCGCCATGCTCGCCGGCGGGAGCGAGGGCCGCCAGGCAGGAGGAGGAGGTGTTGCTGGCTGGTTGGTGTAGGTAGAAAAGAGAGAGGTCACCACGAGGTCAGGTCTTATATAGTGAAGGTAGGCGTGGCTTAATGGTTGACCTCCGTCATGTATGGCGGCGCTGGTTGACCTAGACCACGAGGCATACACTGGGGAATTCACGGAGTCGGCTACTCAGCGACAAACAGCGTTTGTAGGGGAGGAATCATCTACAATACTCCCCCTTCCCTCCAGGCGGTGTAGGAGACTTGTTGTCAGCAGGGCTGCATGGCACATGTAAGACATAACGGCGAGGGCGTGGATGAGCCGGCCGCTTGGGGAGACAACTGTCTAGACACACGAGATCTGTGGGAGAAGAGAGGGAGAAAAAGGGTATGTGGGGGCGATGAATGTTGTGCTTCTGTCGCTGCAGGGGCAGCGTCCTCATGGTCACTGGCTGGGATGGCTGGTGTCAGGGGCGACGTCAGGAAGAGGGTCTATGATAGGAGCAGGTTCTACAACAGCAGCAGGGACCACGACAGCAGCAGGGTGCAGGACAGTAGCAGGGAGTGCCTGAGGGAAAAAAAACGGTGTGTGGGGGCGATGAATGCTGTGCTTCCCTCTCGGCAGGTACAGAGTCCTCAGATGCGCCTGCTGAGGTCGGTAGGACGTGGTGCTTGGGGCAGGAAGAGGACTGGTGTCTGCTTAGAGAAGCAGTGCTTAGGGTGTCTAACCTGCGGTGTAGAGACAGTAGCTGTAGAGCCGATGAGAGCTGCCTCTGTGTGGATAAGCCAGTCTTCCATGTTGCTTGAAGACTGGGAGTGATCAGTTTCTCCTCCATCCTGTGTGAGTGCGATTCTCCGGGGGCCACCATTTGTGGGGTACGGGTTATTTGGTTCACACTCAGGATGGGATGGAGAAAGGAAATTCACAATGTGCTCTCTGTATACTGTACTGCGCACATCATTGTCATTCCTAAAAACCTCATTTAATTCATATTACGCTACATAACATTCAAATCCACCGCACTTGTAGAATCTCAGAAAACGGGAAACATTGATAAAGGATAACTCACCTACTCAATGTTACTAGACCATGTGTTGTATTTTACCAAGGTACAGTTATATAATGTTAATTGTATATATTCATAGCATTAAGGAGAATTCAGGGTATCCATAAGATGATGAAAGTCCAGTTGAGCCGGACTAGTGTACTGTAGGACTAAGTGTGCATGGCTTGAAAGGTCATACTATTTACGTCTGTGAAAGTGTAGCGAACATAACTTCCACAGATATCATATGAAAATGCATGAGAACAATGATCTGAAAAAGGATAAATGTATCAGGGCTATGAGGTGTTGGAGTGACCCAGAAACTATACTTGAAAAAATATCTTGTATGCTTCGGTGTGAACTTAATACACCTCGTATCCTCACGTGACATATACCCACGACATGTACAGTGATCAGAGAATCCTATGTCTGTGTTCAAATAGTGCAATGTGTGAGGGGAGGATCCCTACTTACAGTTTTAAGTGAAGTGGATATACCCCTGCCATGAACATTCGGCCTTTGTTTTGGGGAGCGTCCTGTACCCGCCTCGAGAGTGTTACGTTGATATTATAACCCAATGAATTTACCCACGAGCTAGCAAACCAAGACCTTACCTTAGTGTGTAATTTAAATTAAAATATGTGTTTATAAGGCATGGGTGACAATATACCGAAAAGTGTTCAGGTGAGAACCATTTAAGGATATTACCTTTGATGCCATGTGCTTCTACCTTTCTAATTAGTCTTTCGTGGGGGACTCTGTCGAAGGCTTTGCTAAAGTCGAGATATACCACATCATAATTGTGCCCCTCGTCCACCGATTCGAAAACTGACGAAAAGAATGTTAATAGATTAGTTAGACAAGAACGTCCGCTTGTGAAGCCATGCTGGGAATCATTGATCAATCGGTGCTTCTCCAGGTAATTTCGAATAGAGTTTGAAATGATTGCTTCCAGTAATTTGCCTACTATTGATGGCTATCAAGCCACGCCTACCTCCGCTATATAAGCTCAACCTCGCCGTGAATTTGCTTCTTCTACCTGAGCCCCATCTGGTCCCCGAGATATGCTAGGGACTGTCAGTTGGTTGAAAATGTTCAAAGGAGGGCCACCAGACTGGTGCCTGCACTTCGGCATCTCAGCTACCCTGAGAGATTGGAGCGCCTGAACTTGCCTAGCTTATACTACAGACGGGCAAGGGGGGACCTAGTTGAGGTGTATAAGCATCTCAGGGGGCACTACTCAGTTGAGTGTCCTTACTTGGAGCTGGCGGACGCTCGCTCCGCAAGCAATGTGTGGTGATTAATGGCACGAAATCGTCATCTGTACCTGTAACAAGTGGGGTACCGCAGGGTAGTGTATTGGGCCCGCTGTTGTTTGTTTGTTTCATAAATGATATGCCTGACGTTGTACACTCCTCCATACAAATGTTTGCCGATGACGCCAAGTTATTTCGGGAAATTAAGAACCAAGCGGACTGTGAAGAGCTGCAGAAGGACCTCTGTGGGCTCCAGGAATGGTCGAAGGAATGGCTGCTGAGATTCAATGTCACGAAGTGTAAGAGGATGCACCTGGGGTGTACCAACGGTAAGGAGGCGTACCATATGTCCCAACGGGATGAAGAAAATGTACTAGTTGAGACTGTGTGTGAGAAGGACCTAGGTGTGTATGTTGACAATGAGCTGAAGTTCTCGGGCCATTGTGAGAAGAAGGTAAATCAGGCAAATAAATTATTGGGTCTTATAAGAAGGTCGTTCAGATATCTAGACGGTCCGTCCCTCGTGACGATCTTCAGGAGTGAAGTGCTTCCCCATCTGGAGTACTGTCACCCCATCTGGTCCCCGAGATATGCTAGGGACTGTCAGTTGGTTGAAAATGTTCAAAGGAGGGCCACCAAACTGGTGCCTGCACTTCGGCATCTCAGCTACCCTGAGAGATTGGAGCGCCTGAACTTGCCTAGCTTATACTACAGACGGGCAAGGGGGGACCTAGTTGAGGTTTATAAGCATCTCAGGGGGCACTACTCAGTTGAGTGTCCTTACTTGGAGCTGGCGGACGCTCGCCCCACAAGGGGTCACAGCTCAAGATTGAAGAAGCCGCAAGTCCAGAAAACCGTGAGGGCAAACTTTTTCGGAGTGAGGGTTGTAAACTCTTGGAACAATCTACCAGAGAGTGTTGTGACGGCACCGAGTGTGAGCTCTTTCAAGAGAAGACTTGACCAACACTGGAGCGGGTTCAGGTACATTCAGGAGCCGGTGCATGCCCAGTATTTGCCAACAGTGCGTGACAGAGACGTGACCGATCGCCCGGGCGGCTAGCGAGCCGATCTTTTGGTGAAGAATATAAATGAAAAGAGACGTGACCGATCGCTCAAGCGGCTAACAAGCCGATCAGTGGCGAAGAGGATAAAAAAAAAAGTAAAAAAAAACACGCAACACCTCTCTCTACTCCACGCTCCCGAACCAGCAAGACCTCCCAACAAGCTTCTCACCAACCAGCTCCCTCAGCAAGCTCCTCACCCAACAGGACCTCTGAGCAAGCTTCTCACCACACGGCAAATTCCCTAGCACCGCACTGTACCTACAATATATTTATATACAGAAAACCACCATAAAGAGTTTCCTTTCTCCAACCCATCCTGAGTGTGAGTCCACATCACGAATCTCCACAGTACTACCTAAGTGCATCCACTTGCATTTCATGACGTCGAAGTTTAACAACCATTCCTTTGACTAGTCCTGAAGCTAACAGAAACCTTTTTGTAGTTCTTAACCGTTCACTTGGTTCTTAATTTCCTTAAATAACTTGGCATCATCACCCTTCTTTAATGAAAGCTTAGTTTATTTTATTGAATTCTAATACAGTACCGACTAAAATAATTTTACAGTAATATAGCTCTGAATATATATTCATCCTGGATTTTTCTCAATATATTCATATTCTTGGAAAGCTAACGAACACAACCAATCTGCCAAACGAAGAGTAACTTAATTTACATATAGATATACTGTATCTGTTTGTGTGAATAAATATGCATATTTACTGAGTTTTCCTCTTACGGAGTTTCAATCAAGACCTTTTCATATTTTGGGTTAGATTTATCTTAAATCATGTATAAAATGATTTACTTCTACTTGATTGCACTGTATATAACAATAGCTATTCATGTCTGCTGAGAGAATGTTATCCTTTGTGATATAAAAAAGAAGAATGTAAGCTATTTTTGTTCTCCACCCTTGTTTTTGACACAGTGTGAGTCCTTTACAGTGGCCTACCTTATAGTGAGGTGGGTCCGTCCATGATCTCTATGGGTTCGTCCACTTCTTGTCAAAGAGTCTCAGTGGTGCTCAGCCTTTATAGCAGTACTAGGCCATACGACTGAATAAATGGTGTCAGGTGAAACAAATAACTGTATTTCAGTGAGATGTGTTTATTCTTGCAATGCCCTGATACATTACTACCGAATATGTTAGAACACTATATAATTAGGATCCAACTAAAAAGATATAATATTACGAAAAATAAATGTTTAGAGTTAAACATATATAAACAGAACTGGTATCTCGAAGGGATGATGTCACGCATTTTGGAGCCTTGATTTATAGAGGAGGGTCGCATAAACGGGTGTGGTACTGCAGGTGTGTGGACGAGGGTGGTGCTATGCTGCAGATGTGTGGACGAGGGTGGTGCTATGCTGCAGGTGTGAGGACGAGGGTGGTGCTATGCTGCAGGTGTGTTGTAAATGAGTGGTGCTGCAGGTATGTGACGAAAGTGGTACTATGCTGCAGGTGTGTGGACGAGGGTGGTGCTATGCTGTAGGTGTGTGGAAGGAGGCAAGGTGCGGCCTCATTTGGGGTAGGGTCCATCTACCTCAGGTGTGTTAATGAGGGTGACGTGGCAGGTGTGTGGGGTGAGGCAGGGTGCGGCCTCCAGCTCCAGCAGTAATAGGGTGTTTGTGCCCCGCCTCAACACCCCCTGGGGCACGTAGAGAGTGACCTGGGGACCCACCTCAGGCCAGTACCTACCTAGGCAAAAGTCATTCACCCACGCCATACCCTGGGGGAAGAGATCACACCGTGAGAGATAAAATGGGGAGGAGAGGACCCTAAACCATATGGGAGGGGAGATAAGAATGGAGGAGACGAGTCATACCATGGGAGGAGTCACAAGAATGGGGGAGACGAGTCACACCATGGGAGGAGTCACAGGAAATAGTGGCTACCAATCACACCATAATGGGAAGAGGAGGGTGTAAAGTTACATACAGATATAGAAGGAAGACAATAGAATGTTATCATACTTACACCCAACAACATCAAGACTCACTAACACACTGTATGTTGTTCAGTTGCTGTGATTATACCTCATAGCAGAAGTCTTTTTTCATACAGTCATGATGGGAGGTGGTGGTCTGGGTACAACAACGTCAGCAAGCTTTTGAATAGTAGTTGTTAATGACGTAAGTGTGGTGTGTGATAGAGGGTATGGTATAAAACTCATCTAAGACTGTAAGGTTAAAATTAGGTTGGTTAAATATGGTCGGCTCGTGTCTGCTCTCACAGGCTATACATACTAGGTTCTCCTGGGAAAAAAATTGAGAGCCATATCCCATGTCAGAAGCAATAATGTCTTTAGTAATAGAGAAAAACATGTAAGGCTCCACGCACGGAAGCTGACCTTGGACCAGCCATCTAGGCGGAGGAAGGTATCAAGAGGGTGTTGGTCATCATGAGGGACGCTGAAGTTGCCATGGTAGAAGGTCATCCCCCCGCGACGTGTCCCCAAGAGAGGGCGGGGCGCCAGAGTTTGGTGTAGGCGATGGAGGGCATGGTGGAGGCGGGTGAAGTTAGTAAGGGGTAGTGGAGTCATCGTCCACCCCTCCAGCTTGTGGTAATTGATGCTGACGTTCCTGGTGAGACCCTGCAACACACCCCAGTCCACTAAGTCTACACCAGATTACGTCTGGATTCTCAGAGATTCTTTCCTTATTTTTTTTCCAGTATATCAAAATAAAGATGGAGGTCAGATATAACATCGACATAGAAATAAGTACAGTATTTAATTCTATGGCCGTCAATTTTGCAGGGAGTCTTCAGTACCCGGACACAGTCACACATCTCTAGTTCCCAGAATATCAAACATATGAATCTATGATAATTTATCCTAACTCTCAATGATTCATAACTATATGTGAACCTTAGACTTTCTCCTGAATTCACTGGACCAAGTCGCTGACATCAGGACCTCACCTTAAAGTCGTTGAGTCGAGGACCTACAGACACGCCCCTGACTCTCCACAATGATGGTGAGGCTCTGGCCTGGTAGAGCTGACACTGCCAGGTCATACAGTCCTCCTCCTCGACACCATCCCTACGTACCGCTCCTCAACAAACACGTACCCACGGTCGTTCCGTCTTGGACACTCAGGCGCGCAGGGTCAGGCTAAAGCAAAGGTCAAAGAGTTGAATATTTCTACTATTACCACATACTACTACTAATAAGTTGTAGTAGCTTGCTAAAATTATGTAGAACCAGAACAGAGAACCGTGACTATTGTATCTTCAAAGGTCAACCAAAACAAATATTAAAAGGTTTGGAACAGAGGTGTACATCATGCTATCTTAAGATATACTGTAACTGTCTAATTATTGTTTTTATGATGATTTAAAATGTTAACCAGAGTTTAAGAGTCTCAGAGATCCTTAGGGTAAAAATGTTCCTCTCCTTGCATGTGTTGACTTTGTCTTCACCACAAAAGATTACAGACAAAATAACATTGGAAATACATTGCCAAACGGCCTCATGAATGCCAATATTTTTAACCCTGACAAAACAAACGACCAATACTCACGATCTTAACCCAGAAATGATCTCTACATACAAGGGAATTAACTCTGACAAAGGGAATGGTTAGTATAACTCACTTTCTTAGCTTAAAAATGGCCAATACTCACAATGTTAACTAAAAAATGTTCAATATTCACATTCTTAGCCTAAAAGAATGATATATTACTTACCTAATATATAGTATGAATAGACTTGACGAAATGAACAGAAAATACCCACAACCTGAAGAACGGCTAAACCTGAAAGGAACGGCCAATACTCACAAACCTGATGAAGAGAACGGCCAATACTCACAAACCTGACGAAGAGAACGGCCAATACTCACAAACCTGATGAAGCGAACGGCCAATACTCACAAACCTGATGAAGGACGGAATCCACTGATGAGTGCACCTGATGAGAGAGGCATCGCCAATACTCACAAACCTGATGAAGAGAACGGCCAATACTCACAAACCTGATGAGAGAACGGCCAATACTCACAAACCTGATGAAGAACGGCCAATACTCACAAACCTGATGAGCAGACGGCCAATACTCCAACCTGATGGATGCATACTCACTGATGAAGTGAACGGCCAATACTCACTGATGAAATGAAGCGACAATACTACAAACCCGATGAAGTGAACGGCCAATACTCACGATCCTGAAAGGGAGAATGGTCTTATATAGACGAGGCCGCTGGGAACGTGAAGGACCTCGAACGTAAGAGGCCAAGGACGCGTGACACCATTCAGGAGTGATGCCACTTGTAGGACGCTCCCTAAGGACTCAGGGAACAGAACCGTAGGATGCCTTAGGGGAGGCCTTCGGAAGAGGTCCTGATGGTAGCTCTAGATACTGTATGGGTTACAGGAATACAGGGGTAGATATTAATAGTTACAGGGATACAGAGAGAGAGAGAGAGAGCAGTTACAAGAAGACAGAGTGAAGAGTTACAGAAATATAGATAGACTGTGTACAGTTACAGGGATACAGTGAGAGAGAGAATGAAGAGTTACAGGGATACAGGAAGAAGTATGAACCCTTAGTCACTGTACCTTGCCAACAACGTCCCTCAATGAGTGGTACTTGGCTGTGGGGTCTAGCCCTCTGACACGGGGGCATCATAGTCATAAGAGGTAGGACATGCTTGGAATTTTGACCCCACGTTTGAGCCTGTGCGTTGAGGTGAGTTAATTATGTTCGTAAATGTTCAAAATGTGAGGTAAACCTTGAATGACAGACTAGACGATAGATGGATGGGAAATGAACTCGCCTGATGCAAAGCCAAAGGAAGTGCCGCCGTGAAACATATACATGTTGACAGACGCGTTGAGAGCCAAGATGGAGTCCAAACCTCTTGCCAACACCTGAAACAAATGAACAGAGCAATGCAAAAGTCTATCATCACACTGAGAGGACCATGAAGGACATAACATTAGAATCAAACTGGAACTTTACCTTAATTAAATACATCCTTATACCACCAGTTTAGGGACAAAATTAGCATAAAGATTCTTCGTGAATCTGAATCCTGTAGTGCATATCCCCAGTTCTTTCCCTTCATATCTCCCCGAGTTATTCCCCCTTCTCTTGGTGACTTCCCTCCCCATCCACCAACCTCACCTGAGAGTCAGTAGTGTGGTGAGGCTCTCCCCAGTGGTCGAGCCATCCAGGGTAGAACTCAGAGTTGACCAAAGGACCCCGGGGTTCAAAGAGCCTCTGGTCTCTAAACATTGTCTCGGGATCCGCTTCTGTGGGAAATACGAGCATATTAGCACTATTTGTTACTGTGTGTGTATAGATGCAGGTTTGGTTAGGTTAGATGAATAGTGCCTGAATGTATATGGCTGTGGTCTGACAAAAGCCATTTCACTACTCACACCCGAGGACTTACTCAGATCAAAGTCGACGGTAGCATAGACTTCAGGTATCCTGCCACACTTGAGGTTGTTGACGCCAGCGGAGTCAACAGTGAAGAGCACCACGTCAGGACCCAGGTGGTGACGGAGGAGCTCACGAAGATGCGCTGTATACCTGAAGTCACACGGGCCGCTGGACCCGTACTCGTTTTCCACCTGTAAATACGATCCATCAGTTACATTCCTCTAGTGGTAAAGTCCATCTACAACAAAAGCTATCTGTTACACATTGTTCTATTTTAGATAATATCCAAGACCCTACTAGCCTCTGGACAACCGTGACTTAATCATATTAGTCTCTGAAGTATTAAAAATCTAAAATAAAAAACTATTAAGTTGAAAAATCTAGATTGATGTCCTCCCTCGTTCCTCACCTGCACCATGATGACCGGGCCGCCATTCTCATACAGCAGAGGCTTGATTTTGGGCAGTAAGATCTCACCGAACCAGGCGTCGACGTGTCTCAGGAAAGCTGTCAGTATAACCAAAATCTACACTCACGGACGGTTCATAATGTAAACAAGAACACATGGCATTATGATAACCTTTGGGGACTCCATGGCCACCCTTCTGTGTAGATAATTTAGTGTCTGTGTGTGTGTTTAGTGTAGACATAATGTATTAGGCAGACATATTCTATTAGGTGTAGTGCATGTACTGTAGATTAGGTTATGGCAACTAATTCACTGACACCAACTACCTTACTAAAAACTTCAAGCCCTCATATCAAATATTATTAATGTTTCATATCCTCACTTTCCTCGGGTTCACACTCACTATGCTGTGGGGTTCGATACCTTGATCTGAGGTTCGAAGTCGGATGTTTGGATGGAGACGTAACAGCCAGTAAGGTAAACCGCCCTGTGGAATAAACAAACAAAAGGTTGAATTTATACATTTTGTTTAAAACTTTGTATGTAAATATTTGTTTATATTGCGTTCTTGTTGCTATCAACTCCCTCTCAACACCACCATGTCCCTCTCAACACTAAGTCCATTATACTCACCATGTCTCTCTCAACACCACCATGTCCCTCTCAACACCAAGTCCATTATACTCACCATTTCCCTCTCAACACCACCATGTCTCTCTCAACACCACCCTCTCCCTCTCAACACCGTGTCCATTAAACTCACCATGTCCCTCTCAACACCACGTCCATTAAACTCACCATGTCCCTCTCAACACCATGTCCATTAAACTCACCATGTCCCTCTCAACACCACGTCCATTAAACTCACCATGTCCCTCTCAACACCACGTCCATTAAACTCACCATGTCCCTCTCAACACCACATCCATTAAACTCACCAACGTCATTAAACTCATGTCCCTCTCAACACCACGTCCATTAAACTCACCATGTCCTCTCAACACCACGTCCATTAAACTCACCATGTCCCTCTCAACACCACATCCATTAAACTCACCATGTCCCTCTCAACACCACACCATGTCCATTAAACTCACCATGTCCCTCTCAACACCACGTCCATTAAACTCACCATGTCCCTCTCAACACCACGTCCATTAAACTCACCATGTCCCTCTCAACACCACATCCATTAAACTCACCATGTCCCTCTCAACACCATGCCCATTATACTCACCATGTCCCTCTCGGCACAGATGAAAGGTCCTACACGCAGGATCACCAGAAGGTCGTGCTGCTGGGCCGTCCTGATGAAGGTCTCTAGGTCGCGGTTCTCCGAGAAGTCGTACACTCCGGGTTCTGGCTCATGGCTGGACCACTCCACCACCCTGCCCAATCATAACCACATTACACTAACACTCCAGCACCCTGGCCAATCATAACTACAGTACACTAACACTCCAGCACCCTGGCCAATCATAACTACAGTACACTAACACTCTACCACCCTGGCCAATCATAACCACAGTACACTAACACTCTACCACAGCACATTAAATTATCCCTGGATTTATCATAAGGGTGGATTAACGTAGTCAGGAAAATTACCCAGTTGGATTTTGTCTGTGTACTTTGAAAACTAATCAACAGCGGACAAAATAAGACCAAACAAGTCATTGGTGCATACGTCTGGACCGCATTGAAGCCCGCCATACGGAGCTTCCAGAGTCGGTCAGCCCACTGAGAGGCGAGAGCACGGAAGTAGTGGATAGAACCTGACACGTAGCGGAAAGGCGACCCATCTTTTAGGAATCTGTTGTTCTCGTAGTCGATCTCAAACCTTCGAGCTGTTCCTTTGTCTGCCTATAGGAGGTACATGTTATGATTTAATATATTATGTGGTTTTCTTTATTACAAAAAAAAGAGTAATCTGGTGTATTTTGTTGTACTTTATTCATGGTAGTGATTACTATTTGTACAGGTCATATGTTCCCTGGACAACGATTTACGAAATATTTATTAAATACTGCCACGTGCACTACCATATACTACCACATACAGTATTGACAAAAATCAACCCAGTATATCAACACAAATCAAACTGAAATTGTCTTTGGCTCACTTGAAGGTGTACCAGGTTTGTCACCCTAGGATATAATGAATTAAAATATTGCACTTATCCTAATGCTGTAAATAAACATACAAACATAAAATATATATACAACTTACATTTAATCCTTGCATAACGTCTAATAAAGTCATACAGAGGAAGAGGAGGGAGGCTTTTGTTAGTATCTTCGCTTCCATAGTGTGACGATGTAGTTGTGTGTCTTAGTTGTTAACCAACCACAAATCACCATATATCTCCACCACTTAACAGTAGTGTATTTTCTAAAACTGACACTACTTAATGTATTATTAGTGTTGTCCAAACTCCAAACTGATGCCAGAATACAGTATTGATCTTAGCCGTCACTAGAATTATTATCATACATTCTCTGTCACCGTATTTACATAACGAAGTGTATCTATATCAGGACTACTTAACACTGCACTAACCAGGCCAACACTAGTGTGAATGTCAGGCAAGTGTGGTGATAAGTGGCTGGTGGCGGTGCGTGGTGAGTACAGTACTACTGATAAGAGGAAGACTCATACCCACCTTCACCTTGACTCACTCCAACATTGCCTAGATTAGGAACAAGGAGACTAATTTTTAACCCCAGTATTCCTAAGACACTAAATGTCCTCCATAATCCTAATACTATTGTTATCTTCATCCTTCCCTATGCAGGATGCCTAATCATACTTCAACAATATTTGAATATAGAGATACAATTAAATAGAACTATACCAATAAAGTACTTCTGTTCTTCGCAAAAAAAGACCCATTTCCCCCTGGATCCACCACTGCACGAGTCTTTTGAAAGTGAAGCAACTTGTTAGGATTACCCATTTACAGTACATACGACCTGACAGACTGACCCATGACACCAACATTAACAATATTATTGAGTCAACTCTTGTGACTGGAAACTCTGATCTCACTGCGAGGTCTCAGTCAGGGGAGGAGATGACAACCCTGGCAAGACCTTGTCAGTCTCCTTGATGACCAGAGTTGACAAGTGTTGTTGACACACAAGAAGGTTGACCCTAGGTGACCTCACTGTCAGGATTAACTCTAAAACTAACACTAACGGTTAACCTCAGACTACCCTCTCTATCAGAATTTGTTGTGGCCCAGCACCAAATTCATTAGTGTGTTGGCTCGCTGAGAATCTAGAAACATCCCCGATTCTATTTATTTACTGATATTTCTATGTATAGTAAAGTGTACAACTAGAACATGTGACTATCTTACTCAGTTCTTAACAGATGACTCTATAACCAGTACAGTATTCATTTATATAAAAAAACTATTAACATAGGTCAAAGAAACTCTCTTACACTAAACACCTGTTTATTTGTCATTAATAACTTGCATTATTCCAGTAGATGAAGAATATTGTTAAAAGTTATATATCTTCCCTCTATTATAATAACTATCTCCACAATGCCCTCATCATCACCCTGATGTATTTAATAGGTCATATCAGTGATTCTGAAGTGGGCACAAAACTGGGATTTTGCTTTTTTGTGCATACACATTCCATGCTCCCGTACAAAGACATTATAACTATGGACCCATAAACCCTTGTTATGCTAACTCTAAACCCCTGAACTAGATCTTATATATATATATATATATATATATATATATATATATATATATATATATATATATATATATATATATATATATATATATATATATATATATATATATATATATATATATATATACAGGGTATATAAATATACAGTATATCTATATACACAATAGTACATGTTCATACTTAGGGTCAATTAGTTCAGGTGTTCAAAGCTTGCAAGACACTGATGTCTGAACTTAAGACCCACTGTAAATGTCTTCCTTATAAATACATTACACGCACACACCCACAGGTTCCAGAACAGTACTATGCCATCTTCAAACTCTTCAAATGAACCTATAACATGCACAACAATACATCACATGTCTCTCCTGACCACTATTGTAACAGACGTTATACCCAAGAATATCAACACAGCATCAATGTTCCAACAAGATCAACAAAATAAACTTAATGATGCACTGATGCTGGTGTATGTGATCCCATGGACACATCACACCTATAGGAGACAAATATTCCTAAAGGCAATATATAAATTGTAGAGAAGAGACATATTCCTATAGGAACCACATATTCCTAAAAGATACATATTTCTTTAGGAGATACATATATGGTGAAAGATATTTTTGAAACAACTACTACCAATACTGTTTACTATGTACAATAATTCCTTTCTTATGTCCATGTTCACGTGTGTATGAGCATGACCACAGTACCAAATACCAAGATGAGGATCATTCTAACACTGTACAGCAGCAGTCAAAATTACCTCAATACTCGGTAATACAGTACAGTATCCAACACCTACTTCTGGGTCATACATATGGCTGGTTATTAACTGGTGATTGCTGATTTCCAATTTAAATTACATCAGAATAATAACATAGACACTATAAGACAAAGGATAATTTAAATAAACAGATGTTAAAGTCAAAATCACTCGTACAGTACTTATAAGACCTTTACATAAATGCCAGATGTTGCCGAGTGACCTATGAATCTTGTTCACATTGGTACATACATGAAGATGCAGTCATGTGGCTATTGCTGGAGTCTAACTCTCTACATACCATTAGTGAGTTTTTGTTGGTTAAAAAATAAAAAAAGTTTCTTGACAACATCCTCTCTTGCGCCCATATCTCATGGTGTCTGAAACGCATTTCTTTATCGCACTATGTAATATACAGTGTATATATATATATTTTTTTTTTGCCAAAATCCAATGAAGTTGAGGACATTCAAAACAGTGACATTCCTTCTAGTGCCCCAAAATAAGTTTACACTTGCTCAGTCTACCACTGTGTCTCAACCCTTACACCTATTTACAGTTTCTCCTTTGCCTAGTTAAAACACAAGCCAGATGGAAAGGCACATCTTTATATATAAAGGGGAGAAGCTACACTCCTTAGGATGTAAATAAATCAGGTGGATTATGTACAGTACAGAATATAGTAGAACACCATACTTTACTGTACAGTGAGTTCTGCTATAACGCGTGTTTTGACAACGCGAATTGGCTCTTACGCGATTTATGAATAGAGGAACGATGTTTGTATAACGCGAACACTTCTTTGCTGTAACGCGATTTTTGCTTACTATTTCTCCAATTTTGTGGTATTAACTGAGAATATGGTAAAGAAGAATATCTCCAAGAAGCGTTCTGGTGATCGCATTCCCAGTGATGATCGTAAAGGAAAGGCTATAACCCTTGAAGAGAAGCTCGATGTTATCTACCTCAAAATCACCCTTCTCCCCCATCAAGTTATATCCATATTTTTTCAAGGTAAAGTGTTACATTTACCGTATGATTTCATTATTAGATATGAATGTAACATTTATTTAGACTGTGCTATCCTTTGCGTTAGGCTAACTACTAAATTTTTTTCGATTTCGAGTAGTAATCTGCACCTAACCATATTTTCTCCATAAGCCGTTATTTATATTACGTGAATTTCTATAACACGATGTTTTACAAGAACACAACTATCGCGTTATAGCAGAACTGACTGTACAGAGTATTAGATATTAACGGTGCAATTATATTGATATGATTCAGGAGAATATGGCTGAGATGAAGTTACACATAATCAATTAGACAACAAAAGACAAAAACTCAACTATAATTCATTGGAGAGGAACAATATTGGTAAATACACATCAATCATCCATATCCAATCCATCACTTGGTACCATAACTAGTGAAGTTCCAAAGAGAATTTTTAGCCAAGTTGATTTTTACAAGTCTACTATTACAGACAAAACATGATAACAATATTGAATGACAGGCACACATCATTTATTTGCATCTTTCAAGTATTTTCTCTCTATATTGCAAGGTGGCCAAACCCAAGAACAGAAACATACCTCCAAACAAGTTCTCCTTGCATTTCCTATCATTCAATCTGGTACACATTGTTTACTTCCACATTTCCATGAGCTGACCATCTGGACCAGAAGGATAACAGTTGATAAAAACTTTCATAAACAGATGCAATGACTGGGGCCTGAATACAATACAGCTGTCACTTGTTGTTGTTGGTCAGTAGTCACTCACTACTTGAGTCTTATTAACCAAAGAGGGAAGAGCAATTTACAGGAAAATATACCCAGTACTTTCTTAAAACTTAGGAGAGAAAAAAAAATAGATTTCTGCTATAAAGATCTCACTTCAGCCAATTAACTTTGTAAAGATCTAAAAATTCCAAGTACTGTACTGTAAAAATGACAAAGGCTCATCATGGAGCTACCGGTACAGTGGTTCTAGAGAATGATGGCACAGAAAATATCTAGACATTCCCCAAACCAAAAAGAAGGACTGTTCATGATTGATTCCCCTCCACTTGTACAATTCCTTAACTTTACACTCAGCAATATATTGAGCACACTATCACCTACACTTACTGATGGTGAAACAACTCATATACTGAGTACTGCTGCTATACTGTACTAAGAATCTAAAGACAGTATCAGCACTAGCCTGGCCTTGTTGTAGAATGGCAAGACTTTACTTGAGGTAAAAAAAAAAGTAACTTGAAAATAAAGTTTGTGTAATAACCAAGGATCTCTTGTTAATCAAACATTTAAAAACACTACAGGAAACTTATGACTGAAAAGATCAGAAAAATCTTCCAATGAAACAATATACAGTACATAAAGTCAAACTTAAACATCATTATATTCACTTTATTGTAAGAATGTTCATAAACTCTTAACCTGAGAAATACTGATCTCATGACTATATACAAACACAACTCAAAACTTCAGCTCCTGGATATTCATTCATTATCAGAAGGACCTCTCAAACAGCAAGCAGATACCCCTGTGGGAGAACATCCAAATCTATAAACAAAGATTGACCACTGACTCCCACATCGGTCATCAGTGGCCTATACTGTATTATTAAGTAGCAAGGTCGGCACTGCTTACACTAAAAACAAACCCATAGTATTATAATTTAAGTTAATATAGTTTAAACTTGCAGTGGAAACTTTACAGACAAGCATCAATAACTGTCCATTTTCCGAGCCCAACACTTGTATATATTGCCAGACAAAGATTGAAAGCTATCATTTTAATTTACACACAGGCTCTTTCTCTTAAATCCATATAAGAATGATTCAGACCATCCTAATATACTATGAAGAACAAGCTGGAAATTTGCCTCAAAGATATAATAATAAATTTGTCCAGTACACGATTTCAGGCGGGATCAGTTGTCAGTCACATCTTTGAGAGTGAAAACTTTATCATTATTCTCCTTTATTTTCATCCTCAATCTATGGCGCAATCATAGATGAGACCATTATTGTGTTAATTATATAGCTACAGTATATACAGCACTGTCTTTTGTGTAGGGTAATGGTCTGTCATGCTGTAGAGAAGAATATTACTTTTTTGTTTAGTTTATTTGCATCACATTCTTTGCACAGTATATTTCTGCCAATTTCTTTGTTTACTTATTCAATCTTACAGCCCCAGTAGAGAACTCATCACAGTGCTTACCTTCTAAATTTACTCATGACACACTGTTGGTTATGTACTAAAATTTTCTCCCACACTGGGTCCTATTAGTGCTTGCAGATTCCAAGTTGAAACTCGGCCAAACCAAAGGTACTGCAAATAATACAAAATATAGCTATGAAGGCCTTTTAGGAATCTAAAATAAACACTTCTCTGTATAAGTGAGGAAACTACCAAGTAAATTTGGCCAACATACAATATACTGTACAATATAAATTCTCGTACAGAAGAAACCTGTATGTTAACAGACACAGCATTTTAGACTGCAAAACATATGTATTAAAAGAGGCACAACAAAAGTGTGAATATGTGAACAAAAAACTGATTATGTGGAGAAATTTTCAGCAAGTCTTCCAAGGAGAGTGATGTCTGAACAGCTCTGATCCTTTGTGACTTGGGTTAACAGTTGAGGCAATATGATGAAATATTATTTGATAAGCCATAAACAAATTAACCTTTCATAGTGGAAAAAAAAATGATGCTCACACAATTAGTAATTTTTTTTTAATCTTTGATAAGTGATACAATTTGAGTATTCCTTAACAGCAAGTACGAATTCTTTTAATACCATGCACGTTCTTTATCACTACACAACAATATGGTCAGTATCATCAGCATAATTAACTCTCCCTTCATCCTCTCTCACTCAAACTCTCTAACTGTAATAACAAATGTGTTTTGCTATGGTGTTCCCTTCCAACAAAACTAAATCCCCCCCCCCCTTAAAAAAAATAATTAGCTTCAATTTATATAAAGAACTCTCCACCACAAAACATTCTGGTACTTCTCACACTACAGTCTGTTACTTGATGAACCAATCTGAGAAAATAAACTGTAAAAATTCTGGTTACTCTAGAGGTGTATTGCGACATTTGTGCCATCTAACATGAAGTCTTACACAATGGAATCAAACATTGTCAAGTTACAACAGGTCATAACCTGGTCAAGTACAGTATCACCAAAATGCACTTATGTGACCAGAAGCATACAGCTAACCAAGCAGTATACTGTACTCGTTCCCACTCAAAATATTAGCATAAGTGAAGTACATAGTGTAGATATACAGGTACAGTATAATTAAGTTAGATCCAACTGTGGCAGAGTTTAAAAAGGTTGTAGCTTTGGCAAAAAATGGTTGTAGCAAAATCAAAGTCTGTCAATATACAACCAAACTTAAGCAGTTGCAACTCTGGCAAGAATCACTGCAGATAATACATAAATACTGTACATTTAAACACAGCCAAGATTCAAGGAAGTGTGACAGTGGCCAAAATCACTGATAAGAAAGTAGCATTCATCACTTCAGAACATTAATACTGATGACCCATTCTGCTGTTACCTGCACAAGAACAGATGCCATCATCATCAACATCAACACTGTCACAGGTTGAGAAAGAGATAAAAATAAAAAAGTATAATTAATTGGAGCTGATGATTACTGACTAGAATTCAATGAACCATCAAGCAGTTTCAATAAACAAATTGAAGGTCAGAGGATTGGTTCACAACTGTTGCCAAACATTTAATGCCAAGTCATCAACTACAGTACTGTATTGTACTCAGTTTCTAAAGGTGACTACTTTACAGCTCAGTATGACCTCTCAGATCTCCCCATCTCTTTACAAGCATAAAATAACTCAGCAATTAAAGGACTTTGAAGATTTACAGAACTGTTCCCTCACAAAAAAGTTAAATATACTTTACTTTATATATTTTTAATTTTTTTTATTTTTTTTAATACTCATAACCAGCACTGTTAACAAATTGTGTGTACACTACTGCAGAGTAAGTAATGCATAATAAAAAAACTATTTTATCCATGATGCTCAAGAAAAGATATGATACATGTGTAACAACTTGACATATCAGATACAGTAAAAGCTCTGAATACAGGAGAGCCTACACTCTGTCCAGAGTACAATTGTAATTATTATTTTTTTTTGGCAACAACTGTAATGTACAGCAAATGCCGAGTTATATTCCTCAACTACCACAATACTTTGTAAAGAACAACATGCTATACAGTATATAGTTGATTAAGTTTAAAGCTCAATTACTGCAAAGTGTATAAGCAATAAAAGGACCACGTTACCAACAGATCATGTCTTAGCTGCCACCAACAAGTGTCATGGCAACACCAAACTAAGTGAACTGGTCCACTAAAAATGCTCTACATATATCATAATAAATATTCCCTCATTGCAGTGTTCAGAGTTTCTACTCTATTTGATATTCATTTAGGATAATTTGTGTCAAATTAAAGTACACTTACAATCAAAGACATAAGATAAACATACATTTTTACGTATGCGTCTCCACAATAAAAATCTGACTTAAATCTTGACCCAAAGATTTTTTTCAGAATCACACCTTACATTAGACATGTTTGTGAGAGGTGAATAGAAATAGGAAAAGGATTGGGAGTATGAGGGTCACATAAGGCATCCCCAACATACTGTACACACTTCTTCTCAGTGGGTATAAACGATTCCCACAGGTCAACTCTTTTGAGGAGAAAAATCAGGATTCTGGCAAAACCCATAAAAGTGAGATACCTGCTCATATCTGTGATGTATATATACAAGCAGACCAATAGATGGGGGTTGAGTCTGTTCCCTCACAAGCCAACACATAAATGAGTCTTTACTGTACAGCATCTATAATCTGTTGCTTTTGATAATAAGAGGTGCTCACCTCGTGGCCTGTGAGGGAACAGTAATATTCTCAACTGGACAAGAATAAAAGAATATAACACTGTTTGACCAATAATCTAAATTGTTGCTCAACTACTGGGTTTACTAACATTTTCATGAAGGTTTCATTCATGTTTTAAAATGTTGTTCCAAAATGGTTGAATTATGAGCAGGAGTATTATATGCAACTATGGGGGTCTTCGAGGTATATCTCCCACCGGATGCATGGGGATCTCTACGAGGCATTGTGGATTTTTGCAAAGAATAGTTTCCCACTGAAGGCATCACAGATTTTGAGATGACTGGGGGTTGATTCATTGGAACTCTCACGTTAGACACTGCAGTTGACTTACCTGGAGCTTTAAAGGATGAAACATGTCTAGTCAATGGGCTTCTTGACCGAGATGGTGCATGGGTGTGAGAGGAATCTGAAGATGCTTTCATTTGTTGCCTATTAATGAAAGATAATGTAGATGGCACAGGAGAGTTGAAGGATGCTGATGACTCATTCATAGAGTATCCTTTATCAAAATATGATACAGGTGTATTTGCATAAGCTGAAGGGTTACTTGATGATGAGTGACTGTTGAAGCTGGAGGGTTCACTTGAAAAATGACTCTGATTAGACGATGAAGGATTTAAGAAATATTCATTTTGTGTGTATCTTACATTAGAAGATGATTGAGGGTTGCTCACAAATTTAGAGGACTCAGTTAATAAATTTGATGTTGATGGACGTGCAGCAATTTCTAAAGTTTCATTAATGGAGTGTTTCACATTGTACGGTCCATGAGGATCACCAATGTAAGTGGATGAGTCATTCTGTGAATATTTTCCATACGAGGAAGTCACAGGCGTGTTGAGATCTGAACAGTCATTCCATGAGTACCGCATAACATTACTAGCTGCTTCAGGCATGACACTGAAGTTTGGCTGCTCGTTTGCTGAATATTTTGTATCAGTGGAGAAAGCTGAAGAGTTGTTGAAATCCGAGGGTTGACTGAGTGAATACCTCGAACCATCAACAGATACTGAAGTCCTATAAAAGTCTGATTGTTCATTTAGTGAATACTTGAGAGGTTCATAAGGCATTGCAAGTACGCTGGGGTAGTCTGAGGGTTCATTGGTCACACGTCGTACCTCGGGGGTTGACGGAGTAGTAAAATAACCTCGATATTCATTCGGCGGGAACTTTGGAACACTAGGCATCACTGAACTGTTAAAATAGGGTGACTGCTCATTATGTGATTGCTTTGTATTATATGTTCCTTGTGTACTGTTAAATGTTGAAGATTCATGATGTGAAGATCTAACATCAGATGTTGCAGAATTATTATAATAGAAAGATGATTCACTTTGTAGCTCTCTCAGAGCACCAGATGGACCTAAGGTATTGAAAGAGGACTGGGGAACATCCAACGAAGGCCTGGCAGTGTTAGGTGCTGTGGAGTTATAAATGACTGGTGGCTCCTGAACTGGATATCTCTCACCACCTTTGGAACTTTGCTGTTGTTGGTTGACAGGGAGGCCTGCCAGTGAACTCAGTTGCTGTTGCAGATCACCTGAAACAGTAGGAACAATAAATATACTCGGGTCACACTGTGCTACACCCACAAAGGCAACGAGAACTAGTTAAAATAGTAGCAAGGTTGGTGTATTACTCAAGTGAGAGTGTACTCAACAACAGCCTTAGGACACATACATCATACAGTACCTCGCCACCATCTGATAAAAGAAATGCCCCAGAAAAATGCCTTATTTGATAAATGTAAATTTTTTCTGCATAATTTATATCTTATAGTGTCTGACTTAATATGTCCCAGTCCTATTATGGTCCACCATACCTTAACCTAACCATTAAGACTGTGGTCAGTTCTAGTGAGTGACAGACTGGTTGGTGGAAAAATTAAAGAACTGTGAAACTGAAGAAAGTTTTTCATAGAGCCCTTGTCCATCAGTTAACCTGACACCAAAGAAGAGTCCTGATACTAATACTTGGGGTACACAGTGTGAGGTACATAATGCCAGGTCAATAACGAACAGCAGTAAAGCTATGGCGCACTTGGACAGGTTGAATGAGGTCAATATGTTGACAAACTTTCCTGTAGACAGACAGATCATGTGTGGCAGGGCGAAGAGCCACAGGTCACCACTCGTCTATGTTAAAGCACAGTGTCCATTTGTAAAACCTAACTTATCCTGTGTTATTTTTGTTACAATACAGTGTAGTATTTAAATATCAGAATAAAAAATGGAGCCTTTTTATGTAGGACTCACAAGATGCTGGAGAAGTCAGTGGGACACAAACATATCATCTTACAATATTTACTTAAAACTTAACTCAACAGTCTCTCATCAGGAATCATTGACCATGAAACAGTTATATTAATAATCACATAAATTTCTCACCTGTATGACCTTTCGGCCCTTTGCGCTGACCATCCCAGTTCCAAGACACAGGAATTGCATTTGGGCTGTCCGGGTCACTGCCAAGGGAAAGGATATCCATGAGAATCTATTGAATTCTTTTTAAATTCTTAAACATTTATGATGAGTTATACAAATACTTTTATTTACACTATTACTTTTGTGTAAAAAATAAATAAAGTCAGGCCACATGCACTTTAATGGTGTAAAATAACAGGTACACACTGTATAGCCTGTTACTGTTGAGTAGATGGCCATGAGTCCGAATTCAATCCTGTGATAAAAGAAACAATTGGAGAAAAAGCGAAGGTCACTCCTTATCACTAACTGTTGTGGAGAAACACTTGACATCTTTGTGCCCAACTCTTTATCTGAATGAGTAACACATCTCGGTACTATAGTTCTGGGGCTAGTGGCTTGACAACACATATTCAGAGTTCTGTAATTGTTTATGACACCTCAATCACATACCAGTAAGCCACAAGCCTTGTTTTGTTTTGTTCCTAATAACATTCATAGCTATTAAATCTGCATCTGGCTGTCACCTGCATCTGCTCAACCTCATAACAGCCTTTCAATGACAGATGCTTTCCTACTCATTATATTATCCATTCAATGACTGTTATTTTCCCATTGTCAAGGAAATGATATTTGCAAAAATCAAATGGCTACCCTCTCAAGGTACTGTAATGGTACCGGGGTATTTATTTGGTGTACAGACATTTATAAAACTTTCTCCTTATGATACAAGCATTTATAAGATGAAAACCCTCTCTCAATGTTTAGGCATTTACAAGGGCATCTTCTTAAGGGAAGGCAGGGTTTTACTTACCTGGGTTCAAAGGGATATCTATGGCCTAGGGCACCACGATTGTTCCCTCGACCCCAAGAATTCTGTTTTCCCTTAAAATCTGTTCCTCCTCCTTGATTCCTGTTATGGTGTCCTCCCAGTTGGCTGTTTCCTCGTCCTCTTCCCTGGCCACTTCCACTTCCTCCCATCTGGCTATTTCCCCTTCCTCCCACCTGGCCACTTCCTCGTCCACTCACTTCGCTACTTCCGCGTCCTCCCACTTGGCTATATCCGCGACCTCCAATTTGGCTACTTCCGCGTCCTCCAAATTGGCTACCGATACTTCCACGTCCTCCAATTTGGCTATTTCTGCGTCCTCCTTGGCCTTTGAACATAACATCTTGGGCTGCCATTGGATGAGTAATAATTTACCATGAAAAATTGACATAGAGCTTAATGGAAAAAAAAAAACGTGTCATAAGAGTATATCATTGTCAGTAATAATAGTATGTCATGTATCAAGAGGCAATATTCCATAATTAATTTTCTTAATTCCTAAATGACAAATTAAATATACTGTACTATAATTACATAGGAACTACAATGACCCTTATCCCTAAAATTAAATAACTAAACCTACTCAAAATAGACAGTATTGTGAGAGTCCATATGGCCCCCAGAACCAACACAAGTTATTATTGAAGATATTCTTACCCGGCGCCAGTTCCTTCTGTTCAACTTGACTCCTCGACAGTGCCACCAAGTTACAACTAGTGTTGCCTCTGAAAAATGTATAATGTTCAAAATTCACATAGAAATTTAAGCTTTGTAGTATATGTTAACAAATTAGATTGACTAAGAAATCATTTTTAATTTTTTTTAGCACTCCTTCAAGTTTCTTTCCCTGTATTATGTCTTACCTGCTCTGTAATAAGCTCTTCCCCCCTCTTGCTCCCCTAGGACTCTTCTTAAATCCAACTTCCTTATTCCAGGCTACAGGGATGAAGTTACAACTGGTGCTGTCACTGAAAATATAAAATGTTGGAAAGAAAACCCAAGAATTAAAGTAGGAATTCTTTTTTGTAAAACTGATAACAAGGCTGGATTAAGAATGAGAGTTTGAGACATTGATTCAAGTTTGATTCAGTAAGGAAGACGGCCGTAATGACCTATGAAGTTGACGGCTAGCAAAACAAAGCAACCAGTAAGGAAGGAATTGCTCGGTAATAATTTATAGTGATCCATTAGGTAGTACAGTATAAGACATGTTGGAGCACCCTGAACACAGCAGCCTACACCAGGGATAAGTTCTAGTTGACAGAGCTTCACAGGTCACTCATTCATGACTCATTGGCTATAAAAATCATGTTTAGAAACACAACTTTTAAAGGCTTAACTGGTAAAAATTAACTAAATTCTGAGAAGTTTGAAATAACACCAAACCTATTGCCAAATCTATAATACCCCTGTAGTATCCTTTTAAACTGAACCACATAAAATACCCCAACTACTGTTATAACAACATGTAAAAAAAAAAATCTTTCCTGTAGGATATACAGAATTAATTGTCTGTCTTTACAAACCTGACAATTGCTATTCACATTACTTTCTTTATCAGGACTTCAACCTTTAATACAGAGGCTCTTAAATTATTTGTCCTGAACAGAGTTATTGTCCAAGTTAAATAATACATGACTACTGCACCAACCAGCTGTGCAACATACCGCTCTGGAAAAGATCCTCTGCCACCCATCTGGTTGCTGGGACCACCTCGAGAATTGCCAAAGGTTCTTCTTTCTTTAAAATCTTTGCCACCTCTGCCTCTCCTATCTCCCGTACCACGACCTTGGAAGGTACCGCGTGAACCCCAAGTTCGGTTACCTCTGATGCCGCCTCTACTTCCACCTCCACCTTGATTCGTGGGCTTCTGTCCCGGCACTCCCTTCTTTACCTGCCCTGCATTACCCTCACTTTTAATACCCTGGGCATTAATCACTGGGTTGCCTGCTGTGTTATCTTGTGGCTTCTTATCAATAACTTTTTTCTTATTCCGTTTCCTCTTTTTCTTTGCTATGGCTCCTTCACCACCAACAGAATCTTCTCTCTTTCTCTTTAAAGTATTGTCAACATTGCTGGTCTGAACAGTCCCCGTTTTATTTCCGGGAGTAGTAGTCCCCGTGGGGGCGATGGATGTTTTTTGAATAACTGGTGCCTTTTGAGGTGGAGCAAGAGTTTGTTTGTCTGTATTATCTTTCCTCTTTCTTTTCTTTGATCTCTTGTTAGTTCTGGAAATGTTGTTCATGACACTTGTAGTTGTGGATGTGTTGGCATTACTGCTGGCAAGATTAGTAGTGGGGGTTGGAGTATTTTCCATTGCACTTGTGATGTTGACAACCCCGGTAGGGGAATTAGAGGTAGCGGTGGCACTGATGACAGCATTATTTCTCACAGTGGTAGTGTTGGTGACGGCATTACTAGTCATGATGGGGGCACTGGCAACAATACTGCTGCTGCTGGCAATAGTGGCTGTGTTCATAACCATATTATTGTTCCTGTTCTTTCTCCTCCTGTTCTTCTTCTTGTTGTTCTTACTAGCTGTGGGTATTGTGGTGTTAGTAGTGGCAACATTACTGGTAGTGTTGGCAGGTATGATATTGCTGTTCTTATTCAGGGCACTAGTGGTGGAAGTGGTGGTAACAGTGGGGATGGTAGTGGTGATGGTAGTAGTAGGGGTAATGGTCGTGACGGCAGCACCAGTAGTAGTGGTGGTGGTAGTGGTGGTGGTGCTAGTGGCCTTCATGATGGTGCTGCTGCTGCCCACAGCCCCAACGGCCTGAAATGTCAAGTGGTTGATAAGAATGCCACAGAAAGATGAAAGATGAAAATGAACGAAAGAGCATCTGTTTTTGGGTCTTGATTCTAGCCACCCTGCAGCATAGTGGGAAAAAGCCCGAAAGAGTTCAAAATAATCGTAGTTCCATTAAGAAAATTGTTATACGTTGAGCAACTTACTAGCAGGTCCATCTCTGACCTACTTACCTACTCGTACCTGATTATTTCCATCACTATACAGTATATCTTCTGGTCAATTACAATTTGAAGTTATTTTTCCACACTAAAAGACAAATTACAAGAGACATACAAAAGGAAAACATAATACTGTACTGTACTTAGCTTAAAGAAAAAGAGATGATGAAAAAAGAAACCCAGGAGTGCACTTGGTAAATAAAACATCTGCTGAGAGTTTAAGGGTCCATCTTCTGAGCCCAAAACAATACATCTCCGAGAAGTTAGAATTATCGCCCCTAACACCACCCCCACCCACTACCCACCTCCAAGCACATGCTAGTGCCCCCTGGTGACAGTTTCTATTCACCACTGGAAAAAATCTTACCTGTGAATTGCTTTGCTTAATGAGGCTCCCTGGTGTACTCTGTGAGAGCTCTTTATTTACCTCAGTGCCAGAAGTCTTGACTGTTCCTTGAGGCAGAGTCTTAGGGGGCCCATGATGTACATGTACTGCATTATCAAGTCCCCTCTTTGCCGCGGCTCGTCGATTCCTTTTACGTTTCTTCTTACGTGTGCCGGCACTTCCTACCCCAATACTCACATTTGTTATCTGTAATTCCAGTCATTATCAGCACCAGTCATTATGTTAAAATTATTGCACCAAAATTTTATACCTAAATTTGTACTTGAGTGGGGTATGCTATAACGAATCTAATTGGTTCTAGAACCTTGTTCGATTAATCCGTTCCAGGCCCCCAAATACAACCACTTAACACTGAAAAATATAATATAAAATTGTAAAAATTGTAAAAAAGTGCATAAATATGCATCTAAACCACTGAAATAAAGAATATCATTAATACTTGTAATAAAAAAACAATAAATTAGTAAAAAAAAAATAATTTTTTTTCTTCAAAATAATGTTCGTTGTAGGAGTTTCGTTCGTTATAGCATTCTCAATTTTATAGGTAAAACCGTTCGTTATAGGAATATTCGTAGTAGGATCCGTTCGTTATAGCATACCCCAATATCTCATAAAGTACCTGAATTTTACTTATTATAATATCCAAGTAAGTAAGCAGAGAGATGTTGGTATAACACAATATAAAGTTAACAAGGAACAAATGATCTTAACTTTACTGTGAACAACATGGTAACAAGGAATCCCCTTTTTCATTCAAATTTTAACGTTACTCAAGGAAAGAATTCAAGGGTTGTGTGTGGGTGGCCTCCACTACACCATTACAACACCAACACTCTACTAAGCTCAGTTACAAGAACAACAGTGAGGCACTTGTTGGTCTATATTCAATTATTCATACATGTGGCATGAACCATTGGTGAGAAAGATAAAATACTACATCAGGAACCTTATTTGCACATGTTAACATCAACTGTAGTTCAATAATGGTCAAGCTATACTGGTGTAGAGGGCACAGATGGAGGGGAAGCAGATCAGACAGATGAATAAAGCTATATCACTCAATGGACTTCCAGGCAAACCTTAGCAGCCCGTGGCAGTCAAGAATATAAACTTAATTCCCTCAGATTGAGAGTTACTAAGGTTATATTGAGCACATATTGTATTATGGATGTGATAATTCCTTTGAGTTAAATAAGATAATTGTTTTATTACACACAAGCTCACCAAGAATATCAATTTTCAGTTTATAATAAATAACCATTTGAAACTTACTGTTATTTCTCCTGGTTTTCCCAATCCTGCAGTGTTACCAATCAGTGGAACTTTTGACACTTCACTGTTCTTCACACTCACAGCAGGGGCAGTTGTGTTCTGTGGTGCTACTTTAGGCACCCCAGAGGTTGCCGTGCCCACAGCAGGGGTAGTTGTGTTCTGTGGTGCTACTTTAGGCACCCCAGAGGTTGCCGTGCCCACAGCAGGGGCAGTTGTGTTCTGTGGTGCTACTTTAGGCACCCCAGAGGTTGCCATGCCCACAGCAGGGGCAGTTGTGTTCTGTGGTGCTACTTTAGGCACCCCAGAGGTTGCCGTGCCCACAGCAGGGGCAGTTGTGTTCTGTGGTGCTACTTTAGCTACCCCAGAGGTTGCCGTGCCCACAGCAGGGGCAGTTGTGTTCTGTGGTGCTACTTTAGGCACCCCAGAGGTTGCCGTGCCCACAGCAGGGGCAGTTGTGTTCTGTGGTGCTACTTTAGGCACCCCAGAGGTTGCTGTGTGCCCACAGCAGGGGCAGTTGTGTTCTGTGGTGCTACTTTAGGCACCCCAGAGGTTGCTGTGCCCACAGCAGGGGCAGTTGTGTTCTGTGGTGCTACTTTAGGCACCCCATATGTTGCCGTGCCCACAGTAGGGGCAGTTGTGTTCTGTGGTGCTACTTTAGGCACCCCAGAGGTTGCCGTGCCCACAGCAGGGGCAGTTGTGTTCTGTGGTGCTACTCTAGGCACCCCAGGGGTTGCCGTGCCCACAGCAGGGGCAGTTGTGCTCTGTGGTGCTACTTTAGGCACCCCAGGGGTTGCCATGCCCACAGCAGGGGCAGTTGTGTTCTGCGGTGCTACTTTAGGCACCCCAGAGGTTGCCGTGCCCACAGCAGGGGCAAGTGTGTTCTGTGGTGCTACTTTAGGCACCACAGAGGTTGCCATGCCCATAGCAGGGGCAGTTGTGTTCTGTGGTGCTACTTTAGGCACCCCAGATTGTGTGTTCTCGCGGTGCTACCTTAGGCACCCCAGGGTTTACCGTGCCCACAGCAGGGGCAGTTGTGTTCTGTGGTGCTACTTTAGGCACCCCATATGTTGCCGTGCCCACAGTAGGGGCAGTTGTGTTCTGTGGTGCTACTTTAGGCACCCCAGAGGTTGCCGTGCCCACAGCAGGGGCAGTTGTGTTCTGTGGTGCTACTCTAGGCACCCCAGGGGTTGCCGTGCCCACAGCAGGGGCAGTTGTGCTCTGTGGTGCTACTTTGTGTTACTTCAGGCACCCCAGAGGTTGCCATGCTCCACAGCAGGGGCAAGTGTGTTCTGTGGTGCTACTTTTAGGCAATCTCTAGATGTTGCCATGCCCATAGCAGGGGCAGTTGTGTTCTGTGGTGCTACTTTAGGCACCACAGAGGTTGCCGTGCTCACAGCAGGGGCAGGCGTGCTCTGTGGTGCTACTTTAGGCACCCCAGATGTTGCTGTGCCCACAGCAGGGGCAAGTGTGTTCTGTGGTGCTACTTTAGGCACCCTAGATGTTGCTGTGCCCACAGCAGGGGCAGTTGTGTTCTGTGGTGCTACTTTAGGCACCCCAGAGGTTGCCATGCTCACAGCAGGGGCAGTTGTGTTCTGTGGTGCTACTTTAGGCACCCCAGATGTTGCTGTGCCCACAGCAGGGGCAGTTGTGTTCTGTGGTGCTACTTTAGGTACCCCAGAGGTTGCCGTGCCCACAGCAGGGGCAGGTGTGTTCTGTGGTGCTACTTTAGGCACCCCAGAGGTTGCCATGCCCACAGCAGGGGCAGGTGTGTTCTGTGGTGCTACTTTAGGCACCCCAGAGGTTGCCATGCCCACAGCAGGGGCAGTTGTGTTCCCTGGTTTTACTTTAGCATTGTGTTCTGTGGTGCTACTTTAGGCACCCCAGAGGTTGCCATGCCCACAGCAGGGGCAAGTGTGTTCTGTGGTGCTACTTTAGGCACCCCAGATGTTGCTGTGCCCACAGCAGGGGCAGTTGTGTTCTGTGGTGCTACTTTAGGTACCCCAGAGGTTGCCGTGCCCACAGCAGGGGCAGGTGTGTTCTGTGGTGCTACTTTAGGCACCCCAGAGGTTGCCATGCCCACAGCAGGGGCAGGTGTGTTCTGTGGTGCTACTTTAGGCACCCCAGAGGTTGCCATGCCCACAGCAGGGGCAGTTGTGTTCCCTGGTTTTACTTTAGGAACCCCAGAGGTTGCCATGCCCACAACAGGGGCAGGTGTGTTCTGTGGTGCTACTTTAGTCACCCCAGAGGTTGCTGTGCCCACAGCAGGGGCAGGTGTGTTTGGTGGTGCTACTCTTGACATCTCACCAGCCTTCACCTGCACAGTGCCTGTACTCTGGTGTGATGCTGCAGGTGCTTTGTGGAAATTACCTTCAGCTTGAACAACTGACTCACTGTGTGGCTCCAATTTAACTTTGTCATTGCTATTAGTTTGGTTTACAGACATGAGCTGTAGCCTCTTGTGTCCCTTCCTCAATAAGTAACTGTGTATCACTGTCTGTCCAAGATGTTCTTATCATCTGGAATAAGAAAATAATTTTGTAATGGACGGGTAGTCTATTGTACACTTGCTCCAGAAGATATCTTTATGATTTTGTGTGAAACAATAAGACACAATGAACAAACGATTTTTACAACCCTACCGAGACAACAGGAGTCTTGGTGTTCATTTTGAAATTCATCTGACCCCTTAAAGATATTGTTTGGAGTGAGTGTACAGTACAATCAAAGAAATGAGAAATAAATATTAAACATTTCCCAGTAGTTTTTGCTGACCTCCTATGTGTCTGATGCATGATGAATATTATCTGACAATAAACAAAAACTGAATATTGTTTGGTTTAAGCAAAAATCAAAGTTTGTGTTAATCCGTAACTTAACCGAATATTTCAGACATTTGATATACAGTGGTCCCTCGGTTAACGAGCACAATTCGTTCCAGAAGCTTGCTCGTTAACCGAAAACTAGTTAACCGAAACCATTGTTTCAATGGGTTTTGGGTAATTGTTTCCAGCTCACCGAAAATTGCCTAAAATCAACAAAAAAAGGTAGTAAAGTACACTTACTTTGAGGTGTGTATGTAGAAGGCTCCTGGATGATGATGATGATGATGGGAACTAGAATGGGAGTGGAGGAGAAGGGAGAAGAGAAGGCATTGGGGTGGAAGAGAAGTCACCCCATGGCACCATTTCACCCATAAAATTTTAGTTCTCTTGGTGTAATTCAAGATTATTTTCTTTAAATCAACACTGCACTGCATTATATATTGTCAATATGTAAAACAAATTTCAAATTGACCAATAATTTGCTTGGAAACTCAGAAAAAAAGCGTTTAGTTGAAGAGAGTCTCAAGCAAGATGTTACCTACATACACTGAAAAGACACAGAGACTGACACCTGTATGGTGTGTTGACAGGCTGTTTGGCACGCAAAAAACTAGCTTCCTATACTTCAATTATGTTCAATAATTGTTAAAATGACTAAAAAATTTGATATTAAACTTTTGAAATTATTGAATAGTATAAACTTCTTGATATTTACTAAAATAGTAAGGAATTTTAGCCTTAGAACCGATTACTGTATTGGCGGACTAATACTACAGCTGGCTGACCGCCAAATGCAAGCGAAAACATGTGGAGGGGCGCTTGTTAAAAACTCGCTAATCGAGGGATTGCTCGTTAACGGAAGTTAAGAATCATATGGAAGGTAAATCGTTAACCGAAATCTCGTTATCCGAGGGATCACTGTACAGTATACAGTCTTATTTTGTATTCTTAAGTTAAGTTAAGTTAAGTTAAGTTAGGTTAGGTTAGGTTAGAGTATTATTTTATCTCACCTTATTGGGAAATTGACAGTTCATATGGAAAGTTCGCTGGGAAGTATGTCAATAGTTTAAATGTAAAAATAGCATCTGATATGAAAGAAATTTTCTTCCATAAAATTTTTTCCGAACGTTCCTCCTACTCATGAGTCGGTGTACTAGACTATTACCCTAGTAACACGTTCCATAAACAAACTACATAAAAGTTAATATCGTGGCACACCTGTTTTAACAGCTGCTTATACAAATTTAAATATCATCTGTCTACCACATGATTATGAATAAAAACACATTCTTTAATAATCCTGCAAAGTTTCAAGTCAAAATAGAAAGTACTAATACCTGTACTTGGCCCACTTCGCTGTACATTCATCGCAATTCTGGAGTTGGAACATCAAAATAAAAAAAAGGCTCCAGCCCTTCTGAGAATGAAATCAAACCAGCACAGAACTCTAACTGTGGCAGAACAAACCATTAAGTGACACCTGTGCATGTCTGGAAGTTCTTGTTGGTTTATTCTATCTAAATTCAGACAGTTTGGGATAATTTTTCGTTAACCACCCATCACCTTTATATGATTTTTTCTCTTACCATTAATAGATCTCTTCAAGAAATGAAAGAATATACTTCAATTTAGCGTGACATTCCAAAAATAAACGATTAGGTTATGGTAAATTTTCAGTATTGTACTGGCAGTGACTTCATCCAACTGGCTTAGGAACATGGCGTCATTGGGGGCCCCCCCCCGGCTAAGTAGGACGCGGCCTGTTAGGTTAAGTCAGGTTAGGTTAGGTTAGGTTAGGACGCGGCCGGTTAGGTCAGGTAAGGTTAGGTTAGTACACAGACCTAGTTTAGTTTTAACCTTTTTTCCATGAAATTTTTTTTTTGCAAGTTTTCTTGGTGTTTTAGATGATTATGAAATTGATTTTTGGTGAAAATCACTCGTTTTCAGCGCTCCCCCCCCCCCCCACCCAAACATCGCATTCCCAACGTGGCCCACTACATAGTTGGGGTGGAAGGGGAGTGTGGATAACTAAAAAAAATAAAGTAAAAATAAGTGATTTGCCCCAAAGATAAATGTCGGAAACATCAAAAACAGCAAGAAAACTAGCGAAAAAAATATATTTCATGTGAAAAAAGGTGATGGGTAGTTAACGAAAAATGACCCAGCTCAAAATTATTTTTGTTAAAGCACTGAAGGCATGTAAGCCACAACCTTGCTTACTTGCTAATACAGATATAAATTCAATGTAGTTCCCCCAGTTCTATCACTGGATCTATTAACTACAATACTGTACATTAAATTAACAAATGTCATGTAAAAATATGTCCTCAAAACCAGTAGTTTAGTGGTGTTCTTGTTTTATACGCCATCATCAAATCTATATCATGCATTAATATGAATCATTCAAAATAATACTAAGTATTTTTCAGTAATTTTTAGTTGGGTTTCTTTTATTGTATCCGTAGACACGCATACATACTCCATTTTGATATAATTAATAGCTTCAGTGAGGCTATGACACCTGTGTGGTTGTGTAATATATAAAGTCTCTCTAATACTAACCGGTGTGCATGTCTCTTCACAAAACCAAAAATTAGTCAAAACTTCCTGATGTAAAATGTGTTCAACAATATTTCTAATTATCACTCCAGTTACTCTACGAAAAAAAATCGCATTCTGCTACATATATATTGGCTTTATCCTAAACTTCCAAGTGAATGTGGTTTTGTTATAATGTTTAAGGAGTTATGGACCAGTACATGACTCACCTATATGTTGTGGACGAGCGTGTGGTGTAAACAGAGATGACAGTGTTACCAATTAACCTCATCGCCAGCAGAACAAAACCTAGCCAAGAGAGAAATTAATTCGGCGTGTTCCGTGCAGGTGGTTGCAGATTGTAATAAATCACATATTTGTATTAATTGTCTATACACGTATTTTTATATCACGCCCCACGTTCTACCGTTTAAATCCCACTTGGTTGGTTCCCACTTCGACGATCGTCTGTTTTATGCGATGTAACGTAACGTATCGCAACCTAAATTAACCTAATCTAACCTTGTCATTTAACTAAGATGGTAAAAATCGCACAAAACAGTCATCCAAGTGGGATGACACCGTTCTACAACCCCCATTATATCTGTTGTGCTTACTCCTCACCTTCCCATTAGTGTAGAACAAGCTCATTTAAGACCAGACTTAACCATCTTCATGTATATGTTCTAGAATCCGCACATGGCCAGCTCTTGCCAATATTGCATTAAATAACCGACCCCAAGCGTTTAGCCACTGTCAGCCAATCAGCGGCGACAAGGATGTGTGTGTGTGTGTGTGTGGAGGGTGCTACTAAAACAACTATACTGTAGTATGCGGCTACCGAGCTGGAGTCGGTCTACAGGGATTTTTACACTGTACCTTCTATTATCCCAACCTAACCTAAATTAATATATCTTAGCCTAACCTGACTTAATCTAACCTAGATTAGGTTATGTTAGGTTAATGGATGCTAGTGTAAATATCCCGGTAAACACAACTCTAGCTCGGTAGACCGCATACTATAGTAACACCCTTTGTGTGTTTTTTGGTATGTGATTGTGTGTATGTGTGTGTGTTTTTTACTCTACATATTTGTGAACATTTAAGCTTGTTGTATTGTGTGTCTCTTTTTGCATACATTAGTGTGTTTATATGCGTACTTCTTGTTGTGAGCGTTTGTTTACTTTTGACTGTGTGCGTTTCTATCATGGCCTTCTAAGAAGTAGCCAGAAAAGCACCAAGTTGGTAACTCTGCTCGAAATGGCGCCCTGAACCTTTTCGCTAAAAATGATTAAGTCGAATCATGAAATGAATATAAGCAACTACCGTATTCCCAATTGTATTACATTCCTATCATTTCTCACCATCACTTAAATTTTTTTAGCAGTTTTCTTATATTCAACTCCCGATATCTCGGTTATGGGTAAAATGCGCCCAAAGTGTCTGTCATACATGAAAATCGTCTTTTTTTTGTCTGAATTTATCATTAATAACAAAAACAACAAAATTAATATCGAGCTATGTCCTCTCCTATAAATTGTCGGTATTTTTCCGTATTAACCCCTGCTGGGTCAGGTTAGGTTAAGGTTGGGCAGAAACGAGTGATTTCCGAAAGAAATGGATGTTAAAATCAAATGAATCACACTAAAAACCTTAGGAAAAAGAAAATTTTATTCTTCAAAGGGAGTTGGGTGTTAATTAGGAAATTTACCAAATTGTCCCTCATTCTTAATCAAATTCAATATAAAATAAATCAATTTAACAATTTGTGACCAAACAATTTCTAAATTAACCTGGATGATCCGTCGCTCGTCACGATCTTCATGAGAGAGGTGCTTCCCCGGCTGGAGAATTGTCACCCGTCTAGTCCCCGAGATATGCTAGAGACTGTCAATTGATTGAAAGTGTTCAAAGGAGGGCCGCCAGACTGGTGTCTGCTCTACGGAACCTTAGTTACCCGGAGAGATTAGGGCGCCTGAAATTGCCTAGCTTATACTACAGACGGGCAAGGGGGGAAGGACCTAATTGAGGTGTATAAACATCTCAAAGGGCACTACTCAGTCGAGTGCCCTTACCTGGAGCTGGTGGAGGCTCGCCCCACAAGGGGTCACAGCTCAAGGTTGAAGAAGCCACAAGTCCAGAAAACTGTGAGAGCAAATATTTTCGGAAAATTAAGAACCAAGCGGACTGTGAAGAACTGCAGAAGGACCTCTGTGGGCTCCAGGAATGGTCGAAGAAATGGCTGCTGAGATTCAATGTCACTAAGTGTAAGAGGATGCACCTGGGGCGTACCAACGGTAAGGAGGCGTATCATATGTCCCAACGGGATGAAGAAACTGTACTAGTTGAGACTGTGTGTGTGAGAAGGACCTAGGTGTGTATGTTGACAATGAGCTGAAGTTCTCGGGCCATTGCGAGAAAAAGGTAAATCAGGCAAATAAATTATTGGGTCTTATAAGAAGGTCGTTCAGATATCTAGACGGTCCGTCCCTCGTAACGATCTTCAGGAGTGAAGTGCTTCCCCATTTGGAGTACTGTCACCCCATCTGGTCCCCGAGATATGCTAGGGACTGTCAGTTGGTTGAAAATGTTCAAAGTAGGGCCACCAGACTGGTGCCTGCACTTCGGCACCTCAGCTACCCTGAGAGATTGGAGCGCCTGAACTTGCCTCGCTTATACTACAGACGGGCAAGGGGCGACCTAATTGAGGTGTATAAGCATCTCAGGGGGCACTACTCAGTTGAGTGTCCTTACTTGGAGCTGGCGGACGTTCGCCCCACAAGGGGTCACAGCTCAAGATTGAAGAAGCCGCAGGTCCAGAAAACCGTAAGGACAAACTTTTTCGGAGTGAGAGTTGTGAACTCTTGGATCAATCTACCAGAGAGTGTTGTGACGGCACCGAGTGTGAGCTCTTTCAAGACCAGACTTGACCAACACTGGAGCGGGTTCAGGTACATTCAGGAGCCGGTGCATGCCCAGTACTTGCCAACAGTGCGTGACGGAGACGTGACCGATCTCCCGGGCGGCTAGCGAGCCGATCAGTGGCGAAGAGGATAAAGGTAAAAGTAAAAAAGAATGGGAGTTGTGAACTCTTGGAACAATCTGCCAGAGAGCGTTGTGACGGCACCGAGTGTGAGCTCATTCGAGGCCAGACTTGACCAACACTGGAGCAATGTTCCGTTATATTCAGGAGCCAGTGCATGCCCAGTACTTGGCAGCAGTGTGTAACTGAGACGTGACCAATTTTTTTTTTAGCTCAAATCGTTTGGTGCTACCATAGTATGCGGCCTACCCAGCTGGAGGCAGTCTACCGAGCTGGAGTTGGTCTACCGGGATATTTACACTGTAGCGTCCATTAACCCGACATAACCTGACTTAATATATCTTAGCCTAGCCTGACTTAAACTAACGTAGATTAGGTTAGGTTAGGTTAATGGATGCTACAGTTTAAATATCCTGGTAGACACAACTCCAGCTCGGTAGACCGCATACTATAGTAGCTCCAGCTCAGTAGACCGCTTATAATAGTAGCTCCAGCTCGGTAGACCGCATACAATAGCTCCAGCTCGGTAGACTCATACTATTGTAGCACCAATCGTTTAACTTCATATTATTTTTCTGAGTAAAATATTATTCCTCCGTCGGGCGTTGCCCCTCTCGAAGCCATCACTCTACTTCTTTTTGTTCAATCTGAAGCTATAATTCATAAGACTTAAATACTAGTTATGGCTAATTTTGTATACATTATATTTTTCATGTGAGAATATGTTGAAGGCGAGCTGATCATTCTGATGAATTCAGATCCAAATAGAACAAGCATGCTAATATATAATTTCTTGAAATTCCCCTCATGAAATATGGCGGTATTCTATACTGTAAGCTCGAAAGCACGTTTGTTCCATGTTTTTATGTTTGTTTTCAATATCAATTTATGTATATTATTACATGGGAGTGTACTACAAAGGTTTATCTATATATCCTTTGGTATTCTGTCAATGCTTGATAATCTCTTGTCCTTTCAAGAGAATTTCAATATTGAAGTTGTATTACTCCGCCAGATGCCACAACCAAGTTCCTGCCATCTGCTACCTGGCAGTGTCTGCAGAGTGTGTGTACTTACTGCAAACTACTGCCAGCCTCTCCTGAGGTAGGATTTGTGAGGTAAGTACTGCTGCAGTAAGCAAAATATTTGTTCATCTTTTCATTGCAAAAGAAGAACACTGTTCTGTTGCCGCCAATGGTTGATGTGCTTGTGTATTATTGCCAATTTTCAGTTTATTCCCCTTAGGTTAATATGGCAGTTCCCACTAACCAGTTTCAACTTTTTTTCTCATTTATTTCAGTAAATCATGTTGCATTTGAAATTTCTGATGATATGGACAGTAAATTATTATTATAATATGCAATTTAGTTCGACATGTAGAATAATTACGAAAGTTAAACTATCATATTGTCCCTGACGTATACTACCTTTCGCGCCATTTATTAAGTGAGTTCAGCCGTCTTGGAATGAAGTTCTGATTCTTTCCGTTTTTTTCCAAGGCTGCTGAACGAAAGCTAAGTGACGAATGGTTGGTGAGGAGGCCGAGAGGCACGGGCAATTTCAGTATATGGCTCCACCGAGAGAAGGCAAGCTGTAAACTTCTGCACTTCGCCTTGCACAGGTCGCAAGAGGGTGCCCAATAAACTAGCCCCCACGCGGGGCAAATCTGGATAATAGGCCCCAAATGGATATTTCCGGAGATTTGGGCGGACACTTAACCAAAAAGTTTCCGTAGGGGACCATCTGGGCCCCTCTGGGAGTGTTGTCGGGCAATGGTGGGGTGTCAGGTAGAAATGGAACCATTTTGACGATGCAGTATAAGCCAAATGATAACTGAATTATGGCAGACGTTTCGTGGGACGCCGTTTATATATATATATATATATATATATATATATATATATATATATATATATATATATATATATATATATTTATTTATTTATTTATAATACTATTGTTAGTTACCTTAATAAATATATTAGTATCATAAACAATAGATGTTAAAAATGATCAATTATCAATATCGTAAGTTATCTAGTTCTTGTTTTCAGAGATGAACACAACTGCTTTTAACAGAAGAGAAGCAATACCTGATTAATCATTTTGCTCCAGGAAACTCGTTGGAAAGAGGAATTTCTTGGACACTGATCCTGGCAGTTGGTGGCACCTCTTCAACTTGTCACTTCTTGGCTAAGGTGAGTCATGTTCTATAAGGCTGAAAAACAGAAAATAGATTTTATTGTGCATGCAACAAATATATAGGGTGTAAGAGGAAGAAGGGCA